ATTTAAAATTGTTCAGAAATTCGTAGGTCAGCTGTAGGCGCCGCGCACAGGATCTATTCAATTGTTAACTTACAATTACATGTCACATTTCTTAATTACTAGAGCCAAAATTTCAGAAGCAAAATAATTTAAAAGATATTTCTGTCGTTCACGCAGTACAGGCCGTGAGCACTGCGATCTAATTAATATAATAATGGAGAGATTCCAAAAAACCGCGCGCTCGTTATTTATTGTGATTAAATTGAGTGCGCGCCACTGTGAACAGCAGTACCGCTCAAGCATGAATTAGTACTGAGCGGTACGCAGTTCTGCGTGAGGCGTAGACATTTGTAGCACACGTTTCATTCAACTAATCCATTAATCCATGTGACATGTACAATGTAATTATATTAAAGCAAAAATAATATTAATTTTAGTAATAATTGACGTAAACATATGTGTTTAAATAACATCTATAATCTAGCGAGTTACTAATACCGTTCGCGTTTGTTTGTATTCTTGATTATATATCTTTACACTAGCCTATATTATGATGGAGATATACATTATATAATTGCTCCAATATTCAACACTGCTAAACAACAAATACCTACTCGCCCATCGATGAAGCAGTCGCCAAAACAAAGCTCAAAGTTAATATATCTTCGTACTTCGTTTTGGAAACTGTAGAATTCCAATAAATAATTAGTAGTAGAGGCTCTTACGGGCATTGTCTGCTCGATACGTTAGGGACCCCAGATAAGTAAGTAAGTAAGTAAGTAAGTAAGTAAGTAAGTAAGTAAGTAAAGATTATGACATAACATCATCACAAGTGTCCACAAAATATCACCGCACTAAATAAAAAAATAATTTAAATAAATATATTTTTCCATCAACATTAATAATTTATCAAATTCAATTTTATTAATTAATAAAATCTAATACATTATCTATAAATAATTCATTAATACTTCCCAGTGGAATAAAGATTTATGAAACGCTTCTTTGCCACAAAAGGATGAAACCAAAGATATTCATTATGTGTCTCCTTATTGCTTAAATAACTGGGTCCTTCAATTTTCCCTAAAACTTCATTCGAAACATTCCAAAAATAAAAATCATTTACACTGTTTTTAGAAATCATTTCTTTCTTAAATCCATCCAATCTAACTTTAAAGCTTAAAACTGTCGAGCAGTTCTTGACATCTGAAGGGAGTTTGTTCCAGTAAGGAATGACTCGCTCCGGAAGAAAAGAAGACTGGAGATTCTTAACTTTAGTTACACTCTTATTACACCTATTGGTTGAAACTAGATTAAGACCAGATCTGCTCATTCTGAACAAACCCGATCCATATTCAGTCAAACCACTAGTTACTTTAAAAGCTTCAATAAGGTCCCCACGTATTCGCCGCTCTGCCAGCGTTGTCAAATTGAGGATATCCAGTCTGCAGCTGTATGGAAGAGTACCCACCTCATCAATAAGACGGGTAAACCGCCTCTGGACGCTCTCCAGCTCCAAAACAGTCCCCCAACTTCCATGAGCCGCAACTGGATTCCACAATTGGACACAATACTCAAGATGAGGTCTTATCAAAGCTTTATAAATAGCTATCATTACAACCTTTTCTCTAATAACTAAGTTCCTTACAATCCAGCAGATCATACGATTTGCTTTAGAAATACATGCTTTTATCTGTTCATTCCAAAGCAAGGAGCTATGGGTAATAACCCCCAAATCTTTTTCCTGTGCAGATACTTCTAGTTCTACTCCATTTACAATATAATTCGAGTTAGGATTATTATTCAGATTAATATGGACTACTTTACACTTGGCAGGATTGAAGTTTAAGTGCCAAATACTCTCCCAAATTTCGAGTTCTAAAATATCATCAGATACACTTCTATGGTTAGCTGCATTACAAACTAACTTGAGATCATCTGCAAATAATTTAATCTTATTTTTAACATTGTCAGGTAAATCGTTTATATAAAGAATAAATAGCAAAGGACCCAATACTGACCCCTGGGGAACACCAGATAACACGTGTTTCACCTCAGACCATTGTCCTTCTACACAAACCCTCATGGTTCTGTCTGTCAGAAAGTCTTTTATAACATCTAAAACTTTTCCCTTGACCCCAAACCCCTCCAATTTAGATAGAAGTCTAAAGTGGGGGACTGTGTCAAAAGCTTTACTAAAATCAAAATACAAAAGATCGACAGGAGCACCTTCGTCTAAAATATCAAGAATATTATCAAATGTCTCTAAGAGATTAGATAGACAAGATTTACCCTTCACAAATCCATGCTGATGCTTTGAAATTCGTTCTTCTAAAAATGTTAATAAATGTGCCCTCACCAACTTTTCATACACTTTGCACAAAATACAAGTTAATGAGACAGGTCTATAATTTAAGGGATCAGATTTAACACCCTTTTTGAACAATGCTACAACAGATGCTGTCTTCCAAATGTCAGGCAGGACTCCTGTTTCTGAACACTTAACAAATAATTTAGTTACAGCTTCAACAAACTTTTCATCGTATGCTAAGGATTTCAACAACTTTGGATGAACGCCATCCGGACCAGAACTCTTAAAAACATTAAGCTTTAAAAGCTGCTTCTTGATATCAGAACTGCTAATTTCCATATCATCAATAACCTCTTTGTTATAACTCTTATTTTGGGGAAGAGGGCCAGGTGGTTCACGCACAAACACAGAACTAAAGGCACTAGCAAGTACCTCAGCTGACTCAGATGAACTATCTGTGCGTGTACCATCTCCTCTATCTAAAGAAACAACACTTGACTTAACTTGACGTTTATTACGCAAATACGAGTAAAAAGATTTACAATTCTGTTTTAAATTAGATGTAATCTTCTTTTCATAATTTACTTTAGCTTTAATTTCTGCCACCTCAAAAATACGCTGCTTGCTATTTGCACAGCTAAAGTTAATATCCGAAGGATTAATATCAAATTCAGCCCATGCTCTGTCCTTGTTCTTCCTCATTCTTTTAAGTGAAGTTGTACTCCATGGCAACTTAACAGGTCTGTTGTCGAGATAAACCGAAGCAGCTGGGACAGCTGCAGCAACAGACTCCAATTTACCATGTAGTTCAACCCACATATCTTGAACATTATTTGTACAACTATAATCCCAGTCAATATTATTCATACTAAAGTTATATAACTCTTCTGAGGAAATCTTACCCCAAATAGGCTTTAAAATCTTTTGTTTGGGACTTTTGTTAGTATTGGGCGAAACAACCAGTTCGACTAGTATCCCAACATGATCACTTTTGCCAAGCGGAGAAACGATCTTACAACCGTTGACAAGAGCATCATTTGTATACAAAACCTGATCAAGAAGACTCTCTTGGAGAGTATCTTTCACAAGCCGTCTTCTGGTTGTTTCGTTAGTAAAGTACCACGTCAAACCACTGTCATTAAATAAATCAATATACTTTTGTTGAATCATTAAAACATGATTCTTACTAGAAATACCACTATTTACACTACCAGTTTCCCAAGATACATTAGGTAGGTTAAAATCTCCTATGATAATGGTTTCAAAAACATTCTTTTCACTAGATATGTTCTTGATGCAAGATAATAACATATTATTCTGTTTTAAATTCAAAGATGTAGACCTATAAATACAACAAATACTAATCAATCCACCAGAGGTATTGACATTAATAGCTAAAGAGTCTGGTGCTTTTAAAAATGAGCTCACTAATGAAGCATTGCAACTGTTTTTAATATAAATAATAGAACCTCCACCTCCACTTATGTTGCTAGTGGAGTTATCGATTTTAAAATCTCTGTCTTTTCTAAACATACTAAAACCTTCAATAAAAATTTCAGCATCTAAAATATCACTATTAAAATGAGTTTCTGTAATGCAGATTACATGAATGGATTTATAAACTGATAGAATACATTTTAGTTCATCAATTTTATTAAATAGTCCATTAGCATTAGTATAAAAAATATTCATGGGCTGACTACATTCTTTATCACTGCTATTTACTTCTTCTCCACCTTTTTCTCTGTCTTTTCCTTCTCTGCTTCTTCCCGCCTCTTCTTCCTCTCTTCTCTGGCTAAAAAACGGATCTCTCGGTCTGCTCTGCAGAGATCCAGATTTATCCAGTATGATGACTCTTTCCAGCCCTTGCCATGGTTGGAATAATAGTTAACTGACTCCTCGTCAGCTGTCTGGATGATCAATGGCCGACAGGAGTCTGGCTTACCTGGATCCACTTTACCTGCACGATGGCAACTGATAAAGTCACTTTTTTCAATCTTTAGTGTCTCCTTGCAGAACTTCGAGTCCTCTTCCTGGCGTAACTTGGAGTTAGCTTTCTTGCTCTCTGGTACATTCAAAACACACAGATTGAGCTTCCTTAAATTTCGCTCATATGCATCAGTGTGCATCTTTGTCTGAACTTTACTGACAACACTTTGTGAAGCTTGCTGTAGGCTCATTTCTTCCATAACTTTCTTCTGACTATTTGCAGTAACATCAGCGAAGGACTGGAAAGCCTGGTTCACTATCTTTGATATTTCTTTAGGTTTTTCAGACTCAAAGTTAGTTGGAATGTTCTCGTTCACTGCGTTTTCAACAACCCCTCTGATACAAGGTGTAAGAGCCTCAAGTTCCTGCCTAATAACATTCCTTAGTATTTTTGTTTCTTCATTATCAGGGTTCGAGGTCTGAGTCCTTTTGCTTTTTATGTAAGGTGATATAAAACAATTCTGACAACGCCAGTTAGACAGATGGTCGCCTTCTTCTTGTGTCAGACCTGTCAGTCCAACACAGCAATAATGCCAGTACATATCACAGGTTGCACAAGCTAATGAAAACTCCTCTGCGATATACCTTCTGCATTCACAACTACGGTCTCCTTCATCTTCAGTTACATCCGTTTCTGCTGTAGCACCAGTTTTCTCTGGACTTTTCTTGACATTTCGTTTTCGTGCCGTATCTCCTCGTGTCATACCTCCTCGTGTCATACCTCAATAAATGTATTTAATTGTAGTTGTGAAAATAGTTTAAAACTGATACACCTTACTAGACGTATTTTTGACCGTAGAATCGATTGAAAGTGGTTTCAAGATGATTGGACTGATTGTTCTGGGGTAAAATCGCAAAAAAACCGATTTTTGGGCCAAAAATAGGCCAAAAAACCATGTTTTTTGATATTTTGAGCAAGTTAATTTTGTTGGCATGTCGGCAAAACTTGCATAAAGATAGCTAAAAGACAGCCGCACAAGATTGTATAAAAATAAAACAAATCCCTCTATTTGTTCTGAGGTAAAAATCCAAAAAAGTGGTAAAAATTTTGACTTTTTTGCTTGAAGTTTGAATAATTTTTTGCAGTTGTATTAAATCAACCCAAAAATAGTCACATCGTGTTTGCCTAAATTTTTCCTTTCCGAGAAGTACCCACTTCATATACTTTATCGAAGTTTGAATATTGTCACTCCGCAAGCGTTTTTGCCAAATTTTCGACGCGCACTACGCGCAAAAGCATTTAGTTGTTATCAATTGGCACCCGCGCGTTCATCATAAATTTCAAACAGCTATAACTCAGCGAGATTATGTCCGTTCTAGCTCATATTTTCACACTAAATAGAAAATAATGTGATCTTATTGCTGACAAAATATGAATATAATTACTCTATTTGCCTTAGAGTAATAGACTGTCAAAGTTTAAAACGCGCATTGGTATAGCACGTGACTAATAAGTCCAAATTTATACTTCTTAACATATTATCGATCCTTAGACATCATACTATTGTGTCCAATTAGCGGTTAGGTCTCTAAACTCGTAGCAGAAAACACGTCTTTTTGCCCGTAAGAGCCTCTACTATAGTGTTTCAATCGTGTATTCGATGGGCAAGCACTCGCCACTTGAGGCCGAGACAAACGGCACCAGCTCCGCCCCGCAACCGTGAAGTAAGGCGGGGCGGTGGTGTGCACCGTTTATACGGCCCACAGCACGAGACATTTTGAGCTCCAAGACTTAAGACTATAATTAAACGTAGCGACTTACCATCGTCAGCCGTCAAAAATTTAGAATTTGTATGTTATAAACTCTACACCTGCTATCAGTCTAACATGTAATTTAGTTTGTTATTGGCTAAATTTTCAACTCGATTAAGCGATGCAGACGGATGAACTAGGCTTCTCCTCCGTCAAAAACACAATGAGAGGGGATTGTGGAAGGACACGAACACTATTCGTTAACTCGTACCCCGGGTACCCCCTAGAACTGTGTCCCATCAGAGAGAGCCCATCACCCGTCAGATCGAAAACACACGTACCACCTCACAGCAAGTAGACCAAAGTGGCTCTTGTTTGTGAAAGGTGTATCAACTACCCGTCGAGGCGGTGGGTTGGGAGTCCCCCCTGGGATCATTTCGTCCGTAAAATTTTACACAAATAAAAAGGTACTATAAAATATCTTTAAAATTTATTTTAACGCACGTGCACTTAAGAGACCTCATAGCTCGTCTTCTGAGGTATGAGATTGATGGATTCTTCATCCAGTCCAAGGTGCTGGGCTTTTTGTCTTCCTCTGATTCCCCTGAGTGTGCTTTTTAGCAGATCAAGCATGATTGTACTGCAATGTCAACCTATATCTAATCTATTAAAAGAGTGACAACCATACTACACATTGAATTAGGGGGGGGGTCAACCTCATTTTACCTCATGAGGCCAGCCAAAAAAGGCAAAATTGGGATGAGGTAAAATGAGGTAAAATGAGGTAAATAAATCTAGTTTTCTAAGCCTTTTTTTAGAGACAAAAAAGGTTTATTCGAAGTCATTATACTATAATTCGAGGCTGTGCATGGTCTCCCATGATATTTAATGGTTTATTAGGGGTGATGTGGTCCCTGGGAAGGGGCATTCCCAGTTTAACCTACTTACTCTCCAAACTTGGGGTAAATAAAACTTCGCATTATAATTATTATTTATGAAAAGAAAATTGAACATTTCAATTTCCATGATCCATTAGGATATTGTAAATAGCACTTGCTAAGTTTTGTAAAGGAATTAGCAATAACTTTAGTGTCACTTTGGCAGTTGCCAAATGGGGATATTTCCGCATTGCATGACATGGACCATTTAAATAATATCTTAATTTGATATTGCGATTATCGAGTCACTCTGAAACAAATTGTATCTAACTAGACCAAATGTAAACAACAGTTGTGCATGGAACTGGATTGGATATCTACATGAATTTAGTCGAAATTGCATAGTGAAAGGTAATTTTATAATAAATTACTCATATAAACTCATACGGCTACCGGACAACTGAACCCAATTTGGACTTTTCCTAGACAGGGTAGCTTGGGAAAATAATTATAAACCCAATCAGACTACCTAATTAACTTTAAAACGACAACTGAACCCAATCGTCACTAGAAATCACTAACAGTTTAACAGGTTTCCAAATACCGTTCTAGTTTAGCTGCTGCCTGGTTTCTAGTGCTATAATGCTTTCGGAGACAAAACAGAGACAATATTTCATTAATGTTAATTTTAATAGGTAATTGTAATACTCCTGAACAGTGGACTTGGCCCTAGTAACCCTTGACCTGAAACCACGGTGGAAACCTTCCACCATGTTACTGGTCCGGGGATATTCAGGATCCACCATAATGGTGCAGAAGTGGTTCCAAAACTCAGTCGGACACTTGGGGTGGATCTAGGACCAGTCAAGTTAGCCAAACCAAGATAACTACGTTCAAAGTAGTGTACCACATCCATGAGCAAAGGATAAGTAATGGCAATGTGAATGGACAGAGCCATTGAAAAAAGTTGAACTTTTCTAACACCTTCGAAAAAGCGTTCATAGCTGCCTTCTCGAAATCAATCATTATGATACCATCATCAATATTACAAACAGCACTCTTTATAATATTCAACAAAAATATATACGTCTTCTCCGTCTTGTCAGAAAGATACTGTGACCACCATCTCTCTTCCTTATGTATTGATCCGATCTGTATAACAAGCGTACTAATAGATGACAAGGTCTCAGGTGCCTTTCGATCGCGAGATCTGATCTAACAAGCTTACGTGTTCACGAAGCGTGCCGAAAAAGATATGATCCACTGCTCCTCAAGCATCGAGATCCGACCCAGGGCTCGAGATCTGAACCATGGCAGGCCCTCCCAAAGCATCAGGAGTCAAGTAACCTGAGCCGAGTATCCAGCGTGCTAATGGTGCGTTCCATCAGTTTTGGAAGACATGAAACAGTGGAACTATAAGAACGCCCATCAAGATCCGTATCTACAAGGCTAACTTTCAAAGCTAGACGGACACGTTGTCAGTTTCCCAATTTTTTACTGGATTAGAAACCAAACTATGGGAAGAGACTGAGAGGACGACTCCGTAAAGGCTGGATGGCCTGTGTTCTCGAGGATGCGGCTGACAGGTGTCGATAACATCAGCAGAGACGCAGTAAAACAGTTAGCTCTAAAACGAGTGGACACCGTAGAAGAGATGTGTGTGATGCAGGCCACTCCAGGAGGAGACCTCTTCAATCTTCATGTAGCATGTATGTATTAATATTTTACCGGGGTAAGCACAGGGCTCCAATGCTCTAAATTACAGTGGTCACGATCTATCCTATAGTGATAATGACCACAGTCCCCTGCGAAGAAGGAGAACCTGAAAATCCGATCGTTGGGTTCAGTTGTCGTATTTCCTTGGGTTCAGTTGTCGTATTTCCAATTTGGGTGCAGTTGTGATATGACCTGGGTTCAGTTGTCGTTTTGGGCTTTAAGCTGATTGGTCACCCAATTAAGCTGATTGGGTGCCTGTTAACTGCGTGGGAACTAGGTTCAATTGGGTTCAGTTGTCTGCCACCCACTCATACTTCATACAATTCTAAGTTCTTATGTACATGTTCAATGTTCATGATTCGCTGTAGAATAAAGGGCGGTTCACAAAACCACCTTTCGTTTAAATAATTAGATATCACCTCTAATTAGTTGCTCTATAGGGTCGGGAACAACCAAACATTTTTTTGTGTCTCTACGGTTTCTTATAATACTGACTTGGGCCACGCCCATATTTTTCACCAATTTTTAACAGGTAAAATTCTCTAAATCGTCAATTTAGTCACGAAGGAGTATGGAAGGAGTTCTAAATGTGTGCTCCTCTAATATAAACAGTATGAAATGGTTAACTTTAGTCAAGGTCTCATGTCTCTACGACCTTCACTTTTGGCGCTGTGAATCTTGCGCTTCAAGCGCAATGCGCAAATTCCTGCAGGAACTTCCCGACATTGTAGAGACCTGAGACCTCGACTAAAGTTAACCATTTCTTACTGTTTATATTAGAGGAGCACACATTTAGAACTCCTTCCATACTCCTTCGTGACTAAATTGACGATTTAGAGAATTTTACCTGTTAAAATTTTTGCCGAGATTTACCTCATGAGGCCAGCCAAAAAAGGCAAAATTGGGATGAGGTAAAATGAGGTTGACCCCCCCCCGAATTAGGATTCCTTTAAATATCAAATTGATTTATTGTAAACTTGTTTACTCTGTAATAAATGGCATAAAATTGAATTTTTGTTTAACTGAATGTAGTGAGGCATGTTAAGAACGAGGATAAGATTTGAAATGTTTAGGACAACTCTTACTGCTCTACAAGGGTACTGAGGAAAGAAGCTGGGCACCATGCCAAACATGAGATCCATCTATCAGAAGTCTCATACAACCTCATCCAGTGGCGTAACAAAGGGCCCCGCTGACCCCGCTGTGCGGGGGGGGGGGGGGGGGGGGGGGGCACAGGTAACATTACGCAACTGACCTCATGCCTGCCCCTATAATGGAGTAGATAATGTGTTTTGAAACTTGTATATATTTGATTCTCTTTTTTAAATTTTTTAATTGTGTTCTGCCAATTGCGTCAGTTGATTTAATTGAATGTACACATTGTTTGAATGATATTTATCAAAAGTTGAAGTTTAAATTTACTACTGGACGGCCAAAAGGTGCAACATTTTAACAAGTTTTATTGGTATATGGAAAGCAATGGTGAACAGTACACCGTTGTGATTTTAAATGCATATAAGCCACTTGGGCCTGCTAGCAGCTCTTGCAAGATAAGTATAGTTCAAAGAGAGGATGCATCCGTAAAGCAAAGTATTACAATGTAAAATGCAAATTGTGTAGAATATCAACTATTTACGATTTTTTTTCTTTAGGCAAAATGTTGTTCTGCTGTCCAACTCTCTTAGCAGGGTTGGTTCTTATCATCGTGTTCATTGTCTTTTTGGCAAAACGAAATACGTCTCTCAGATTACATAACTATGTAAATTCTTTGAAGGATAAAGCAAATTCCTGGGATGAATCCGAGGTCATTGAGTTCGATCCTCGAACAAAAGTACTCGAGGCTGACTTTAATGAGATGATAGGTACATTTCTATGGAATTATTCAATTATTTAAAAGTAGTAATATAAATAATACTACTTCTTTAAAAAAAGGGACTTGGAATATAAACGACCAAGTTTGCATAAATGTCTATCCAACCAAGAATTTAGGAGGCAATGGTGGGTGCGTACCCTGGATTCTATTGAACGTATTTTTGTTAAAAATATATATATAATTTTCTGGTCACTCGCTTGCTACTCCAAGTCCCCTTAGATATCTGGTCTAAAGTTTGTGCTAGTTATATTTATAAAATATGTTTTTGTCTGCTTTAATTGATACTAAATAAAATTGTTGCTTTCTTTTCTTGTGTCATAATGATCATATACCAAATTTGCAGTTTTATGAAAGTTGCCTATGGAAACGAAAGATGTTTCCATCGTTTTTAAGTAGTATTAGCAATAAATGTTATAATCTATCAGATCGACTGAAGAAAAGGATTGTTATTCCGAACTTGATTGAACCTGAGAATAGTCCTTACGGAACTCCAGCTGCTTATGTCAATCTTGTGGCAGATCACATGACAAATTCATTTGATTTTTCCATGGTGAACAATGTGCTTTGCCAGTTTAAGCACTTTAAAACAGTGATAGGTATATCAATTTATAAGGAAAATATACGTGTCTCTGTTGCTTTTCAAATAACAATAGAACTAATATTATATGTAGAGCATTCATTGAATAGTTGTGGCTGGTTTTAAAATCATACATAATATTTGTTTTCCTAATATAACCAGGCTGTCACTTCTCCACTCTCAGGAGATATCACCTTGCACTTTATACACATGGTTGGAAGCGAGGAGAAGAAGTCCACTCCTATTGTGTTACTTCATGGCTGGCCAAGTACAGTTTGGGAGTTTCATAAATCAATCCCAATGCTTGTTGAAAAAGGTTTGAACATAACTTTTGGGGACTAGTTGGGGATTATCCCTGGTTACAGTTTAAAGCACTCAGTCCTTGGAAATTTAAGCAATGAGTTATAAGACTTTCAAAGTTCATTAAATGCTTAAATAATATTTATGTATTCATCCGTACAAAGACCATCCATGTTAACTGAATCCTAATTTCATAATAGAATTCTCTAAAAAGGTATCTGTCAAACGTTAAAGACATTTTTCTCAGGTTACACTACCGTATAGTGATACCGAGTCTCCCTGGTCTTGGGTTTACAGAACCGCCAAATGTGACCGGTGTTAGCCCTGCTGTCATTGCTTGTGCTTACCACAAACTCATGCTTCAGCTAGGATACAAACGATTTGTTGTAAGTTTTTTGATATACAAGTTAATTTGTTATTACTGGTTAAATTATCTGTTATTTCATGCTTGTATTTATGGCCACTGATAACAACTATGAACTATCTACCAACAGCAGATTATTCAGAAACCATTATTATAATTCTTCAGATTCACGGGGGGGATTGGGGAGCTATCATTGGGTCTCTGATGACTTACATGTATCCTGAAAGCGTTATTGGACTTCATACTACTATGAATCAAATGAAATTTGGTATGGACTATGGATGCAGTATTTTTATCCCTTTTTTTAGTTTTGAGATTGTTTTTGACCTGTTGAAATCTAATGTTTTATCACGAAGATCATCATTTTTATTTAAGTTTAATGCCTAAGCGGGCCTGGCTGTCTTGAGTTACCAATTAGCGATTAAAATCTTACTCGGTTATGGATTTTAAAATGAATAACTTTCCAATGTTTCAGGTTGGAGACTAATACTTCAAACCATGGTTGGAGCTGTGTTTCCTTCTTTGGTGTACACCACTGAAAAAGAGAAAGGAGTTATGCACCCTCTCTCCACATTTGGTCAAAGAATGTATTACGATATGGCATATTTTCACGTGCAGTCTGTACTACCAGACTCCTACGGATACGGCATGGTCGACTCACCAGTCGGACTTATTGGTTGGATAGGTAACCTCCGACAATTATATTACCATCTAGATTCTTTTCGAATTTTTCTATAGTATTTTAACTTCGAATGTTATTTTGAAGTGAAAAATCTTCCAAACCTATAAACATTTTGAATTCTTAGTAATTTGAACTCTTGTCAGGATCTACATATGCTATGGTTAGCAGTTCAAGGGATACAACTAAGAATGCTATGGAAAACATGGAAGCTGGAATAAAATGCTTTGGAATTGACAATATCTGTGCCATGATAAGCATCATTTGGTCTGTAAAAAGTGCACAAGCTTCAATGAGGTGAAAATGAAATATGTGAACGAATATGTATAATGTATGTGGAACTATCTTAGCAATATAGAGAGATGGTGTGCAAAAGTTTGGCATCGACAAAATATGTGCTAATTTGGTTATATTTTTGGCATCATTGATGTTTAATGAGGTACTGCTCATTTATCTTAAGATATTCTGATTTTATGACGGAAAATATAATTTTGTTTAATTTAACTATCAGATAACTCTAAGTAAATATTGCAGGATTTACCACGAATTCTACACAAACGATACAGAACTATTTTCGAACTTGTTTATTCCGAATGTTCCTGTTGCAATCTCTAATTTCCCTAACGAGGTTATGCATTTGACTAAATTTGCAACCAGGGCCACCTTCAACAACATAAAACAGTTAGTATAATATTTTTCCACATAATTATTAATTATTTAAACGTAAATATTTTTGAAGCTTCTCAAATATCTTGATTTAATTCAACCTGACTTGGAATCAAACAAGAATTGCGCCCGTTGTTTCGTTTTGGCAGACGCTAGATTTCCATTCACTATAACTTTAAGTATAAGCTCCAATCAGCTCACCTCATAATAATAATATTGATAAATTATGCATTATAAATACGGAAACACTTGAAATTCAATTCAATTGCCGTAGAACTTAACTTGTATCTGCAATTCAAGAAACTGTAGCAAAAGTAAACTATACTTGTGTACACATCAATACACTACGCGTGCCACGTACAAATTGGGCTTTAAATAACCTACAATTTTACATAACATAGCATACATTAAAATACACTCGCGCCACACATTCATTGACCAAAGGCTATGTATACATCACATCTCCGCATCTATACATCACATCTCCGCGAGCAATCCTCCTGCACGCGCGCGGATTTTTCGTTGCATGGTAACGAACGGAAGGAAGGAACACGACATACTCATATCAGACCTACCTACCCCAATCTCCAAAATCCACGTTTTTCTGCAAAAACCTTCATTCGTAACCTTTCACTATTGCCTTTTTACAAAAGGGTGTGAACGGAAAAAATTTAGCTAGTTTTGAAGACTTTAGACAAAATTTGTATTATGTTTAAATCGAATTGTTAACACTTCCAACCCTAGGTACAACTACCATAACCACGGAGGACACTTCTCCAACATTGATAATACAGAGGCTGTTGTTGGGGATCTGACCTCTTTTATCCAGACAATTCAATAAACAGAGCTCTCTTGGACTGACTTTAGATTATTAATATCCTTACCTTATTGAGAAAATCGTCAGTCATGATCATGATTGATAGTTAGTTTATGATATAAATTATTAGTTTTGTTTTGTGATTTTCATTTTTAAAAATAAACCATTGACATTGTGTGCAAATTTACTGTTTGTTTTTATATTTTTGTATTATAATAGTCATTGAAATTTTACATATTATAAGTTTTACAGATTACCTATGAGCCTTCTATCATCACATCAGCTGAATCCCTGGAATCCTTCAAAGAATTTCTAAAAACCTTCTTATGCAAATTGTCTCAGCATGAATGATATATTTTCAAGTATATATTATCAGTATATGCTACTAATTGAGAAGATCGTCAGTCATGATTGATAGTTAGTTTGTGATATATTATTAGTTTTGTGAATTTTATTCTTAAATTAATGAACCATTGTGTGGAAATTTCTTGTTTTTCAAAATATAATCATTGTAGTTTTACAGATAAGTTTTACAGTTAAGCTGCGCCTACTACCATCACATCAGCTGATGAAAAAAAATCAATGACTAATTTTAGCCTTTATTTAGTGTTAGTTCTTTAATTTTAAGCTTCACTCTCTGATTTTAGTATGAACGATATATTTTCAAGTATATTAATTATGCTTTTCTAACAAAGTTAAAACGAACTCTTCATATAGTGTATCCTGGGTTTGGACAGGATATACCCGTTTACAATATTGCCATCACGTTACATTACATAATTCTGAAACTCATATTATATTTACAATAAATTATGCAATGTCACAACATTAAAATCAACAATGTTACCAGTCGGACTATATTTTATCATGAATGTTTCTGGGATGACTAGATTAAACACTGCTGAGTATAAGTTTATCTTAATATTGGTGTTCTTAAACTTCAATTTATTATTATTACTAGAAAGCCCGTGGTAACAGGGAGGAAGCTAGTATGTTGTATGTAGTAGTATGGTATTCTTTGAAAGAAAGTTTTGATCGCATAAAAAAATACTTCCCAACCGAAGATACATCTGATTTTAATGTTAAAAACACTTTATATTATCACAAAACCGATCAAAATGCCGTTCTAACAATCATTGAACGTGCACGTTTACATTACAACACCGTTGATATGCAACCTTTTGGTTTTTGCCTAACTTTTTACTTTTGGTTTTTGCCTAACTACAAACATATAAAATTCTTTGAATTATAAGTAAGATAAAGTGTTCCGCTTTTTTATTTACTGGTTATAATCTATGTTTTTATAGGCAAAATGGTAACCAGGTATTTACTGGCTAACAGCCCATATCACAAGTAAGCGTTGGCTGTTGTTTTCAACAATATTGCTGGTAAACAGCTACAAAGTTTATATTGAGCATACAATTTTAAATTGAGTCAAACAGAGGCTCATGTAGGAGGACCAGGGAATGTTTACTTAGCACGATAGATGAAGTCAGACGTAAGAAATCGGGCATAGGCCAATAGTCATGATCAGTCATAGGTCATGATATTGTCATCCATGGCCAATTATAACCATCATATGTTTTTATAAATCTGCTGTGTGTTTATAAATTCTTTTAAAGACCAGGTTTAAAGCAATGGACAATATACAACACTTCCCAATGCTAATGTTTGCCCTGTTGTTGGAATTAACTTTTTTTAAATTTTGTATCCAAAAAGTAACATTTATTCCAACACTTTGTAGTTGAATGTAAATACAAGTCGTCAAGCTGAAGGATAAAAAGAGCAAAGCAGCCTCAAAGGAGGTTAAAAACTTCAATTCTGCATACTTCTCTCCCAACCCAACTGGCGGGATGCCATATGGAGTTTCTCAAAATATGGTAAGTTGCTACAGGCCTGTGCAATAGTCTATTTTTTGAAATAAAACATAAGTGGTATGGTGGTCGGTGGAAATTGTAAATATTCTGGTTTTAGATTTTAGAATAAAAACTGTTCATTTTCAGGTCGAGATATGTATTAGAGGCCAGATTCGATTGCTTGACATCAATGAGGCTCTTCCTGTAAAATGCAAAAAGAGCGATGTCAAGGAGTTTCCTCGACTTCCAATCCCCAGTTCATTACCCAAGCCCCAGTTTCAAGTGAAGCAGTCATACAACAAAACTCTAGCCCCTAAAAGAGCTGCAAGTTATTTCAGATATATTGAAAAGAGCTTGGAAGAGCTTGATCAAGAGGTAAATGTTTTGTTGCAGCTTAGTATGATCTCAGTATTAAAGGAGATACAGATTACAGATTCTTTTAAAAAGATAAGGGTACGGTAGGCAACCTTCCGTTTATGATCTTGTTTAATGTAGGTGACATATTTTTATTGTTATTTTGTATGCCACTCCACTGAATAACATGTCATCAGATTGAGTATGACATGGACGAGGAAGATTATGCTTGGTTGGACATCATGAATGAGAGAAGGCAAGAACAAAGTCACTCAAAAGTGCCCTGTGAGATATTTGAACAACTCATGGACAGGTTGGGCTTTTTGTAAAATTCTTAAATTCCATTAAATTAAAATCATTTTCTATGGGCAACCTTACAGTAGAAATTAACTTTATTTTAAATTGTGTGATTTTAAAAGTATCAGTTTTATTGAATTGTCTAAATTAGTTTTATTCAGGTTTGAAAAAGAGAGCTACTTTGAGTCTCAGACTTCAGGAAGTGTTTACGACCCACTAATTGATGAAGATGCTGTATGTTGTATCTGTAACGACGGTGAATGTAGCAACAGGTCTGTCATCATAAATTTCAAATAATTATTCTGGAACAAGTTTTTTTCTCATCGTATTCACAGTACTCCAGGGAGTCTAGTGGGAAATTAATCACCTCAAGCACTCTGGTGTGTACGCTTAAAACTAAATTTTTGGTCTAAAAAATTTCAAACCTTCAACAAACAACACTACCACCTCTCAGTAATGTGATACTGTTCTGTGACATGTGTAACTTGGCAGTACATCAGGACTGTTATGGAGTTCCCTTTATCCCTGAAGGACAGTGGTTGTGTAGAAGGTGTCTGAACAGTCCTTCTAAACCTGTCGACTGTGTTCTCTGTCCTTCAAAAGCAGGTTAACAGAACATCCGTGCACACATCGGATCGTATTATATTATAACATTTTTATGTTTATTCTGTACATAGTTTTTGCAATAACTCAATTTAAACACAACATTCTTATGTGGAAATCATTATAAGAAAAAATATTGTAATTTGCTGTAAAACTTGACAACACATATCTTTACACAGGAGCATTCAAACAGACGGAATGTAACAGATGGGTGCACGTGCTGTGCGCGCTGTGGGTCCCGGAAGTGCACTTCAGTAACCCAGTCTTCTTGGAACCTATAGACTCTATCAACGAGATCCCTGCAGCAAGATGGAAGCTGACGTGTTACATTTGTAGGCGGCGTGAGGGTGCGTGTATTCAGTGCGTCAGGACTAACTGTTACACTGCATTTCATGTTACTTGTGCTCAACAGGCTGGTGGGTTTATTAATTAACTAGTAATGTTCACTATTGTAATCTGACAATGATAACTTGATATTTATTTGAGAATTCTAATTTAGCTGTGGAGCAATATTACCATAATATTACTATTTCATTCTCAAACACTTTAGAAATTCGGGTGCTAAAAACTGCATTCATTGCCGCCAGGTTTGCACATGAAGATAGAAACCTACCAAGACGAATCAGGTAACAGCACGGTGAAGAACGTAGCGTTCTGTGACATCCACACCCCCGCTGACAGTGACGTCACGCCCCTTATTAGTCGGGTTAATGATGAGTCTGATGCTGTATGTCTTATCTTTTTTTTTGATGTTATTGTGTTTAATATTGTCGTTACAGCTTTACAGCGTGCTTAAACTATGATATGTTGTGCCAAAATAATTCAAAAAGGACATATTTTTACAAACACCTTGTATGAACTATGATGATGGCTATCTTATATTCTTATATTCAGCATCTCATATTCTTCTTACCCCAGGAAGAAGGCAAGAAGGTGAAACGTAAAAGTATTCTTCTCGACAAGAAACTGCAACAGAAGTTGAAAAAGAAGTTCTCTTGTGAAACAGGAGCAAACGCCCCCATCGTTAACATTCCTTACATCAATGAGGTAAGGAATTCTTAGTATTTCAAAGAAAGAATTTTCACCATCATAAAAAAGTCAGACTTTCATAATGTCTTATCGAAAAGCTTAAATTATAAACCAGTTTAGTAGTTTCTCCAGCTGAATCATTTACCTGCCAGGATAAAATGGATGAGATTCTGAACTTGGTGGACATTGATGATAAGGGAGAGTTCTTTGAGAGGCTGAAAGCGTACTGGACGCTGAAACGTCAAGCTAGAAATGGTGTACCCCTGCTACGTAGATTACAGGTAATAATAAATTAGATGATTAGTTAGGAAAGTTAAGTTATTTAGCTAGCAAGTCTGAACGTTAGTATGTTGATTAGTTAGTAAGCAAAATAGTTGTACTAAGTCGAGTTAGAATACAGTAAAATGTAAGAATTCATGACAAAACAGTTTTCCCGACGCTGTTTTGTCATAACATCCCACATAATTGAATACATACAATAATTTAAATGTACAGCGAATTCTGGTTAGATGTAAATATTTCACTCACTTGAAGTAGAAGGATCGAAGAGCGGATCAAATTTATCATCTTGTTTTTTAGCCACACAGCGTGGTTCTGCCGGGTACTCGAACCTAGTTCCGTGATCGCATACCACGTGTACAGCCCCTGTGTTAGTCATGCTCCTTAGTTTACATTCCACCTTTACCTCCTGTCCTGAGATAACCGGAAACCGGACCTTAGTGACCAGCCCATTGTCATGAACCCAGGTAATAGTAAGTCCGGTACAGAACCGCTCACCACCATACACCTCTACTTCTGCTAACTGTAGTCTCCCTGTTTGTGCTCCGCCGTATATCGTGACGAGGTTGCTGACAGTGATGATGTTGTTAAAAGAGTAGACAGTCTTGCCTTGAGAATATTCTATTGAAGAGTAAGGAGAAGAGCTAAAAGCAAGGATTGCTCCGTCAATCTCCCCATCTTGACCATACCGATCAGCTGCCCCATTTCTTGTCTGTCTGTTGTAGATATCAACCCTCAGGATAAAAACCTCCGCTTTAAATTCCAGCTTCCACCAAGCTCTCTTTGCTGATGACATGGTCATAGAAACAGAGTTACTGACAGCATCCTCTGGGTAAGGGTATGTTCTTCCATCAATAGCTTTATCCGCGCTGTACCAATACGCGTAGTCATCACTCTGAGAAGCTCGTCCTAGAGATGATATTTTCTTGTAGGAGACATGGTTAGAGGAAGGTTGTGATGATAGGGTTTGGAGGGATGACTGAAGGATTAACAGCACTTTGAAACATACAGCTGACTTAGTTAAAACCATATTTTGTCCGTTGTAGACTTTAAACACCCATGTAAACAAACCGGACGAACTGAGAAACTAAAGCTAACCACAGCTCACTTTGATGTTTAGCAGAACCAACTCAGTATTGGAAATTCGTAAACTTGTAAGTAACTCTTTTGTGGCTGTCATGTAGGTGTCAGAACCGTGTCAACAGTGCGCTCATCCGTTCAAATAACAATACTTCCATCTCATTTCAATTAACAGGTGCATTAATGAGCTCCCTTAACTCTATCATTTATGAAGTCAAACTGTCAAACTGTCAAACTGTCAAACCTTCTCGTGGGCAATATCAGATATTATTACGTTACAGTCCGCCTAATGTCCGTCAATGAGGGGTGAGCTAATTTACTGTTGACAGTTTTACTTCCATTATTAATATCTTCTGTCTCCAGAGTGATAGTGAGGCTTGTGGTCCTCCTTTGACAGTTGCTTTCCACTCAGTTCTACAAATTGAGTAATTTAACACTGAAATGAACTTCTAAATAATTTAATAAGTGCCAACTTCAGTCTTCAACCTTCTTCTCCGGTTTATAATTCTTAGTCGATTATATATACGAGTATTCGGCCAAAAACTTCAAAGTTGTTCCTTATGTCTACAGCTGTGTTATCAATGAATGATACTTGGAAATTAAGTCACGACTTACCAATAAAAAGGGTAACTTCCCGGGTGAAAACAAATTCCAGTTCACACAGAGAATCGTAATAACTTCCTAAAATCTCAGGTAAGTCACACTCGGACCCACACCATGGCCGACGAGGAGAGCGTTGACAAGGACCAGCTGGTAAAATGTCAGCGGTTACGACACGATCTGGAGAGAGCCAGACTCCTTGTGGAGCTTATAAGGAAACGGGAGAAACGGAAAAAGGAACAGGTTAGGGATATGGTTTTGTTGTTATGGTTGCTTTTTTTGTGTTTGGGGTTTCTGCCAAAAAAGCGTGGGGTTAACCAAACCTGATGGGCAACGGAACTTGTTTTTTTAATGAAATACTTTACTTTCTGCACAATAATTAATCAACAAATCACCGTTTAAATAAAATAACCCACTCCAAACAGTTGAAAGTAGCGCAGCACTTGATGGAGATGGAGTTGTGTCCTCTCTCGTACATTCTCAACAGAACTGTTGACCTGCTGTTTGCCAGGGACACCGAGGAACTCTTCCACGAACCTGTCAATGTTGACGAGGTATATTCGTAATCGGGTATTAATAGCCAGTCGATAGCTGGTTAGTGGCTGGTTAGTAGCCGGTTACTTGCCAATAAATAACTGGCTTAAATAACCTTTTTACAATTTACATCTGAACTATAATTGTAGCTGGTGGAATATTGTCGCAGCTTAACCTCTAGTTAATAGTACTGTAAATATTCTCCCAGGTGCAAGGTTATCTTGATGAAATAAAGCAACCTATGGACCTCGGAACAATCAGATCTAAAGTAGAAAACATGGAATACTCCTCTTTTGACCAGTTCAAAGCTGATTTCATGTTGATAATATCAAACTGTCTGTTGTTCAATGCAACTGGGTCTAATATTTACAAATATGCCGAGAAGCTGAAAGACACATGTCGTACCATCATGAATAGGTTTGCCATCTGGTTTGTTACCGATTCGTTAATCTTGTAAGATTATAAAATTATAATGAGGAAGAGTTATGTAGCCATTGATTTGTTAATTTTTATGAATAAGTTTGAGAGTTGACAGGGGCCTGTTTTTAACGCTTCAAGTAAATAATATCTCAATCACCAACACAGGTGCAAGCAAACAATAGAGAACACTCCCATAGACTGGAACACACTTTTACTACTGAAACAAGAAGAGAAGACGCTAGAGGAGCAGCTAGTGGACGTGAAGAATAAAGTGGAGGAAGCCAAGGCTATCACTAATTGGAGCACCCGAACATCTCGTTTGAAGCAGGTTTTTATAAGTTTTTACAAGTTTTTACAAGTTTTTAAAAGTTTTTATAAGTTTTTATAGGTTTTTAAGTTTTTATAAGTCTTGTCAGCCGTCAGGTATTTTAACTGTTATAAATATCTTCTCTGATTTGGCTTATTTAAGACTAATTAGTTAATAGTTAATAATAGTTACTAATTGGTATTTATCGTATTGTTTACTTCAGCTACGTAGAGAGATACGGAAGATAAAACAGCGAATGAACGAAGAAGAACGTTTGAGCACTGCTGATTCCATGTCCTCAGCAGAAAGTATGATATTTTCCTTTTTATTGACGTGGATTCGTGTGGGGAGGCGAAGCAAATTTGTTTACTTTAAAAGCTTAAAGTTTACTCGTGATCAAACACGTGATCAATCCATAGCTCATCTGGACCGCTGGAGAGGTGAAGCAAATTTTGATGACGTCACGATATTACCCAATTAAAGAGGTAAAGATGGTGCAGTGGGATTGAAATTAAACTAGAAACACCAAAACACTGCACCTGGAAGAACGGGAACGCACTACGCAGGTAAATTTAAACTAGCGTCAATTGACCAGTAATCACGGAATATGGTTTTTGTTACAGAGGCAGTAACGACGGTATCATATTATAATGCAGCATTTTAGGAGCATATTATATAGCACCAGTAAAGAAAGGTATCATAGTAAAACTCTTAAGTGTACCAAGGTAAACGAAATCGTGTTTAAATTTCGATTAAAGTGTAATTACGTAACTAGTGAATGGTATTATTGTAATAGCATTCATTTGAAGAATTCTGATCTGAATGAGCCAAATCTGACGGAATAAAACGTCATGAAAGATAATATATAATAATCAGTAATTGTTCCACCATGACGTATTAAATGATGAAAAGTTTGATTACTCTGTTTTTTATATCTGAGTTAAAGTATATACCTTACTCGGGATTATTATGACCGGGATAAAGTGGCGGGTTTAGGGTAATTTCGCCATATTTTTGCCGAACCACATTTTCACCGGTTGTTAATAAACCCGCCGACTCAGCTTTTAGGGTTCCCAAGGGGTATGGGTGCTCATATTTTAATGGTTGTCTTATATTCACTAAAGAAGACTATTGGGACACTTGCTGTAGGTTTTTCGACTTCATTTGGCTAAAATTGCAAAAAATTCACCTTTTTGCCCAATTCTTGTCATATATCCTTATTGTCAAAGTTGATTTAAATAGGCCAATTTTTAATTTCTTAGGTATTGACTATCTCTACATAATGAAATAGGACTCAAAGTAAAAGTAACAGTTAAATTAAAACTCGAATTAATTAAAACGGTCAATAACATGAATCAGTTTCATCAGTCATTTATTCATAATTCTAAACAATGTGAACGATGCATTCTTTCGAAGATTTTCTACAAATTGAGTCATAATGGTTATTTGATACACGTAAACATGTAATGCTAATTCAAAACAACGAATTTGCTAGAGTCTACTTTCAACAATTATTGATAATTCGACTTGTTTCACAAGTTTTAGCAATGCGAAAATTTCTGAACCTGCTTATCTCTAATAAGGAAATTTACATCTGAGACAAAATTTTTGAATCTAAAATTGAAAGGTTGGACACCGGTAAAATGGCGACCGGGAAAATGTGGTGGGTTTTGAGCAATTTTGCCATATTTTTCCCGAACCATATTTTAACCGGTCGTTAATAAACCCGTCGTAATAATCCCGAGTAAGGTAGTAAGTAAGATTTGGTCCGTGATTGGAGACCAAGTAAAGGTTTCTAGGTTAGGGTTTGGGTTTGATCGAGGATAAAAGCCAGGGATTGAGGGATAGGGAAGAGTCAGGGATAGGGAAGAGTCAGGGATAGGGAAGAGTCAGGGATGGGGAAGAGTCGGGGTAGAGCCTTGAGATCTAACTACTCACCTTGTGAGCTGGTCACAACTATCTCGTAGATAGAAATCTGTTTACTTTCCTTTGAGAGTCTTATAGAATCCCCTTCAACATCACAGAAAAAGGTGTAGGTCTGATCTGCCTGCTCTAGTTTGTATGATAGTTGGAGGGTTCCACAGGACTTCTGGTGTTCTTCTCCTAGGTACACTGACACATCTACATTTCCATGAGTATCTTTACAAGATGTGTAGTAGCTAGGGGTCCTTAAACACCAATTGTTGTTTAAGTAAAAGTCAGACATGAAAACCTGGTAGATCACAATTTTGTGAATGAAGTGACTTTTCCCGTACTCCACTTTGAACCAGACTTCCCCGTTGACTGGCACGGTGACTGACTCTGTCTTAAGATTCCTGTCAATCGCAAAGGTTTCCTTAAACTCCTTTAAAGTCTTTGACTGTGTGACTTTCAGTGGTGATAGTTGATCTGGTGACCATGGTAGAATGTGTGGAATTTGAGCGGCAACTGCAATAAACTGGCAAGCTACCAAGACGACCATCAAGATGATTCTCATTTTTCCTCAACTTCTCCTCTGAAAATCTGTTCAGAATCTTTATTTGGTCGTCAAATGAGCTGATTTACTATGTGCGTGCTGTCGAGATGCTTTGCATAGGGTTTGCATAAACAACAACAAACGAAAGGAAAGAGCAACAACGGAATGTGGCTACAGACGAGAGATGCCTTAAACACATGCACTGATCGGTCCAACGCACTCCTCACCTACTTTGTAAAGCGACCATCGTGTGATTTCCACCCGTTTAGGAAAGTACCGTGCTCGTGTCCTCCAACCTCGTGTTCTGTCCCCTATGCTTTATCTTAGATCCCTTAAACTATCAAATCTTCATAAACACCTATTTTGTGAAGTGAGTATCAAGTGATTTCCACCCGTTTAGGAGAGTACAGCCCTTGTGTCCACTCCCCCTGCTATATCTTAGATCCGTAGCACAGTTTGTATACTAAGGGGTCGTTCACATATTATGTAATCAGCCGAGGGGGGAGGGGGGTTTCCAAATGATTACGCTAGTGTAATTTTGACACGATAGCTATGTGTAAAACTGATTACGGATGGGGAGAGGGGTTAAAAATTGTCCAAAAAGTAATTTTTGGCCAGGTACACGCACTCCCCTTTGAGTCATTAAATCTTCATAAACACCAGCTTTGTACAGTTATTATCATGTGATTCGTGCTCGTTTCCATCCTTTTAGGTAAGTACCCCCTCCCCTTGTATCCTCCGTCCTCGTGTCCAGTCCCCCATGCTTTATCTTAGATCCCTTAAACTATCAAATCTCCTAAACATCTACTTTGTAAAGTGAGTATCATGTGATTTCCACTCTTTTAGGAAATCACCTCCCTCGTTTCCTCCGCTCTCATGTTCTCCGCTCTCGTTTCCTCCGCCCTCGTGTCCTCCGCCTTCGTGTCCACTCCCCCTGTTTTATCTTAGATCGGTGGCAGAGTTTGTACAATAAGTAAGTGCATGCAGAAATTATTAACCATAATAATCGCGCCATTTCAACGTTATTACGCTGTAGCCCATGGACCCGAGCAATATGGAGCTGGTAAACGACCTCATAAGGGCCAGGGGCCACTTGACCCTAGCAAGTCAACCCATTATCCGGTAACAGTCTTATAAACACTTCCTCGTTAGAAAAACAAACAGCCCACACACAAAATTTAACCCGTTCAGCTCATTTATTACACAAAATTAACGTTTCACAAAATTTTATTACAATTTCGACATTGTAAGTTTAAATTTACATCGTAATTACACCACCCAAATTTAACTGTATAACCTGGTAAAAAGGTAAAAACTGCAAATTCTTATTAATGTTCACAGTTCAGCCAATGAACTGTACAAGCAGTTCTGACGTTGAACTGTCGCACAAACAGGCCGTGGTTGTGAAATCAAAATTAAATTTTGTTGAACTACATCACATTATTCACACACAGTCGGAGGAGCAAACTGAACTCCTAAAATTTCTAGATTTCTAGATAACAGGAGTTACAAGAGTTACGAGTGTTCTAAAATTTATTTCGTCTATTTAATTGGGTAATATCGTGACGGCATCAAAGTTTGCTTCACCTCCCGGAGGTCCCAGATGAGCTATGGATTGATCACGAGTTTTATCACAGGGTCAATTAAAATAAAAATAACTCCATAACAGTAATAAGTAATGAACTAAAATAACCCCAGATCCAAAGTCAGAGCCAGAGGAGGGAGGTCCCAGCGGGGAGGATGCAACTAAAGATAAGCAAAGTAAGATAAGTGAGTTCTTTGTAAAGAAGGAGGATGGTCTTGAGGGGGAGGGGGGCTCTCAACCTTCTACTCCAGCTGCTGCTCCAACAGATCCGGCTGGTAAGGGATTTGTAGATCTTGTCAGTAATTAGGATGAGAATTTGGCATTTTGTCAATAATTAAAGACGAGAATTTAGGATCTTGTTATAGATAAGAATTTGGGATTTTTTGAAATAATTCAAGACGCAAATTTGAGATTTTTCAACAATTTTGAAATTATGAGAATTTGGGATCCTGTCGACAATTTTTCATGATAATCGATGAGGGATTTTGTTATCTTCTTAGAGGTCGTCGCTGTTGATAAAATATTATGGGTATGGTAGGTGTATGCCAAGGATAGTCTTATCAGGATTCGGGTCTGTTTTTATTAATATTTTTGACCTGATAATATAATATAGCAGCAGACAGCAGTATTACTTAAATTTAGACTATACCAGCAATTATTGCAATAATGATTATAAACTCAATCATTCTTGGCCAAGAAATTGAAGTATAATCAAATCAATATAGGTATTGTTTAATTAAAAGCAAAGTAATGTCGTGGAAAAAATCAGAACTCAGATTAAACATCTGAGCTTAATGTACAATAATATATACAGTACAGCAGGACACAGTTCTCTTTAACAAATCAAGATACGCACAGTAATAGTTGCTAAGATGTTATTTTCCCACGGAGTCAATGTAACGTGACACTCATTGTTGAGTAGTCACGTGACCTCACACTTATTGTTGAGTAGTCACGTGACCTCACACTCATTGTTGAGTAGTCACGTGACCTCACACTCATTGTTGAGTAGTCACGTGACCTCACACTCATTGTTGAGTAGTCACGTGACCTCACACTCATTGTTGAGTAGTCACGTGACCTCACACTCATTGTTGAGTAGTCACGTGACCTCACACTTATTGTTGAGTAGTCACGTGACATCACACTCATTGTTGAGTAGTCACGTGACCTCACACTCATTGTTGAGTAGTCACGTGACCTCACACTCATTGTTGAGTAGTCACGTGACCTCACACTCATTGTTGAGTAGTCACGTGACCTCACACTTATTGTTGAGTAGTCACGTGACCTCACACTCATTGTTGAGTAGTCACGTGACCTCACACTCATTGTTGAGTAGTCACGTGACCTCACACTCATTTTTGAGTAGTCACGTGACCTCACACTCATTGTTGAGTAGTCACGTGACCTCACACTAATTTTTGAGTTGTAACGTGATACTCACACTCATTGTTGAGTAGTCACGTGACTTCACACTCATTGTTGAGTAGTCACGTGACTTCACACTCATTGTTGAGTAGTCACGTGACCTCACACTCATTGTTGAGTAGTCACGTGACCTCACACTCATTGTTGAGTAGTCACGTGACCTCACACTCATTGTTGAGTAGTCACGTGACCTCACACTCATTGTTGAGTAGTCACGACGTTCTCGTTAGCCACTACCACATCATCGGGCGCATCTTCCTCGTTGATCTTCTTCTTGCACCATTGAAAAAGACAGTACAACACGCACAATCCTACGAATGCTCCTACGAATATGGGAATATGTGCGGTAGTTAACCCTCCTCCTTCCCTGCTGCTGGAGCGTCTTCTGTAACAATCTCTGAAGAATAGGGCCTATTTTTAGTCGTGATTTTTATCAACCGGTTAATAAAACCTTGTCTTATCGTTTGTTGTGAGGTATCAACTATCAAGTTGGTGCGGGCAGCAGATTTAAGAAGTTTTGATCAAAGTAAAGCAGAACTGTAGCTATACTACTTACACTTGAAAAGCATTGTAGGCCAGGAGAAGTGACAGTTGTAACAACTTTAATTGCACCGTAGCCATAAACTAACCCAGGTATAAAGGGAAAATGTAGTAGGGAGTAGTGTGGTAACCTTAATATAGTTATCAATCTACAGCTATAATTATAATTCAGCTCATAATTTATGAAGAACTAATTATAGCGCCAAAGATCTTATAGATTGCTAGTAGCATCCTAAAGGACTTTAATAACTAGGTTTCAGTTGCAACTGTAATTGATCATGATCTAATGATGGTTCTGCATTGTTGATTAAAAATAGTCCTTGGTTGACTTTACGCTTGTCACCTCCTATATTGTTAATAGTAATACTTCAAGACCAAAAATGTTTTCATTTTATATTTTATGAACGCACGAAGGAAATATCACAATTGTTCGTTAAATTCGAATAGACATGTCAACTGTGAATAAATTAAAATAAATGGTATGTGGTCTGACTTAAGACTAGTTAAACTCAAAGTCAGAGACCAGAGTAATACTCTGCTCACTGATATATTATGCAGATTTTGAATAATGAATTTATGCTTAACCTAAGATCAAAGCTGAACTTTTGACTCTGAGCGATCAGAGCTTTTATCTTAGGTTAAGCATAAAATTCATTATTCAAAATTTGCATAATATATCAGTGTTAACTTATCTAGTCATATTATCTTTGACTTAATATTATATTATTAAGTTTCTCATATGTCTCATAAATTGCACCAAATCAACTTATGGACGGGTCACGATATGGTAACGTTCATAAGTATTAAGTGAATTGTATCAAGATACAGGACTGTTTGTGAATGAAAGTAAAACCGTTTTCACCAGAGTGTACCTTGCAGGAGTCTCTGAAGTTATTTATTTAAAAAAATTATTTTACAGTTCTGGCTTTCTGGTTAAATTCTTAGTCTGATCTTGACCTGATCTTGATTCTTGACCTGAAGGTTTCCACTTCTAGTCAAGTTACATGTACCATTACCGTTCTTTAACCATCATCAGAAAAATAACGACAACTTTAATTTCTAAAGTGGAAGAGAGGAGGCCTGAGGGTTCAAGTAACAATTTCTTTTTCTTTAGGTGGAAGTGCTTCTGGAAATACAACTGCAAGAAGAAACCGCAATCACTTGCACATAGAAATTGAAAAGGAGGTTAGTTTGAGCAACAAAAACAATTTTATTGTACTGTACATAAAATTGGCTACTCTTGGATTGATAAAATATTTCAATAAAATAGAAGAATACCGTGGTATGGCTGAAATTAAGAAAAATTAAACAACCGAAGAGATACATTTTTCTTGTTAATTTTCAAATTCTGATCGCCAAATATTTATTAAACTATTTAAAATATTTATTAAACTACAACTCATAGATAAGCGAAATGCTGCAAACGAATCAGGAATCCCTGGGAAAGAAAATACTCCGTTTCTTGAAGCGACACAATATCTCTGAAAGGAAGATGGGAAGTGATATCTGCATGGACGGCGGGCAGCTGTCTGCATTCTTGAATAACAAGTAACCTATAGTACTATAAGAAATTTACTTTATAATGACGTGGCGATTTATAATTATGTCGAGAACCCTCCTAAATCTGTGTCAAGTCACAAGTTGATTTATTGCTTAATTGCTCTCTATTCAAAGGTGGCTTTATAATTATACACAATACTGACTACTGAGTAATTATATAGCAAATTACATTTTCATGATAATGATAGATAACTGATACAAATGATCATAATAATGACTGTTAACTGATACAAACGATCAACCAGCCTCGTCCCCAGGTGCTCGTTAACCAATACAAACAGAGAGCTAATCTACAGTTGGTTTGTTCAGCAGAGACGCAACAGGGAACCCGAACGGTTAACCGAAGAGTATGATAGCTCAAATTGTAAGTTTTTATATTATGATTAACGTGGGGCCGGGGGGGGGGGGGGGGGGGGGGGGGGGGGAGCCGGGGGTACCCCGAATACTATGTGATTTCCAGATAGCAGTTGATTTTAGGGGGGAATGTTCACTGAATAACTAGACGTCCATTCAATGGCCGACAGGTTCATGGCACACGACAACGTAAACTATAATTTAAAGTAAAACTAGACGTGTCAGTTTCCATTTTTATGGTTTTGTAAGAACAGCTATCAAAAATTAAATGTTGGATGTATACCATGTGCTACACAAAAATTGCTGTATAAAGCAAAAGTAAAACAATAGCTCAGGGGTCAAGACTCAAGGTGTTGGCCCAGAAAATGGAGTAAGATAATCTTTGTCCAACTTTACGATTATGTAGTTATAATACTGTCTCTTCTATTGTTTGCACCCACGTAGAAGCTTCTGGGGACCTCCCCTGCCCAAAATACCACCTAAGTAGTGAACAATAAAAGAGACGGTATTATAACTGTACAGTGTACATAATCGTAAAGTTGGACATCCATTTTCCGGGCCAACACTCTGAGTCTTGACCACTGAGCTATTGTTTTGCAACGATTATAACGTTTAAAAGTGACTGTGCACTGTGTAAGGTACAGACTCGTTTATAAGACAAGAGAGAAACACCATGGAATGATGTAAAATAACTTTGCAAATGTTTTCATAGTGGATTAAATTCCTGCCCCGGTATTCTGAAGTAACCATGAACTGTGACGATAATCCCTGCCTTATAATCCCTCCAAACTGGAGGTTTATCAAAAGATTACACAAATCTCTGATTTTTTATAACCTCGTCCCTCAGCCCCCTCCGACACAGACTCACAGTCCTCTCAAGACACAGACCTAGACGAGACAAAAGAGGAAACGGACCCCGAGAGAGAAGACCCGGAGCTCTCTAAAGATAACGCTTCTAAAACACCGGTATGTGGTTAGGTACAGTGAGGCTGTTGTTTTGAGCTGTTGTGGAACTGCTAGAATACCTATTACCGGGTACCCGCGGTGGTTCCTTTCCTTTGTTATTTCATCTTGATTATCTTTTATTTCAATTGAAGTATTACTAGATAATCTCTCAAAATAAATGTAAAAGTGTAAAAGATGACATTCTAGTAAATAGTAGAAAATAAAGCTACAGCATTGGCTCTGTGCCTGCTAAAAGCCAACTCTAAAATAAAAGCAAACAAAAACTAACAAACTCGGCAGGTGAGCAGCAGTGTCCGTACCTCATCCCGGACTCCCAAACCCAGACAACTAGACCTCCCTGATGATAGTCCCCAACTAGCCAGGAAGAGGAAGAGAACTGCTACACCAGACACAGGTTCTGAAACTGGCAAGAATTCCACCCGGAAACAATATCCTAGTGAGCTTGTTGTTTTATTCAGCTGGCTGTTTTTTAAACGATCCTGTTCGTGTTCACCTGTTCAATGTTCATGAATCATGACACAGACATTTATTGGAGTTATGAAAGTTTCCGCAATTTTTGACAAATAATTACATTTTTTCGTATTATAAAAAGTAAAATCATGTCTGTCAACTTTAGCATGTTAAGATAATTCGTCTACATTCACAACTTTAAAACGATCCTGTTCGTGTTCACCTGTTCAATGTTCATGAATCATGACACAGACATTTATTGGAGTTATGAAAATTTCCGCAATTTTTGACAAATAATTACATTTTTTCGTATTATAAAGTTTTAAAAAGTAAAATCATGTCTGTCAACTTTAGCATGTTAAGATAATTCGTCTACATGATTCACAACTTTAAAACGATTGATCAGATGCTAGAGGGAAAAATCTTAAAAGCCTCCAACCTAAACCTACTCATCCTCAACAAATAAATAAGCGGATTAAAAAGTGAATTAAGTGCAACCGTCATCACATACGTCATCAACCAAATATACTTCTCATAAAACACACCCTGCCCAAAACGTCCGGTTACATACATACTAATTATAAATCTGGTATAGTTAAGAAACACCGGCACATGGAAGAGGATGTAGACAAGAGTGAAGAGGATGATTGTGATTGTTGCTTTTCTCCTCATCTCCTGGGTGGACTTGTTGGAGTCTGTGGAGTCTTTGAGGAAGATGACTAGAGAGGATGTGATGCAGCTTACTGTGATAGGAAGGATGGGGAATGCTAGTTGTAGACATGAAAATACCGCATCTGATACCTGATAAGGAGTTTAATAAGATCCGTGCTACATGAATTTGTAACTTGTTGGGGGTGATGCAACGTCAATTAATGTCAGTATTCCATAAAAACCCCAAACTGACATTGACATTAATTGACATTAATTGACATTAATTGACATTAATTGACATTAATTGACATTAATTGACATTAATTGACATTAATTGACATTAATTGACATTAATTGACATTAATTTGTCTTGAAATTTGAGATTATCGATATTCGATAAATATTCAAGATACCTTACAAGAGTTTTTTGTGGCGGACCAATTTGCGACGACCGATATTTTGGCGGTCCGAAAATATGGCGAAATTGAACAAAAACCGTCACATTTCGGACGTCACAGAAAATAAGGGTATTTTTCATCATTTTTTGTGACAGTAAGCAGTAAGGAAATTTCTGAAATTCGGTAAAATCATGTTCAAACTTAGTCTGTATTAAGACTGTAAGACTTTCATGTTAGCACATACATGTATTTTAATGCAAATTTAAACTGTATTGCTTGACATTCAATTCGTCATTGGTGTGGTGATAATTTGTCCCAAGATGCCAGAATTTATTTATTTATTTTACTTGATATTACTTTTTAGAAACAAAATAAAGCAGTGAAGGCACAGTCATTGAAATAAGCTAAAAGATAATGCGACGGATTCTATTACGACGACCGAAATTTTGGCGGTCCGAAAATATGGCGAAATGTTCGGAAAACCGCCACATTTCGTACGTTATAAATATGTCTTGTAAGGTATTCACGTCTATGTAAGTTAGATCGGTTCAAAAAAACAAAATGTCCTTGAATAATTATGAGTATGTTATTATCTGTTGATCCTTAGGTTCAAAGACCACCAAAAAAATGTCAGCTTCCAACTCTTCCATCTTCGGTCCCCACCGGCCACCGGCCACGCCCATATTTTATTGATTTCTTATACAGGTAAAATATCTAGAATCGGCTTTTTTTGTATGAAGGAGTAATGTTAGCTGTTTAAGATTCGTTATTCAAATATAAATGTCATGAAGGCATTTCGTTTAATGTGGGTTTTAAGTTCTGATGATGTTGAGAACCACGCCCTTGGATGGCCACGCCCATTTAAGAAAATTAAATTTCGGAAAACCGTATTATTTTAGTTTTATTGTTTAATGATCTGAATTTGTTTCACATTTCACATTTCCATATGTGATAGTAGTGAATAAATTGATGATATAAACGTTCTAGAGTGCTAAAATATGGTAGAACTACATAATCTCTGGTCGAAAAATATCGTGTCAATTAATGTCAGTATTCCAAAATTTTGCAAAACTGACATTGACATTAATTGACATTAATTGACATTAATTGACATTAATTGACGTTGCATTCCCCCCAACTTGTTAGATATTAATCTCCATAGTGTACAGTGTAGATGGGCTATTTATTTTAGAAAACCTCAATCAATTGTTATAACAAAGCTAAAGTTCATACTTCATAATGACCTACCAGGAAGTGAGGGTCTGTGGCGTGGTTCCAGCAGTAAGTAGTACTGTTCTGGTACTTATAATCACTGTACCCCAGTATAACACCCACCACTTGTCGGGTCATTAAAAATACTGCGTATCCTATCAGAACGCTCACAACTATCTTGTTTTTTATCCTAGAGTATTGTTTATAATGAACAATCGTAAGTTTTTAGGACTAATTTCTTGTAAAGTATAAGCTAAACTTTATGATATTGGGAAAAGCCGGGAAAAGTGTGAATAGAGTATATCTTAAGACGTCAGATAATTGTATTAATATCTAATACCTGTAAAAAGGCTTGAGAAGGGCTAGAGTACGGAGAATACTAAGCGAGAAGACAAGGAAAGCTGTGTAGTAAGGGATAAACTCCCAGATAATGCCCCAAAGAGAGCAGAACACGCTGTTGCTAAACATCATATCTCGTCTATCAGCTGACAGTGACAGTCCTGTCATGTGGGAAATACAGTGGGTTATACTTTTATAGCAGCTGAAATCGTTAGTCGACACGTCTTGTTGTTGACATGTTTGAGAATCAAATTACCTCCTGAATAAATTTAAATATGAAAGGTTACAAATTAGAATAAAAGCGTTTAGTTACCTACTGGGAAGACCATGATACAAGTAAGGAGATCAGTAGAAGTGATAGCAATGTAGATACAGGTGGAGATGTTGCTGGTCTTCTTCAGGAAGAAGTTCAGGGAGATAGTGTTAGCTGGGATACCGATCACTACACATAGGAAACACAGCACTGCTATCGTTATATCTACTTCGTTCATACTTCACGTGTATGATTCGTCTTTTATCATTGATTCATCTTGTTGATACGCTAAACAAAGAAACAATGTTAGGATATTAAATCAACTAACGAAAAACTAAGTTATAGTTTTACAGTTTACTTGTAAATCGTTGGGTGCAATGTATTTTCAAACTACGTTGACAAGTTCGTTCGTCTCAGACTCTCATGAGAAAATAGGAGGGAAGGATTGAGTAGACTGGCGAGTGAACATTGAACAATGACAATAACTTAAATCCAGCACAACAATTTAGTAATTACAAGATTACTAAATTATACATATAATCGGTGGTCTCATATATAAATACAACATGTGAAAGGCACTTAGAGAGTTAGAGCTTTGGTTCTGTTCTTTAGTCTTTTAGTCACGGTTAAAATTATATTTGTACGCCTTTTCTTAGTCACAAAAAACTACCAAGATCAGAAAGAGCAGCTTACGCAAATGATGTCGGCCCCGTCGAGCTCCCTATGCTTCAAAAGTTAAAACTTGACGCTTGAATCATCTCAACATTTGGAAACCTGTTATCTAGTCCTGGTCTCAGGTGTAGTGAGACTCTGGCGACAGTAGCACAGGTGGACGGATCTTACCATTTTCTGTTAAATATCTACGAATCTTGCGACATTCCAATAATAATTGTGGGTGGAGGTAACCGGACAAGATACCAAAACGATAATTAAGAAGCGTCACAAATCTAACTGGTAAAATCTTGATATCTTATATCTGCAGACACTTTGATGCAAATGGGTAACCAGGAATATATCAAATTAGATACGCATGACTGCCGAACAAAATATGATATCATAATGTCAAATGGTATTATGTCAAATGATACGAACCTCATCAAAGTTTAACCATTGTAAATATTTTAGTGTCACAGCTTTCCGAGTGTACTATAGAATTTCCTAGAACATAAAAAATTGTATATTAAATAATAAATGGAACACAGGTTTAGAATATCACTATGTGAGACCCAAATCACGGTATAATTTAGTGTTTTATATTGACTGAGAAGAGTTTAATTAGCCGGTAACTCACTTAGAGAAAAGAACAACAGAATCAATAAAAAATGACTGATGCATGACTACAATAAACCAGTTCCTGCGGTCGATCTCGCGCAACTTTGACGAGGAATATTGTAGCACGGACTGTTGTCATGGGACAGAATCCTCTTCGAGTATCCCTCAATGAATATTTTTTCCAATTCTAACAAAATGCAGGATGAATATAGAAATATATTGAGAATATTGAGTAATCTGCTGACTAACACCGCATGCACTGTCGTCACACTGTCGACACACATCACATTAATAGTGAACACCTGACATAATATGGTTGACGAACCATCACTTGACGCACAGTCCACGCACGGTTGGCACTAAATGTTGATTATACTACGGAACTTTCTATCCTCAAAGGTTGTACGTGATCTTTGGACAATTTTGTGCAATTAATTATATCCACACTGCACTGATCTTTGGGAAGATCTGACGTCTGATATTGGAGCAAATTCCTTTTTATCACTCTATTTCTCAGCAAAAAGTTCAAAGTTTCGGTCACGTGACAAGATAGCTGACAGGCACGCCTCTAAATCACATGACAATTTTTTTCTTTGTTCTCATATAATTCGATATCAACTGCTTGCTAAAATATAATATAGACTGATTGATTTTGGGTTATCATTGCACAACCCAAAACCTCAACGATAGAAGAGAGAGAGAGAGAGAGAGAGAGAGAGAGAGAGAGAGAGAGAGAGAGAGAGAGAGAGAGAGAGAGAGAGAGAGAGAGAGAGAGAGAGAGAGAGAGAGAGAGAGAGAGAGAGAGAGAGAGAGAGAGAGAGAGAGAGAGAGAGAGAGAGAGAGAGAGAGAGAGAGAGAGAGAGAGAGAGAGAGAGAGAGAGAGAGAGAGAGAGAGAGAGAGAGAGAGAGAGAGAGAGAGAGAGAGAGAGAGAGAGAGAGAGAGAGAGAGAGAGAGAGAGAGAGAGAGAGAGAGAGAGAGAGAGAGAGAGAGAGAGAGAGAGAGAGAGAGAGAGAGAGAGAGAGAGAGAGAGAGAGAGAGAGAGAGAGAGAGAGAGAGAGAGAGAGAGAGAGAGAGAGAGAGAGAGAGAGAGAGAGAGAGAGAGAGAGAGAGAGAGAGAGAGAGAGAGAGAGAGAGAGAGAGAGAGAGAGAGAGAGAGAGAGAGAGAGAGAGAGAGAGAGAGAGAGAGAGAGAGAGAGAGAGAGAGAGAGAGAGAGAGAGAGAGAGAGAGAGAGAGAGAGAGAGAGAGAGAGAGAGAGAGAGAGAGAGAGAGAGAGAGAGAGAGAGAGAGAGAGAGAGAGAGAGAGAGAGAGAGAGAGAGAGAGAGAGAGAGAGAGACTTGTTGTATCCACTATTAGATCAGCGTATTAGATCAGAGTGGGAGTATTTCTGTAGTCAGGCATTACCTGGGCGTATGCGGCAGTCTTTATCTGGGAAGTAGCCCGCCGACCTGGTCAATTCTTAAGATGCAGTGCTACGTTCAAGAGAGTAAACATGAGAAGCTTGTGCAAAGCTACAAAAATAGAACAGAAAAATAATACAAATTAAAGGAGAGAAATAACTGTAGTAATTTAAAATCTAACGACAAAACAGAGAAATTGGAAACGGAGATAATATCAAAACATCTGAAAAATGTTTGAAGTAAAAATACGGCTCGTCTTCAGCTAAGAATTAGTTTGTATATTTAACGACTCCCAAGAAATCGGATACGCAGATTGGATCCTGCCGAAATTTACAGCACTAGTACTGTTGAAATGGAGTTGAGGAGCCGGCGGTGAGTTTCATATCACTCAGAGATTTAGCATTACCCCACCTGTCGCCAAACTATCTCTTTAATTTTACAATGATTTCATTTGAGCTTTGACGTAAATTTGCATTGTACATTTGGAACAAAACACGAACAGGTCTTATGACATTAAAATTCTAAGTTGTAAAACTGACGTACGTTTCTTCCACAGATAGCTCTATAAACCTTCTTTCATGAAAAATTTCTCAAAAACGTTCGTAAACAAATTATCAAATGAAGGTATTCGGTTGTGGTACGCAGTACGCTAAACAGTGAATAAGTACGTGATTCATACAACTTGAGGGGCATGTTAACAGTGTGTGTAAAGGAATTTAACACATGAAGCAGGGAGATGTGGTGTGCCCCATGCGATTGCATTATTATTACCATTCCATCTTATCTCATGAAATGAGGTAGTTTTTACATCGACAGCTAGTCTCCTTGACATGGAATTATTAGATTAATGTACTTCTAACCATGTTATCTCGAGTCTTGACTATTATAATCATTAGGATATTATAATCCTCTTATGTCATCGTCTATCTAGTGAAGAGAGAATATATTAAGATGGTATTATAGTTACAATAAATTATCATTCTAGTCGATAAGGAAGTGGTCTAGATCTGATGTAAAAAGTCTTCAAATATATTAGGTTCCTAATTAACAATGCAAATGTCTTCAGGTAGCCGCTCTACGACGTCCTCAGCGTGCGACGATACATTTTCTGACGAAGGAGTGGTAAGTTGGATAACTTGATTTAGTTATTCAGTAAATTAATTAATAGATTTACTAGCGAAAGTTTTTGATTTTATGTCTACCTAATGAAAAGTAAAAAACTACTGACATAAATGATAGAATTAGATAATTATGATCTTGTAATCGTTATAATCGGAGATCAACGCGAAAAATAAAATCACCTCATTAGAAAATCCTTCACATTAGAAAATCTGCCACATTAAAAATCTGCCATATTAGAAAATGGATATCTTCAGTTTCATTTGAAACATTGCACAGCTTTGTTTCTGACAGATCTGAAACACTGAGCAGCTTTGTTTCTGACAGTAGTAGTGGTAAGTAGGTAAGCAGCAGGACTACAAGCTGTTCCAAGCAGTAGCGCTGTGTATAAAAGGTCCAGTATAAACAACTTTGTGGCTTGTCCCTGTGGCTGAAACTTTTTGTTTTCATCCTGATTTGCATCTTGAACTTCTGGGGTTCGTTGGTGATCCATTTGGTCCGTAGTGGGCTGAAGTAGACCAGAGACTTTAGATGGTAGTAGTGTTGGACCAGTGTAAGGAGCCTCAAAAGGAGCTTCAGAAGCCAGTGCTATATCAACTGGAACCTTGTGAACATGTGGTGGATGTTTGAAAGGTTTAGGAGTTACGAGGAGGACCTCTGGAGCTCCCACAAATAAGACCCAGGGAAGAGCTGATATGGTGTCCAGGAGAAGTATTATTACTATCGACCAAGGAAACGTTTGACGTTCTGTTTTGAGCTTCCTCTTCTTTGTTGACACAGTGGTAGATGTCGAGTCAGCTGATTTAGTAAGTACTTTTTGAGAAGCTCTGGCCCTGGTTACAATCCCGTAAATCACACCATACAACACTAACACAGCTAATTTAGGGAGGAGTAACCCAGCCCCCACAGTTAGCGCTACACACGCCACATCCTTACTGCTCCAACTCTTCACAAAAACACAGAACCGCTGGCCTTGGTACAACCGCATATCACATAGTCCGTAGAGGGGTGAGAAACTGATGATCAGTGTGATGGCGATGGTTCCTAGGAACCCTAATATCTGGTTTTTGTAGCAGAGAGTCTCTCTCCAGTGAAATGGAGATGTTAGGAATAAAACTCTGGTAATTGTCATCGTCAGGATTGACATTGCTGGGAGTATTAGTCCTGGGGTATTGATAAGTTAATTATATAATTGATCGATGATTAGTTAATTGTTTTATGGGTCCAGGGTGTAATATGGAATCAACCGGAACGTGCAATAGTTCTATAACATTTCATGTATTAGTTTTGATTAAGTAGTATTTACCGCATAGTTGTAAAGATTCCATTACTAGACTGTGTATTGTTTTACATTCCCGCTCGTCTTTCTGAAATAGTTAATTTCGTCAATTATTTCATAAGTCAACCACTAGGAGAAATAAATGCATGCAAAAGAGCTATTTCGAATTATATCAAGGTTTAAAATACGCAATTTATAAAATGAAATGGCTGAACTTTTTATGCAGATTTACAGATGGATAACTAGATCATTATAAAAACTTCATACGGTTAAAACATGTGAATCTATAAAAAACCTTATTATAAAGGAGCATGGTAGCGACCTGTGATGCAAAGTATAAGATAGAGACAGCATACAGTACAACTGATAAGTAAAGCTTCATAACTTCTCTTAATTTACTGATGATTATGTAGATCAAGAAGAGAGAAGATAAAACCACAAGAACCAACGCAGGAATCATAACAGTTCGAGTTATGTACAATTTGTTGTAGTTCATATCCTTATTTGAACCACTATTAGGGCTTTCTTCAAAACCTAGAAGAGTTGTATTCTGTGGAGTAATGTTCGGTTGAGAATGAAATTCGAAGGGGTCAATTATCAACATCGTTTGATCCGTCACTGGCAACACCACCATGGGGTCTATAGCCGAGGAGTTTGTTGGAGGTGCTGGTAGATTGTGTTGATCCAATATTTGTGATTCCATGACAGGTTAGCAACCTTAGGTGTGGGTTGCAGCAGTGTGATATACTGTAAGTTCAATAACTATCGTACAGAAAATAGGAAAGTACGACTTGCAAACGTAAGTGAGGAATCGGATAATGAATCAGCTTCCGTTTCTTGAATTGTAATGTTTATTTAGTTGGCTGTGTCTTCGCGGTTAAGAGGAAACTAGCGGCTTCTTTGTAAGATTCCGAGGCTTAAAGATAAGTAAACAAGAACTTCAGAGTTATCGGATTTTCTCCTAAAAACTCAATTAGGATCTCACGCTGGTAAGCTTTGAAGCTAACTCGATTCAACCATAGATAATTTTAATATAACCACAGATTGTCCAGGTTTGCCCCGTGTCATGTCATGAGTATATATATGCATGTGGCTTAGTTAATTCGTAAAGGATTCGCCAAAATTCGTTGGAAACAAAGTGATTAAGGCACTTGTCATCTGGCAAATAAAGGTCGGTCACGGCGTAATGTGTTCATTTCTGTAACGCGCGCGTAATTCTATACAGTCACATTCACGCCTCATGTTTCCCGCGCGCGCGCTCTGTTATTTATTGATCGATGGATCTACCTTACTCAGTAGATGAATCCATAAATTTGGAACATGGGCACATCGCAGTATTGGCCGTATTTGAGTGCTGGGAAGGCTCAGTTCGGTTTTCTAAGATGGATATAGCCGTAAGCTAGGCCTAGGAGCCATCAAAAGTCGTATAAAATTACCCATGGAATGACCAGAAATGAACGAAAATGAACATTCTTCTCAAAGTGCTCAGAATGGTTTAAAATGGGTCGGAAAGTGTTTATATTAGTCCTAGGACCACTCAAACCAAGTTTGGGAATCACTGCATGTCTAGAACCGATGTTACCAATGTTCCAAAATGTTCCAATTTTGGCACAATAATCCTCCTGAGAATCCAGATTTTTGGAACATGGGCACATCGAAGTATTGGCTGTATTTAAGTGCTGGGAAGCCTCAATTCGGTTTTCTAAGATGGATATAGGTAAAAACTAGGTCTAAGAGCCATCAAAAGTCAAATAACATTACCCAGGTTCATGGAATGAACGAAAATGAACAAAAATGAAAATTTTCCTTAAAGCCCCTAGAACGGTTTAAAATTGGTCGGAAAGTGTTTATATTGGTCCTAGGACCACTCAAACCAAGTTTGGGAATCACTGCATGTCTAGAACCGATGTTACCTATGTTCCAAAATGTTCCAATTTTGTCACAATAATCCTCCTGAGAATCCAGATTTTTGGAACATGGGCACATCGAAGTATTGGCTGTATTTAAGTGCTGGGAAGCCTCAATTCGGTTTTTTAAGATGGATATAGGTAAAAACTAGGCTTAAGAGCCATCAAAACTCAAATAACTTTACCCAGGCTCATGGAATGAACGAAAATGAACAAAAATGAATATTGTCCTAAAAATGCTCAGAATGGTTTAAAATTGGTCGGAAAGTGTTTATATTAGTCCTAGGACCACTCAAACCAAGTTTGGGAATCTCTGCATGTCTAGAACCGATGTTACCAATGTTCCAAAATGTTCCAATTTTGGCACAATAATCATCCTGAGAATCCAGATTTTTGGAACATGGGCACATCGAAGTATTGGCTGTATTTAAGTGCTGGGAAGCCTCAATTCGGTTTTCTAAGATGGATATAGGTAAAAACTAGGCCTAAGAGCCATCAAAACTCAAATAACATTACCCAGGTTCATGGAATGAACGAAAATGAACAAAAATGAAAATTTTCCTTAAAGCGCTCAGAATGGTAAGAAAATGGTGGCAAAAGTCAATATTTTCGTCCAACAGAGTCTTAAAGTTGCATTCAGAATTATGTACAATTAGCACACGTACCTCCAAGAGAAGGCAGAAATTATTTTATTGGGCAACTATTTTGGTTTTAATAATCCCCCAATATATTGATATAAATTTTTGACATCATTAGCTGTATTTGTTCGTTGAGGGATGAAGGTTGCGGGTGAAAGGGTTGGTTGAGCGAGGTAGGTTGCTGGTGAAGGGGTTGGTTGCGTTAGGTAGGCTGGTGGTGAATGAGTTGGTTGAGGGATGAAGGTTGCTGGTGAAGGGGTTGGTTGAGTGAGGTGGACTGCTGGTGCTTCTTTGAACTGGTAGATAAAGAGGTAGGCTCATCAATTTAGTGAAGGGATTCATTGTCGTTGTAGTTGTTGTGGTTAACAGAGAGGGAAAATGATTTGTATAACTTAATTATCTATTTATTCTCTTCTTATTCATTAACAAGCTTGCTAAGTTAATCCTATTGCTGATGACCTGATCTGATCTTACGCCTCTACATCCGATCACACCAAATAAGATCGGATAACCTTGCTACGCTCGGATCACCTTATTCAGATCACATCTTTATTTGCTTCCACACATCTATTACACGAAGTGATGTGATACAAATGAAACTGATGTGATCTAAATATAGGGTGTACATTGTGTGACTGTCTGACTGTTTATGGAATCACTGCATGCCCAGAACTGATACGAGGGGTGCAGAATACCGAACCATCTTAACAGTACAGTAAATGAATAGTCTGTTGATTGGCCTTATGACTCTTTCGTAAACTCTTTGGAATTGCTCAGAGCGGTTTAAAATTGGTCGGAAAGTGTTTGTATTGGTCCTAAGACCACTCGAATTGGAACATTTTGGAACATTGGTAACATCGGTTCTAGACATGCAGTGATTCCCAAACTTGGTTTGAGTGGTCCTAGGACCAATATAAACACTTTCCGACCAATTTTAAACCGTTCTGAGAATTTTTAGGACAATATCCATTTTTGTTCATTTTCGTTCATTCCATGAACCTGGGTAATATTATTTGACTTTTGATGGCTCTTAGGCCTAGTTTTAACCTATATTCATCTTTAAAAAACGAATTGAGGCTTCCCAGCACTTAAATACAGCCAATACTTCGATGTGCCCATGTTCCAAAAATCTGGATTCTCAGGAGGATTATTGTGACAAAATTGGAACATTTTGGAACATTGGTAACATCGGTTCTAGACATGCAGTGATTCCCAAACTTGGTTTGAGTGGTCCTAGGCCCAATATAAACACTTTCCGACCAATTTTAAACCATTCTGAGCACTTTGAGAAGAATGTTCATTTTCGTTCATTTCTGGTCATTCCATGGGTAATTTTATACGACTTTGATGGCTCCTAGGCCTAGCTTACGGCTATATCCATCTTAGAAAACCGAACTGAGGCTTCCCAGCACTTAAATACAGCCAATACTTCGATGTGCCCATGTTCCAAAAATCTGGATTCTTGGGAGAATTATTGTGACAAAATTGGAACATTTAGGAACATTGGTAACATCGGTTCTAGACATGCAGTGATTCCCAAACTTGGTTTGAGTGGTCCTAGGACTAATATAAACACTTTCCGACCAATTTTAAACCGTTCTGAGTATTTTTAGGACAATATTCATTTTTGTTCATTTTCGTTCATTCCATGAACCTGGGTAATGTTATTTGAGTTTTGATGGCTCTTAGGCCTAGTTTTTACCGATATCCATCTTAGGAAACCGAATTGAGGCTTCCCAGCACTTAAATACAGCCAATACTTCGACGTGCCCAGGTTCCAAAAATCTGGATTCTCAGGAGGATTATTGTGCCAAAATTGGAACATTTTGGAACATTGGTAACATCGGTTCTAGACATGCAGTGATTCCCAAACTTGGTTTGAGTGGTCCTAGGACTAATATTAATACTTTCCGACCAATTTTAAACCGTTCTGAGCATTTTTAGGACAATATTCATTTTTGTTCATTTTCGTTCATTCCATGAACCTGGGTAATGTTATTTGAGTTTTGATGGCTCTTAGGCCTAGTTTTTACCTATATCCATCTTAGAAAACCGAATTGAGGCTTCCCAGCACTTAAATACAGCCAATACTTCGATGTGCCCATGTTCCAAAAATCTGGATTCTCAGGAGGATTATTGTGACAAAATTGGAACATTTTGGAACATTGGTAACATCGGTTCTAGACATGCAGTGATTCCCAAACTTGGTTTGAGTGGTCCTAGGACTAATATAAACACTTTCCGACCAATTTTAAACCGTTCTGAGCATTTTTAGGACAATATTCATTTTTGTTCATTTTCGTTCATTCCATGAACCTGGGTAATGTTATGCTACTTTCGATGGCCCTTAGACCTAGCTTGCAAATATATCCATCATTTACAATTATTTTTGGCACTATTTAGAGCTCATTAGGGCAAATAAATGCATGGCACACTTTTGGCACAATTTTGGCACATGTTCCAAAAATGTTCCAAAAATGTTCCAAAAATCTGGATTCATCAACTCACCTTACTCGGGAATATTATAGCGGGTTAATTTATGACTGGGAAAATTAATGACCGGGAAAAATATGGCGGAATTTCCCAAAACCCGCCAAATTATCCCGGTCATGTATTTACCGGTGGCCGACCTTTCAAGTTTTTTTTCAGAGGTCAACAAATTTTCAACCGAAATTTCTGTTTTTGTTACTTGTTAAAGAAGTTATTTCAATTTACAGTTATTGATATTACTCAGAAATAGAAAAAAATACACGTCTATTTAAAGGAAAATAAATCTAAGCAATAATAAGTCAAATCTTCATTAAAGCGTATTCTCATTCTCATTATCGCTAATGTCACCTCCATTATCATTATTGATATCCCCCTGCTGCTGACCGTCAAATTCGAAGTTGTATTGTTGTCTTAACAAGACTTTCATTTTGTCCGCTAATGGGGCTACTGCTCTGAAGGTCAGCCGGAGCTTAATTTCCTGCCCACCGCTTGGTATTGGGGAACGTCTTGGCTTTGCATTTTCAACTGCTCCAGTAATCAATCCACCGTGGACCATGAAATAGTGGCACAGTTTACTCACTTCTAGCGGGATGTGGTCCACCCTGAAATCTGATCTCTATAACCAAATTGTGGTTTTTATACCGAAATTATGGTAGCAACCGCCAATAAAGTTACAGCCCTCCATCCACTGCTTCAAAAGTCTTCTCTAGCATATATGAGACTTCAGGTAAAATATGATGATCACCACCCCCTTGGAACCCCATTATCTGAGTCGGCGGGTTTTTTTATGACTGGTAAAATTTTTGACCGGGAAAAATATGGCGGAATCTTCCAAAACCCACCACTTTATCCCGGTTATAATATTCCCGAGTAAGGTATTTGACGCAAAACTAGTTCAGCCAGGGGTAGGAAGAGTAACGTGAATTGTGGCAAACATTCTTGTTTCATTCAATTTTATTAACAATAAAACTTTACTGATTTCCTTAATATTAGTAAAGTAAAAAGTAAAAAAGTAAGGTAAAAATTATGACATCACATCTTCACACATGTCTACAAAATATCATCGCACTATGTGACAAATATATAATAAATAATTCCCCACCAACATTAATTATTTATCAAATACAATAATAAAGTACTTCGGTGAACTGAACTCAGTGACCAACTGTTTAAATGAGTTGCAAACTAATTTTCCCTGCCATGCCTATAACACCCGTCAGCAGTTATCTATACTACGAAAAACTTACTAATCGTACTGATCAACTCTCAGAGTCAAGGCGTACTCAAAACGTGAAAAATCGAAAATAAGTTCAAAGAGTTTAGTAATAAATTGGAAATGATATGGTTTATTAAGTATAGCTGTGGTCAGTTTACTACCGCCCTCATCAGATACAAATTTCAAGTGTGGCAGTGCAATTGTTTCCTATTCTAGCTCAAACTTGGCTCTCCTTCAAAGTTTTATGTATGTCGGTTTTGTACCCGTAAACTCTTAATAACTTTCACATATTTGTTTTTCGGAGTCAGTCAATACTTTCCCTCATCGTATCATGACCTAATACCACCTAGTCATAGTATATAGTACTATTATAATAGGGTACTATAATTAGTACTATTATAGAGTCACTAGGTCGGAGTTTGTTGACATAACAGTTTCAGCGCCGGCTACCATCTTGCAAAATGAAACTGCTTAGAGTATAGAAATGACCATTAGATTCACTGCATAAGAACAAGGTTGTATGAAAGACCATTACCACAAAGATCTGGGTTACTCTATTTAATAAATGTTTTTTATCGGAGTTTACTTTCAGAGCTGCAACTTAAAACAGATGGATCTCGTTTGGGCGAAGTGTGCAGGTTATCCAGCCTACCCTGCTCTGGTAAGCTTTGTGTTCGAGTTCACAAGTTCTTAATAAGATGATATGACCATGTCTTCATTTGTCACATTATAAATAAAGTAGGTCAAGTTATGATCAAACATCAATCAGGATTTTATTTAAATTTGTATCAGCTGTGGTGTCGAGATGTAGCGTGTGAGCTAGATCACACAATACAAAAGCTGGCTCACACATCTGATTAGATCACAAACTCCAACAAATCATCCAATTTCAGATAGTAGACCCCAGCACAGTACCAGGTTTCACGCATTGTGGTATCCCGATACCAGTTCCTCCTCCAGAAGTGCTAAAACAGCGCTCCAGTAAACCTAACACTTTCCTGGTGCTATTCTTTGACACTCGCCGCACTTGGTAAGAACTAAGATACATTTTGTAGTTATTTCCGGTTACTCTAACCAAATGAAAGAAGTTTTAATAATCAACAAGGAATTCAATGAAATAATCAAGGAGTAAATAAGAAGTTGACAATGAAGTAAATAAGAAGTTGACAATGAAGTAAAGAAGTAACTATAAAATGGAGATCTTCCTCTTTTTAAAGGATCACCAGAATAAACACGTCAAGCAACTGATCACCAGTGGCGTAACGTTGCATGTTGGCTCTAGATTATAAAAAGGGTTACAACTTACACTCTGTATCCTAATGACGTATGATGGAGATATGAGAGATCAATCTAATTAACTGTAAACTAAACCATGTCACAAAAACAATATCTAACTTTTGTAGCTGATAGATAGCTAATCTGACAATTCTACACCAGGCAGTGGTTACCACACCGGGAAGCTACAGCCGTTGGGTGTGGATCAGGAAATAGATGCCGCCAAAGTTCTAGAATGTAAAAAGGGAGCAGCCAAGAAGAGTGTGACTGGGGCATTCAAGCGAGCTTCTCTTCATCTTCAGATGGTTAACGGTAAGAACATTTCCTGTCGGGAGATCGAGGGGTTTGTTTATAAAAATGTTAGGATTTTAAGCGAAATGAATAATTTCAAACTAGCATTTACTTTTGGACGAGTGGCAGCTGCGGCTTTGGCACTCATGTCATATTTTTCCAGATAATGATGTTTTTTTGTACAATTCTTTGTGATGAATAAGAGTGGTGACTGAAACGTAATACCTCGCAGGTGAAATAACAGAGCAGGAGTATTTTGAAAGGACGAAGGAGTTTGAGTGAATTCGTTGCAGATCCCAAATCTAATTCATCTACCTCTATCAAAGATACAAGAGAGGATATTGGGTCATCTGGCTTCAGTTTTAAAAAAACACTCACATTTTTAGTACGCAATTGAACTTTAAGAGAATATTGGAGATTTGATCTATCGTGGATAGTAGTTCATACGGAACATTCTGCAGACTTTAGGATAACGAAAGATCTATTTGCTGACGTTGATAATGCCTTGGTTTTATATTCTATCAGTAATTTCTCGTGCTTTATTCACGATTATTTCCGTCATTTCTGCATTATTTCTAAATTCTTATTGGTGTCGATTTCAGACTTTAAGCAAGAACAGTTCTATAATCGCTCAAATCATCTAAATTCATGTGGATATAGCTGTTGCAGAAGACAGTCTTTAAATCGACAGTCTTTAAATTTACTTTCTTTAAAAATTACTAAAATAGTTATTCTCTGAATGAGTGGGATGAACTTATTTACAGCTGACTTATTTATTTTGTTTTGAATTTAAAAGACATCACGATTTTATTAAAATATTTAACATGGTGGATTCCATTTCACATTGATATTAATGTAATCATTGATCATTTATTTATACCACTCATTATCATTATATTGGTTTTGATAACAAAATCGTTTTTATTTTGACATCCCAACCCAAAAACAGCTAAATCCTCTCCAAGTAAATTATATGAAGTCCAAATCTGTGTAAATAAAGTTTTAGTGTGAGTATAAAGCGTCTGTAAGCGTCCAATTGTCTCCATTTTACACGTTACAGCTTTACAGTTTTCAATAAAACCAGCACCATTGACAGCTCCTGACACTTCAGTGCAGCGTGGACTCGGAAAAACGAGCCAATAAAACTCCTTATCCTACCCAATTGGCCGGTCATATCTTATATTACGAGTCAGGTGACTCAAATCAACTTACTAATGGCCTCGAACTGTAGCTGTCTCATATTGGCCTCTGCTTCATTGGGAGATCTTCTCTGCCCCTCTAGGCTCTAGCTTCGCTTTTGTAACTTAATGAAATGCGGCCGGTAAGATTATTCGTATAAATCTGCGTTTAGACTTAGTATAAGGTACACCGTGCCACGAATAGGAATCCGTTCTTTGATTGGAGTATACAGTTTCTATTCCTGTGCTCCCCTACACTCCAGAAAATCCCATACACACGTACTGAGAGATCCTGGCCATGCTTCAGAATTACACTACGGAGCAACAAGTCACGAGTAAGGGGAACCTAGTCGTGCGACTTTCAAATAGAGCAGTGTCTCTGCAGGACACACTAACTCCCCACTTCAGACCTTGTTCGACACACCAAGTGCCCTGAGACTCGGGAACCACGCGGGGCCGGCCCCTAGCTTGTGAAATTCAACCAAGTCACGTTCAGTAATCTGTGTAAGAGCACTCCATTTTATTTTTGTGATCTCATGTTTAGGTGTGTGATAGATATCACTCTGGGCTATGTAGTATTTAAACGCTGTTAAACGCCGACAAAATGCCGCACTGGTTATAACGGGGTACAATTTCACATCCTGCTACAGGTAGTACTGACGTTTGGGGCCGTTGGGCGGGTTGTCATGGTAACAACCAAACTTTTTCCTCCTACGCTATTGGATAAACGCCTCACGCGAATTTCGCATGATAGAGTTTCGGGGAAGCATATCTTTAATTGCTTAAGTAACGACTGCTATTTAGTTTGATAAATTCCGTTGGTCTGGTGCTTATTTTAATGTCCCGAAGTTTATGGACAGTGCGTATGTATTTTAAACGTTTATCTTTGGAGGGAGCTCGGAATGGGACTGTAACTCACCTTTAAGGAGCCGTGAAATACCGAATAACGGATTATTCAATTTATTCATAGTCATTAATACGAAACTTTTCGGCTGTCCATGTTTTTATAAGAGCACGCGACTAGTGACGTCACGCAATCTATTTGGTTCCGGATAAAGGTTTTGGAGTAAGAACCACTTGGAATGCCCCATTACCAAAACGGATCTGAAAGAGCAATCCGGTCCTGATTTCTGTTCGATTCCTAATTTGGACAGGCTTTTGAAGTATACTTTTAACTTTGTAGAATTTATGGTTATTGAATTTAATATACGGTCATGAAAAATAACCGCGCTTTTGACAATACTTTTTATCAGTAAAATTGAAGTTGACAGTGAAGGGTTAACTGGTTGGCCGATCAGTACTAACATTAAAGTATGAATATATTCAAGCTAGCTGCTCTAAGCTTATTGACTCCATGATTTCCTATTTGATCAGTTTATCTGACATTTCTCAAGAAAATGTGGTGTAAATTTGAGCTTCACAGTCCACAACTCTTCAAGTTTCACTAACATTAAATCTGAGCATGATTTACAACTCCCAATTCTAGTGGTCCTCTCTCTCACTTTAACTACGATTCATTATTAGTGTTGAATTCTTTTTAATGCTAACTTTAATTACACCTGAGCATGTGATGGAATTCTGGGGCACAAAGGGCGGAAATTAGTGGAATCAATCGTGGGAATCGAATGGGAGCAAACCTAAGTGAATTATTCAAGTATGATTTGATTATTGATCAGAATCTATGATTTATAGATTTAGAGTGGGCACTGCTAACAATGTAAAACCAATAAAACTTTGTGGGAGGGCTTTTCCTATCAGTATCTCAAGTCTGAGCTTGAATTTATTTGGACGGAGTTCAAATTTTTCCCGTTGTACATCTTTATCATTTTATATTTTAGTTAATCTTTTTTCTCTTCTGGGAGCTATCACATAAATTAATGGTCAATGGTCATAAGCAGTCATAGTGAAAATGCAATTTTACTCGAACAGTAATGTGGGACCTCAAACCCACAAAATTCATAACAAACGTTTTAAGCCAGGCTCAATATTGATGAAGAATCCGTAATAACCAGCAGTGATAACCAGCAGTGATCAGGGTATGTGTAAATTAATAACCGCGTCTGGGTTCTCCCATGATAGCAAATACATTTATGTTTAACGAACCAGGGTATAACGGTCTGTGCCATTACGATCAGGCTGTGTAACTCAGTTAAACTCACGTGCTACCTAAACTTCAGGTAAAATTACCACATGAGCCCACTGGCCCTTGACAGCTGGAATTACATTTTACTCAATTTATTACTGTCATGGTTCCTTGCCAGGGTAGCTCGATTGTACGGGTTGTTGGGTTGTGTGATCTCAATTTTTATAATTTATAATATATTTGTATTATCAAATCACCAAGGCCACTGTTATTCAATAAAATATATTCTTCTCATATTTCTTTTTATTGTTCGTGACTAACCTTTATCAGTCATTTCAATTCTGCTCGATCTGTAGTCTCCAGTCCCATAGTACTACCATGATTCGTACAATTATTACAATTCTCAAATGCCAACTCGCATTCGGAAGCATTTTGAAGTTAAACTGGGATGAAAAATAAATTTAGACCAATTAGTGAGGATATTCATTAATCATGCAGTGTAATGACCCGGTGATCCACTCAATTGCAGGCCTGGAACTCCTCTTATTCTGCTTCGAAATCTTGTTGGAAGATAACGGAATATTTGAGCCGTTCAACGGAATATTTGAGCCGTTCAAATTTGTGCTGTTTGCATGCTCAGCTATAGATGGACCTAAATAAAGAGTTAAATTATACGAATAACTGAAAGGGTATTTGTTATACTACAATGTTACAAACTCTCATGTTACATTCGTGCATTAATAATCATCGTTAAATTAATAATTGGTTAATCTATTATCTATGCAGTTACCATGAAAATAAGTTCATTTCCTACCTTCAACTCATTAGTTCATTCCCCGAAGCCGGAGCATGTTTATACGTGCATGTAATACGTTCCGGCCGTCCCGAGACGTCTACTAGATGTACACGACTGTATTATTTAATTATATCTTTCCTTCTGGGATGAAGGACCTCACTTGCTTAAACTTCATAGCTTGAGTTGTTTAGTTCTACAGTGCGAGCAGTGCACATGCTGATATGATTGACGCTGCTTCAGCTTTTGTTTTGCATTACGTGTAACACAGTTATGTATTCTACTGATCGGACTTGTCCCATGTAACTTATTACTACTTTTCAGTGCTTACAGATATTACTTTATTAAACTTGAAGTGCAACGTGCGTGGTGTTACACACACAACGAAAAGTTCCATCCTAGGACGTACAGCCGATCAGCTTCTAAGAGTGCAGCAATAATTGATCAGAGCTGACAATAGTCCTTGAGGGCTGGTGACTTTATATTTATCGGTATGATTTTATAAGTTTCAAGAACCCCCTCCAGGATTTCGGTATAATCACCAGAACGAAATCTAAAAGACTCTAACTATCAGTATGATACTGGCCACCATGAAATAGAAAATTACCAACTATAAACACTGTGCAGCTGCTGCCTGTTTTGTATGATTACCATCTCAGTATACTATACGAAAATTTTAATATCTGAGGCTCCATTTGATTTGTAGAATAATTTCAGTTCAGCATCTATTACTTTCAAGTGCGAAAAATTATGTTCGAGTGCTTTTTAGGGGTTCATAAATAAATCTGCCACCTCTCTTTCTTATTATAATCAATACTCAAAAAGGCCATGTTAGAGCGTCTTACTCCAATAAATTTGATATCATCGGCCAAAAAGCCTGTCATCGCCAGTTTGTTATTATGCAAGTGCAACTCATCAAGAAGAAACAGAAACCATGATCGTATCATTGTGTCCTACCCATCTGACTCGGTGCTAAAACTAGGTTAGTTACAGCAGGTTAATAAGTTTAGCGACTGTTCTGCTGCTCTCCTCCTGCCAGGTTTGCCTTCCAATTTCATGTGGCTACAGTACGATCAAATCAGTCTCTTTTCTAAAGTCTCTCCGTCGGTGAAACACAAAGAGTCTTAATGAAACCGACCCTGTTTTTAGTTGATGCCTAATCTGTTTTTAACGCACAAATAGCAGAGTTCATATCATTGGCCTCGCTAGCAAGTTATAAATATAAAGAATGGATATTTTCTTCTGAGAGTAGATTCCGATTTCTGATTTATTACTCTTAGTAGCAGGTTAGTACGTGAAACTAACATTAACGCGTGAGTAAGGTTGGTAACCTAGCAGTAGAATTTACTCTCGACACCAACACCAACAACAAATTTAAAACCACTTTATTTCCTTAATTGTATAGCTGAAAATAATACAGTTCCACGATTTTTCGCTACCTTTCATAATTGGACTAAAGTCGATAATCGAATTGAATATATGCTCATATGCAAACTCGAGTCACGTGGACGTGGTGCACGGAGTGGTTGCCCGTAGCAACCAATCTGAGTCACGTATTCTATTGACATTGTTCGCATGTGATGCTGAAAATTGTGGTTCTAATCGAGAAACCTTACTCCCACTCGCTTTTCTCAGTTTTTAAACCTTGTGTCTCAAGCGGTTTTACTTTCAACTTAAAATTTCCAAGTTTTTTATTTTATTTTCAAGTTCTTTAGTATGATAAAAAAACAATCCCTTTAAATCCCAGCCTTCTCGCTGGTAAGTTAATAGGTCCTGTAACTTTACTGTGCTAAATTCAGGTGCAATTCTCAATCGCGTAGGCGTCATTATTTGTTACACGTTTTTCTGAGTACCTAGTCTCCTTGCACCATCCAGCCGAACACACACCAAACACCCATTATTCGTGTATCTCCGACTCTATGTTAAACATAGATCCTAGTCAATGCTTACAAATTATTCAGTGTACAATTTGCTTTCTTTTTCATGGTATTTTTCCACCTATCGGCCGAAACTTTTTCATTTTTCCACTGGTAATAAGGCTGATGGAAAGTTGTGTCCAGAAGAACACGAACTTCAAATTGTTGACATCACGCCGGACCTTTGTTGTTTGTTATTTATTTGGGTGCTTGCACTCAACTAATACTTCCAGCAGTATTATAATGTATTTCATTCACCTTTTATGAACGGAGCCCGTAAAAATAGCTCACAGCTAAGAATCTCTGACCCAAATTTCTTGTTAATTTTATTGTTAATCTTAAAAATCCTCAGATAATATGTTAAATAAGTATGTGATTGCGATACTGCTGACATTAGTCGTGAGCAGTTTTTCAGAAAGCAACGAAATAGAACCGCCCGACAGTTTGGTCCTCAAATACGGTAAGTAACAAGACACTCCTTACTTAAGTAGCATGGGTCAGTAAATAACTCCTTCAAGCTTAAGGACTTAGTAATAAGTAAGTCACTCCTATAAGTTAAAGGAGTGACGTACAAAAATCACTCTTAAAAGTAGTTTTGCACTGACAACAAAAAACATTAGCTACCTTTGTAAATCATGGTCCATTTTGGCCATAATTTCAACAAGCAAAGCTGTAATTTCATAGTTTCACGATTGAAACCAACCTTCATTGTTTTAATTTTTAACGCGACCCCTTCCCGAGTAGCGGCAATAAAGTGCCCTAAACCGACGATAAAAGACGGTTCAGTGATCCCTGATGTCGAAGAGATTGAATTATACGAAACCTATACCGTTATCTGCAATAATAACTTCCAAATGGGTATAAACAATCATTTCTTCTAGCACTTTTTCAAAAATAATTTTCTTATTTATCTATCTTATCTTTTATTTCTGTTATGTCCTAAGTTCTGTTTCTGTCCTAAGTGTACCCAAATCATTGATTCATCAAAGACTAAACAATTTAATCTGTTAGGTTTATGTCTTTGGAATCCTTTATAACTTTGCCACGTGTATACAGTTTAATTTGTATGTCAAAGTGCAGCAGAAGGAACATAAGAATTATAACTAAAGTCTGTAGATTGTATACAAAGAATCTATGATTTATCATTTAGCTCGGTGTAGAGCGGCAGTATAAGATAACATACCAATTTCTCAGAGAGGGGAGAAGATAAGGTAATTGGAATAGATCCAGTGTACACCTGTTCACCAAAAGATGATGGGTCTGGAGCCTTGTCTCCAGAAACTCTCCCTACATGTGTTAATTATCCATGTTCGTCAATACGCTTTTTTGATTAACTAATTAAAAATTAATTTACTAATTTGTTAATCAACTGATTGACTAATTAACTTTTTGCCTCAATTTGGCTCAAATCGTTTTACAATAATATCCCCAGGGAGTCAGAGTCAACTAGATTTTATAAAACAGATAACTGCTGACGTTAACAACAAATATGCCGTGCAAAGCGATCAAATCGGTTGTTGGGAGGGATCAAACGGTGATTTTAACGGAGCGAGTGGCTTGACTCAATGTAATCCTCGAAGCCCTTCAATGTATATAGGTGAGAAATTATAAAAGATAAAAAGTTCGTCGCCTTTTGGATCCTCTTTACAAATGAAATCTATAATATATAGTAGGGTAGCGTTTGAATCACCACCTGTCTTTATATTTGACACTATATCGCGGATCTACAAATAATTAATTATAAGTTTATGTCATTACTAGTTACTACCCGCTACATTACAGATATTGGTTGCAACGACAACAACAAAGAACGCACAATGGTTGGCTATAACTCGCTTATGGTATTTGGTGATAAAGTGGACGCCACTGATCCATTGTGGGGAGAAGATATCATTGAAGATGAGGTCGAAAAAATGAAAATCTACATGGAATGTATTCCAGGTAAATCTATATGGAATGTATTCCAGGTAAATCTATATGGAATGTATTTCAGGTAAATCTATATTTAACTTTCTCTTACGAAGCTGACGTTGTTTAAACTTCAAGAACATGCATAACTTCAAACTTGAGAAGAATGTATCTTATTCTTAATGATCACAACTTTAAATGCTAAATATAAATCTCTATAGTAATGAAAATGTTTTAACACCTCAGTACTGTGTCTTACTACAGCTCAACCTGCTCAGTCTGACTATTTGGGAATTTAAACTCTTGATATAAATCTCTATTACAGCTGAAGAAATAGCGACGGTATGTCAGAAGGTTGATGAGCAACCTACCAAGTCAAATACGAAACTTTACGTCAAAGTGTACAGGTGAATATTCACACTATTGATTGAAAGCCCCTCGTAAGGGGATTGTCTCTCATGGACTAATTAGTGTTTTACATCACAATAAGTTAAAAATAAAGACCCCAATGGGCACTCCTGAAAACATAACTACTAGAAAATATATCAAAACTAAATAGAAAAACTGTGGTCAAATGTGATAAAATGGCAACAAACTGCGAATTATAATGGAAAATAAATTTTGAATTCGTTATTTAATGGCACGCAGCAGATTATAGAAAATGTAAAAAAAGTCAAGCAAAAATGTTGTTCACATATCACATTTACAAATGGGTTTGAGTTTCAAATTAATTTCACTGTACGACAAACAGATTATTTAAAAAATTTACAGATTATAAACTAAAACACAGCATTGATTTGGCTTGGTATAAAAGTGATAAAAAACAAATTTAAAAACTCAATATTCTGGACGTTGGATTTAGCCCCGATTAGCAGCAAAAAAAGATTAAGAATTTCTGTTTCTAGTGGACCTACGGAGGCCGCTGATTTCGTGGATGAGAAATTTACTCGTGGACCACTCATTTACATTATCATCCACCTTCTGCAGCTTCAGTATTTTTCTTTTGCATTGTGATTTGAACGCCTTCACTCTTCAGCAATTGGCATGACACTGAATTGAATGCTTCGTCTAGCGATGCGTCTACAAATAGTAGTGGGCCGTTGAAGAATATTGAATTTCTATGTGTGGCAGTATTGCAGTCATTGAACCATTCATAGTTAGCTTCAGTGATTACTTCTGAGTTTCGAGACGGCACATTTTTGCGCATAGTTTTTGCGACGAGAGGAGGTGATTAGGGAAATAGAATATTGTATTCATGAAAATGAGTGAATTAGATAATACTAAGATTATGCTGTGTATAGTTAGGATCGAGTAGTTGCTGAGGAGGTGTCCCATCTTTGTGCACCTAATTAGTTTATCCGATAGTTCATCCAAAAGTTTATTGTTTTCCCCGGAACTCCTTCTCTGTTCACCTATATTATTTATCAATTTGTTACGGTCGTAAGGATTAAAAAAGTTTGACTGTGAATTAACAGTAATAATGTTCAGTAGTTCCCCCGATATACACTCAAAACAAGACCATCTTCATCCTGGAGTTTTTGATATGTTTTCAACGTCATTTTTGCTAAGGTAGCTACACTTGTAGTGTTTAATTTGCCTGCACATGTTGCATATTAGATTCTGGCGAGATTTTGGAATTTGTACTGAGCATTTATCACATTTGACCGTCTTACTAGATGTTAGCACCAGGTTTGGTGTCAACTTGTAAAGTATTAATAGATAGTAACGTGACGTGAGCTAAGTGATTTTGATATGGAATAAATAATAAGATCAACAATTAATTAACGTGACGTAGTGAGTTCCTGTATAATTTAGTATATACTTATAGTAAATAGTTATTACGTGACCTGCTAACGTGACCTAGCTAATACTTCGCATACTATAAAAAAATGGGGTGGTAAGACTATTTTAATCATAGATCTTTATTAGGGTTTCAAATTTTACTCATCTGTATATCTTTTTTGCAATCGCAGTTCTATGATATTCATCATAAACTGGTTCGTTTGCAGTGTTGATATACCAGACTCAGAACCGAGCCGAGAGAAGCGGCTGATGAACATCAAGCAAAGCGAAGATATACACTACAGGTTGCGGTGTGATGATGGCTACAATTTCGAGTAAGTATCTGGTTCAAATATCCAATTTCAGATTTAAGGCTGGCCTTACGTTTTGAAATGCTATGGTTCACATTTTAATTTCAATTACAGGTATAGATTGTCCACACCATAGCTTTATAACACGAATGCTTTGTTTCACTTCTAAATGAAAAGCTGTAATAGTAAAACTAAAAAGCCAATATCGAATTTGGCAGTTATTCGAGTACATATCGAGCTGTTTACAATCACAATACGATTTGTAATTAAACGAATCTTCCCGAGAAGCTGTTCCGGCCTAGCCGATGGCCGATGCTCCTACATGGTTTTCCGGATCATCACTAGATGAACGGGACACTATGGTAGTCACTTTCCGGACGTAGCCTCTCTGTCCAAACGGAGAGGTAAAGTGAGCGCCCTACACATACACTCACACACTCACGCACGCAATCATAAATTGAAACGACACAGTACATGCATACAAGGCTCTAATTGGGTATATAAGACGTTTGACAGGTTATTTGAGAGGCTACAGATACTGGTGATTGGGATCATGTGAAACTCTCTAATCTCTATACCAGATTTTTCTATACCAGGCATTTATCGTTCCCCCGTGAGGTCCGGTATATAGAGGTTTTACTGTATTTTAGTATTTATTTTGAATCAAATTTATAACTTTATAATGTTTTGACTTTTTACCGACAGTAAAGAATTAAGGGGGAGATCGATGTGCTTCACAGTAACTAACTGTTTCAATATTCAGGGACGGTATTGACGAAGAAACAGTTTATGGTTATTGCTCAGCAGTAGGAGCTGAAGCCGGGGCCAACGAATTCTTCGCGTACACTAAAGATGCACCTGATACCGCCCTCAACTGCTATGGTAAGCGACTGGCAGAAAGGTTCAAGCGAAATTATAATATTATATTCAATATAAAATTGTAATTAGTTAGGTTGTAAACCTGCTAAATGTTGATAACATCGATAAAAAACCCGCAGCTAAGTGTCCAGCAAACCCTAAAAATGCAGACCTATTTTCTGTGGGGTCACCAGTCTTCAGTGTGCTGTACATGCCATCTTTAAGAAAAGGAGAAAATTTCATCGTCCCTAAAAATACGGTCAGTATCATTTGTTGGTTACATGTTGGTTGTCGCTTTATAATGTTTTACTTCCTGACGTCAAAAACTGACCAAATTAATCCATTCAGTAGTATAAACTGATAGAGCCAAATGAAATCATTCATTGTTAAAAAGGTTTTGTTGCCTTGAATAGCATTATTGGATGATAATGATTGATAGGACCATCAATTTCATCGTCGTTGGAGTAAATGCAGAAAATGATGCCGATGAATCCACTGAATTGGAACTTATGTCCTCCATAAGGATTTATATTCGCCATCAGATCTCAATTCTCAGACTACATTTTATAATTGCAGGTTAAGTGTGCAGATGGGCACTCATTAGTAGAGGACGCTCCAGAGAACTTTGAGATAAGCTGTTTAGGAGCTGACACGACTGCAAATCCAGATTCTGGACTGTTATCTTGCACTGATTGTCCTGTTTGTTATGGTGGGTAATTTTAAATCGTCGTTAACGCCTAGGTCACATTAACTCCTAGGTCACATTAACTCCTAGGTCACATTAACGCCTAGGTCACATTAACTCCTAGGTCACATTAACTTCTAGGTCACATAAACTCCTAGGTCACATTAACTCCTAGGTCACATTAACTCCTAGGTCACATTAACGCCTAGGTCATATTAACTCCTAGGTCACATTAACTCCTAGGTCACATTAACTCCTAGGTCACATTAACTCCTAGGTCACATTAACGCCTAGGTCACATTAACTCCTAGGTCACATTAACGCCTAGGTCACATTAACGCCTAGGTCACTAGGTCCTATCAACATTCAACAGTGCTGATTGCTTATATTTGTTGTAGCCCTCAAATATCTTTGTAGCTTCAAAGCTGTATAGGGTAAATGCTCACCAAAGACTAATGAACGAATTTTTACAGCAATGTGTATAGAAAATCCCGAAAGTGTTGATAAGTTTGTTGCCGATACTGACTCAGTATTCAAAACACTGACAATGCCTGCTCTTACTAAAGGAAAATCTCACACTTTAACCAGCGCCAATGTAAGTGGAATTCTTCCATCATGTTTGGGGTGAACTCCTATTAAACGTATAATTAAAAGTATGAACTAATCGTAGGAATTGTAGAAATCAAACACAGATACCCTAATTCAGAGTCCAAATCAAATGGACAATCCATTTTCTCTGTTTAGGTGATATGCGAAGACAACTATTCTTTAGCTCCAGATGCCCCGACCAGCTTTGACATTACCTGTAATGCTGTGGGATTACTGTCTTGTGAAACCTGCCCTAAATGTTATGGTGAGTCGTGCTAGGAAACAATTATGCTTGATTTGTTTAAGTTATTCGACACTATCATTATCTTAGCTTTAGCTGACCTCTCTCCAGTCTCCATAACGAAGTGGATATCCGAGATATTTTGTATCCTAGAGAATTGTATAGTACATTCACTATACCGTAAACGATTACTATAGTCTATTATCTTTCAGTGAAGTGTCCAGCAAACCCGGATAATGCCAACATGTTCGTGGCAGGAGAGGATCCTGTCTTTAAACAGCTGGAAATAGAAGAGATGATAAAAGGGCAACAAGTTACCTTTAAAGCTGAAAAGGTGACAAAAAGTTCTATGCGCGTGGGGCTGAAAATTTCAGTAGTATTTCGAGCCGACATCTTAATATCCACCTATAAATTTTAAGTTTTAGAACCCCTGCAGTCTTATTCACCTCATTCAGGTGATATGTGAAGATGGACACGATTTAGAGGAGGGTGCCCTAGAAAAATACACTGTGACTTGTAGCGACCCTGGGGCGGCTGATCCGAATATGGGGCTACTTAGCTGCGGAGATGCATGTCCTAAGTGCTACCGTTAGTATGATTTCTTTATCGCATAATCTGTTCTGTGACTCACACAGCGTTTTCCTCAGCCGTACATCTTGCTATTTTGAAGTGGTGTGAGTTGAGTTATAAAATAATTCATTATGATTAACAAACTCTCACAATTATATAGTCCCACCTTTTGTTTTGCAGCTATGTGTCCTGCGAACCCCGACAGTACTAAGTTTGCGGACGGCGCTGACGGTGTGTTCAAACAACTCACCATGGAGGCGTTCAAAAAAGGGGCATCACACGCTCTCACCAAAGAAAATGTAAGAATTTAGCACTAACGATGGACCATATACGTTTTACCGAAACAATTAACTCGAATTTTACTTTTCCCGATCTTAAACACTCTTATCAAACGAAATAATGATCAGGTAGTCTGCGAGGAGAATATGGGGGTAGCAGATGATGCACCAGATTCTTACGAGATCGATTGTGGGAAGTCAAATGAAGACGGGTTATTTGAATGTACTACGTGTCCTAAATGTGTAGGTTAGTTATATAAAACATAGGTAAATATGAATAAATTGAACATTAAAGTTTAGAAGAAATAATTGAGGAATAACTTCATCGAATATTATCAAAACTGAAAATTTCAGCTCAGTGCATAGCCCCTCACACTGAAGATACGTTGGTTATTCCGGAAGAAAATGGAGTAAAGTTGGTTCCAATGGATGGTAACATAAATCTAAACCAAGAACTCGTTGGTATGTGAAAAGCTTTTTACAAATGTCTAAAACTTTTTGGTTTCTATAGATATCGATCATCGATGTTAACTGAACCTTTCATAGACTCTTAGGGAAAGGTCCAAGGAGAGTATAGACTGATCAGTATAGAGACAGTATCATTAACCCCCTTCACTTTCAGTCGCCGTGGGTGACATAGAGTGCAAGGATAACTATGCCATGTCAGCTGATGCTCCGGAAACTTTCTCTTTCGTGTGTAAAGAGAATGGCATGTTCAGTTGCGCTGACGGTGCAAATGGATGTCCTCGATGCCTAGGTTAATAAAAGGACTGAAATATGAAGCAATTGATGTCCGGCATTTTGACTAGATTATCATTAGTGGGTACAGTGTACACATATTATTAGAGGTCTAGTATACCGGGTTTACAATATAATTTAAAACCGTCCCACACAATTACATTCAAAACATTTCTCTAATCATAATTTCTATAAGGCACCTGTAACTGGCCAGAAGCTGTTGTCATTGGAGGTGATGAAGGATATGACTTCCAGTATGTTGATGAGACGAAGAATAAAGGTGACGATAGGGCTGAAAAAGCTATTCCTGGAGTTAATCACGTTGAGGTAAGTCACGTGATATGTTTTAGTATTTCTTATCTCGGACTCTTGACTTTAAAGAAAATTGTTCAGTATTCATTGTGTCTTTAAAATTGAGTCTGGTTTACTCTTTTCAGGCATACTGTACAAATACATCTCTGGTTATTTTGGGACCAAGATTTTTAAGCTGTATTACCAATAACACGATGGTTTTCGATCTCAAAGGTTACCTTGATGACGCTGTACCAGTCTGTCAACTAGGTAAATTTTTTTAATAAATTTTAATAAATTTTAAAAAATTTGTAACTAGGTAAATTAATTGTTTATGTTTGATCAGGAATAATGACGTAGAGTGAAAAAAACACAATAGTCAATACGTCTTACTCTCAAGTAATTTCAGCGAACACACACTTGCCAATTGGACTGAATTGAACTCTCAAATTCTCTTGATTAAAGCTTTGAAAAGTTTCTGACATTATAATGTAACCACATTCCGCAGAACCAGTGTGTGAAGCACCGGCTACAGAGGGAGGCTCGTTCCAAATGACAGGGAATATAGCAGTCGGGGAGGTATACACCTTCACTTGCAATGAAGGTACTGATGATTACAGACGGGTTTTATAGACCTATTTGTCTAGTACAAATTAAATTATAAATCATTTATATTAGTATTGATGTTTTGGATAAACGGTGTGTTGCCGGAGTTTTTAAAGAACTTCTCGGATTTATGAACTTCATACTAAGTTTTTAAATATTTGTATTTTAACCAGGGTATGTGTTCGATCTAGACACGATAAAAGAGCACGGAGATGAGATCACAATAACTTGTGAAAAACCAGCTGAAAATGACACCCTCGTTAACTCTAAACTGCCAGCACAGTACTGTTACAGTAAGTACCCGGACAGCAATGTACTGTTACAGTAAGTACCCGGGCAGTAATGTCCTGTTACATTAAGTACCCGGACAGTAATGTACTGTTACAGTAAGTACCCGGACAGCAATGTACTGTTACAGTAAGTACCCGGGCAGTAATGTACTGTTACAGTAAGTACCCGGGCAGTAATGTCCTGTTACATTAAGTACCCGGACAGTAATGTACTGTTACAGTAAGTACCCGGACAGCAATGTACTGTTACAGTAAGTACCCGGGCAGTAATGTCCTGTTACATTAAGTACCCGGACAGTAATGTACTGTTACAGTAAGTACCCGGACAGCAATGTACTGTTACAGTAAGTACCCGGACAGCAATGTACTGTTACAGTAAGTACCCGGGCAGTAATGTCCTGTTACATTAAGTACCCGGACAGTAATGTACTGTTACAGTAAGTACCCGGACAGCAATGTACTGTTACAGTAAGTACCCGGGCAGTAATGTACTGTTACAGTAAGTACCCAGACAGCAATGTACTGTTACAGTAAGTACCCGGACAGCAATTTAATGTTACAGTAAGTACCCGGACAGCAATGTACTGTTACAGTAAGTACCCGGGCAGTAATGTACTGTTACAGTAAGTACCCAGACAGCAATGTACTGTTACAGTAAGTACCCGGACAGCAATTTAATGTTACAGTAAGTACCCGGACAGCAATGTAATGTTACAGTAAGTACCCGGACAGTAATTTAATGTTACAGTAAGTACCCGGACAGCAATGTAATGTTACAGTAAGTACCCGGGCAGCAATGTACTGTTACAGTAAGTACCCGGACAGCACAGCACTGTTACAGTAAGTACCCGGACAGCAATGTACTGTTACAGTAAGTACCCGGACAGCAATGTACTGTTACAGTAAGTACCCGGACAGCAATGTACTGTTACAGTAAGTACCCGGGCAGTAATGTACTGTTACAGTAAGCAGCTTGAGAATGTGAACAATCGTTCGAGTGAGTCTCGTGAAATGTGAACAAAATATGGCTCAAAACATGTTCGTCCATCATAGTTCATACTCATACCGGATAGACTTGATAAAATAAACTGTTTTCTCATTACTAAGACGGTCAAACAGTACTACCACTTCATATCGAGCAGTATCGTTTTAGTTTTCTCGTCAAAATTTGATTAATCCAATCAATTTATGAATGGATCCATCGGATCAAATCTGTTTTTATTCTGTGATGAATCCATCGAACGTAAAACTTCTCCGTTGTAGTTCCAACGGCTCCATTGTGTTGGAATCTGATCACCAGCAATTTGAATGTCTACTCGTTTCTATTGAAGTTCCAGTTAAACTGCACCTCTTTTAGCTCCGCTAAATATTAGGCACCCTTAAAAAACCTAAAATTGTAATTAGTATTACATTTCTTGGGTGAACACTGAACAATACATATTGTTGGTGCAAAACACAGCTCCTTAGCCATTTACACCACCACCGTAGTGAGTTGACTTGCTACATATTCTGACGTCGGAGCACCAATACGGTTGTTTAGTGCTTACCACATCAAGTCATTCACTAAGTAAATTATGGGAAGCCTGCTGGCTCTTTATTGTCATGTGAACTACTGCAGTCAATAAAATTCAAATTCACGAAATTTATGTAACTTACGGGTTCCTGATTTGATAAATTATTAAATTTGTGTAACTCACAGTTGGCAATCTATCTCCATGGTTAACTGGAAAACAAAGAAATTTGATAATAAGCACTGGCTTCTTAAAGGCTGGTTCGCATGGTTACAGTGTCCCACCGTCCTTTGGAGCATCGTTTTACATAGAATGACGTGGGCAAACCTTTTATTTTATCAATTCGCAGGTTGAAGGTTCCAATATATTAGAAATGTTAGATTTTTCGTCATGACTTCATGAGGTCATAGTTTGAACCGTACAAGTTAGGAAACAGCGAAAATGCTTAAAAGTGAATTAAAATGACAGATTTGTTAGAAAATCTGCTAAACGGTAATGTTGACCGTTACATTTTTCCACTAAGTGTCCGCTTCATTGCTAAGAAACGTGCTGCAAAACAGTACTTACAGAAAGACTGAATTTTCAAAATCTTTCTAATGAGCATGACAGCTTGACAAGTTTCGTAATTTCTGAGATTTGGCTTGAATCCAGAACTACTGATTCATGTCAGCCGACCACGGTTAGCACTTAGCTTTAAATGGAAGAAAAAATTGTAAGTGTTTAAAATTAAGGGGAATCTCTGCATTTCGTTAATAACAGTTTAAGAAGCTTTCAGAAGTCTTATAAAACTTTTAACAGGTGGTTGTATGGAGATAAAGGGTTTTAATGGTACAATAACCCCCATTGCTACGAGATCAGGAGGTGCTCCGTACAGCGAGGGACAGGAAATTACTTTCGCCTGTAACGAGGGCTATGAACTGGTAAGGGTGATCCATTATACTATTATACCTTTACTTACAACTACAAGTTTCATATATTTATTACTTCAATAATGTAGGCTCTATGATTATTGGTTTAATCTAGGCTATGTATGAAGCTCTACCTATTATATCTATACCATAGACTTATTAGACTAGGACACAGTCCAACCTGATCCAGAGGATGTAGCGTCTGCTGCTAAGTATAGTAACGTCTACTACAGACTACACAGACTACACAGACTACACAGACTACACAGACTACACAGACTACACAGACTACACAGACTACACAGACTACACAGACTACACAGACTACACAGACTACACAGACTACACAGACTACACAGACTACACAGACTACACAGACTACACAATACACATGCTTCCAAATTGAAAAATTGATAGTTTCTGGTCCGCAAATTGGTGTTTTTAATATGGTTAATCGAAGAAACTGGCATTTAAAAGTATCTTCAACACAAATAAATTACAGTCAGATTCAAGTAAAGGCGTACAGACGTGCGATAAGGGGAAGATTGGTGACGGACTAGTGGTTCCAACTTGTATTATAAAACCGGAACCAACGGAAGAATCAAAAGGAGCAGCAGACCGTTTTACTGCATCTTCTTTCCTGATAATCACTCTACTCAGCCTACTTCTCTGGTCTTAATTCTTCTTAAATTTCCGTTATTTGTGATACGTCCAAGTTATGCTTGGTTGCCTGAAATGTCCAATATGATTAATTTGGGACAAGTAAAATAAGAAAGTTTCTCAATTGATGGACTCTAATGGTTCATCAATGGACTCTAATGGTCCGTGAGGACACAACCCTCAGTGCAATGAGACGTTGAGATGAAAACAATCACGATTGTACTGACAGCTTGGTTTGTGGATGTTTGATAATCACTGATTCGAATTGTAGAGTTTAATTTATGTAGTTAAATATTTGAATTTTGTACTGTAAAATATTTGATGTGAACTTTTGAGTTTGGAGATTGAAGGCATTGAAGAAGTTTAAGCTGTTGCTGATACAATCTTTTAATGGTAGAAATCAATCTAAAAATGTTGACCATTCATACAATTAGTTTATGTGTGAAGAAATGTCTGAAGATTACGTAGTTGATTCAATAATGACCCTATTCCAGTAATAATAAATTTACATTTTTTCCAATTGATCTAATTAGCTAAACTCTTATTTATCATTAGATTTGTATCTACCACTACCAGTTTTCTCCAGCTTTGCTTCAAGATCTATTCAACGGTTTTACTTTGGATGTAAGCTGAGAACCCTACCGGTCCTAACCACCAAATCAAATTCCTAAATTACTGGTCTCATGACAATTGTATACCAGCGAGTTAATGCACATCATGCTGCTTTAAAACCATTATCCAGTCTGTTAGTTGTATGTTTTCATTTGGGAAATTGAGTTATTCATTTGGGAAATTGAATTATTCTGAGGATGATTTGATTGGAAACTTCAGCTGTTCGTGGTTCTCCTGGCTACAATGAGGCACTTAGAAACTACTTAAAAATACTTGGCAACTTTCCAGTGAATTAAGGGACTCTCGTGTATAATATGTGTCTCCATCTGTCTATTGAAATTTAAATGTTGGTTAAAAAGTCGGTTAATTAATGATGAAATATCAACATTATGTCTAACACCACAGTACGTGATTAGGCATGCTATTGTTAAGTTGCCATTTCAACAGACTTTTCAGTCAACCTTTCAATTGCGACTGACATGATAAAGACACATGTCAATTGTAAAACTTCATAGGCGGTAACCAGCTTCTTGAATCTCGATTATAAACTTGTCCATTAAAAAAGCATCTGCGGCATTTTATTTAATGTTCCCTGATTTTCTTAAGAAAAATGACTCGAAAAGCCCGGAATAAAAAATAAGTAATCGATCTGACAGCAGCTTTATTGAAGATTTTACTGCTCTGCACCAGGTGTGGTGCTTGATGTTATAATGACTCCAATTTGCATCACAAAAGCTACATCATAGTTTTCATGATCCTTTAAAAAAGTGTCGGTGTAGATGTGTTGAAAATGCAGTAGGATCTCCAAACCCCTTGTCATTACAGCACACAAGGCTTCCCATGCTAATTGTGCACGTAATTCAACAATGATAGAGTTTATTGATAAACAAAACACTCGCTCATTCCGAAGAGCGATTGAAGAAGGCGTATATTATGCCATTTAAAAACAGCTGAAATAGCAAGAATCTCTTTCAAGAGATGGAGCGGGTCTGTGGACACGTGCCTCCAACTCTCGCCTACCCAACGCAGCCTTTTATCATGCTCAGACAACCGGCGCATTCTTCTACACCATTAGCCTGTGCCTGTTGCTCAACATTACACCAGTTTATAATTGATCCTGTAGTTATTTTCGTCTTGGTCAACTGGAAGTGAAGATACTTTTTTGCATTTCATGATGGCGCTCAGCCACCTCAGTGCCACCAAGCTGCCCCGAGTCAGGCACAGTATCAGGAACACGATTGCCCGCCAGGAAGTGGAAGAGGAACGAGCTCAAGCTTATGCGCTCTCGCTAAATAGCCCGAGCTCCGCGGCTTCTTCCCTGGGATCTTTTACAACTGGCCGTGCTCAAGCATCCAATCCAGGGCCAGCAACCATTTCAGTACCCACGTCCGCGTCATTCGGTAAAAAAGTGAAGAAAAGGATCAGTATGGCGGCAGTGGGCCACACAGCTTTTGGGAGTCTGATGAGACGGGGACATGTTCATTCTTTGTGAGTATGATTAAATAATTATGGTAAAAAGTAGCCTTAAAAAGCTCGATATAACACATTTTCATAACTTCTGCAAGAGAGTTAGTGAAAATCTATTCCACAATTATTTCACCCATCCGTAGTAAGTTCAATCCGCAGTACAAGACTCATTTCTCGAAAGTGTATTTACCATATTCAAAATCTGCCTGGAATTAAATCCCGAACCGGAAATCTCAAAATGACAGTGGCACAGTGTATTAATCAATACTAAAAACTGCGCGTGACCGATGTTAGTCACTTAAATGGCGCTATGACTATTACTATTAGCTGCTTAATGAGATCATTGAAATGGTGCCATCGGTGATCCGTGGTGTGTCAGATTAGTGGTATGTCATGTTTCTTAAGTTCAGCACTTTTTAAATTGCTAGTTCATCAATAGAAAAATGATAAATCACTCCAAGTCCAAGTGTACGCTTGCTGTCATGTGAGTGTGGCTACCTTCTTATTTATTTGTAGGTAACATTAATGTATTGTTTAAAATCTAAAATTATACATAACCACGCACCGACATAAACCCGAATAATTGCTGAAAATGTGGCCCAATTTCATATAATATGGTCATGTCACGTGATTGAAATTTATTGCAATTAAGTACATAATACGTAATCACTTTTTGACCAATTTTTAACCCCATCCTGCCTCCCTAAGCTCCGTATAGTATTAGTATTCAGTTTTTCAGTTTCACTCATAGCTATAGTGATAAAATTACACTAGCGTTATCATTTAGAAACCCCCTCCCACCTTTACAGTTACTCTTGGCTAGTGCGTAGAAATTAAACCAGTGTGAGCTTTTCCAAACCACCTCGCCTAGATTGGCTTAAGTAATTTGTCAACGGTCCTTTTAATGTTATGTGGGGGTGATTTGGAAGAAACGGCTCCGTTTGGACTGCTGAGAAGCAATTCTGCAAGAGTTATAATTACGGAGACTGGGAGTCTGGTGTCTATGGTTTATATGTGCCAAGTTTATGAAATAAAGTCTCTTCTTTAGACGGTGGCAAATTAGTTTGCTTGCATTGCCGATCTGTCATGGCCTGATCCGTGCATTGTATGATAGTTCACCTGCAATAATGGACGAGTACGTACTTTAAACGTACTATAGAATTTAAGTCTAGACTAGATTCTAGACTATAGATTTCAACCCCCGTTGCATCTTCCGCATACTTGCTATAAATATATTGCTAACGTGTTTATGTGGACTCTACCATTGTCCATCAGTACTTGCCAAGTATGCTGGATTAAAGTCTGACGAGTTTCAGTCTGCAGAGCGTGCTGCTCGTTCGTCACTAGATTCATCGTTTATTCCTTAACTGATATCACATTTTATCAATAACATTTGGCTTTATTAATATCATTTAGATTCTTTGAGTGAAAGTAAAATTGTTCATAGTATTCAAAATCTCCGAGTGCATTATTTTATGTACATTCTTAAACTCACACTCAAAGAATAAGGAATAATCTGCTGACTATAGCAATTTGATGAGTTCGTTGCAGCATAAGCACCACACATCCAATAATTATATCACTATGAGATCATGTTCCATTAAAAAAGTCACCGGTCAACTTGGGTCTTACAATCTTAAGAGACAGTCTTAGGTCTTTAAAAAAAGCTGGTCTAATTCTTTCCAAATCAAAACATCCATTTGTTCAGGTTTCGATCTTAAACGGTTACTATTTTCACTTTCAGGAGACAAAAGAATCACATACCCTCTAAAGTCCTAGCGGAACTAGAACTCTCAAGCACGTAAGAAATGGGGAGTTTTTGTAGTTTTACTGCGTATCAGAATGAACTGGAAGGGGGGGGGGGGGGGGGGGGGGGGAAGGGATTTTAGGATTTTCCGACCAAGTGTTATTCTGAAGTCTATACTATAAATATGCACGGGAAGTCAAATAGATGACAACTAAGTGTACTTCCAACTTTAATTTGTATTTTGAAATTTTTTTTCAAATAACACCATTCTACCAGCCACAAGTAAAATTCTAATGACTGTTAATCTACCAGACGTAAAACAAGTATAAAAAGATCAAGCATCGTTGGTGCTCATAGTCACACTGCACCATTTGAGCCCATTCCCGAACCAGTCGTAAACAACCAAAATACACCACCTCGAACTATAAACCCGCTCGACTTCAACCTGGATACTTTACCCGAGGACCCGGGGCTTGATGAGAACGAGACGGAAGATGAAATGTGTACAGAACTCCTGTCAATGAACGGAAATGTTCCTGATGGAGACCTCATTTTCATCAATTGTTCTGGTAGGAACCATTTGACACTTTTACAGTAACACAGCATTTAAAACCTTTGCAATCTGATATATTGGCATAATATGTAACCTTATTAAACTAGACTTAAGAATTAAGATACTAAAGATAAAATGTATAACGTCACCGAAAATTATCTGCAGGTTTCCGTTACGTAACCACAGAAGAAACTCTAAGTAGATTTCCCAATTCGTTACTAGGAAATGCAAAACTACGACAAGCACTTTATTCACAAAAACTGGACGCTTACTATCTCGATAGACACAGGTAACTATTCGAATAGGAATATCACTTTTTGTTCAGCAATTCGGGTTTCAAGGCATAATATTTGCGCTAAACTATGTGTATCCTTGCTTTAATTAAGAAACTGATAACCAGTCAGCAAAACAATTATAAGCGTTATTATTTTATTATCCTACAGGGCGTGTTTCGAGTCCATCCTTCAGTTTTATCAAACTGGGATTGAATGCCCTCCACCGTACATAGACCTACATATCTACCATTCTGAGAAAGATTTTTACGGTCTGAAGAGGTCCCGTGATACGGTGATCGAGATAAGAGAAAACAGGATGAAGGAAAGTTCCTGTCTCTGCTGCCCACATAGCAGTAGGTTAAAGATCCACAAATTTCTGATTAATCCCCCGAACTCGATCTGCTCATCTTTATATCATGCGACGGATATAACCATGATTGCGTTGGCGACGGTATTGTTCATCTTGGAATCTGAAGAAACTCTTAAAGACAAATTTCAATTAACGTTAGGGCATTTAAGCGACAGTTATGGGATAAACTTTTGGCTTTTTGCATTAGATGCAATGACTATCGGATGGTTTACCGTAGATATAATGCTAAGAATGGTATCATGGCCACAGTTTATTGAGTACTGGAAGGATTTTATGAACTTGCTGGACATATTTTCTGTTGCACCGTTCTACATAGAGCTCATTCAATTGGCGACAGCTAACGAATCTGATAATAATTACGATTTTCTCCGAGCCTTGAGACTTATACGGGTAGTGAGAGTATTCAAGTTTGTGCGTCACTCAGAAAGTATGATGGTGATTCTGAAGGCGGTGGTGAAGGCACGACACGAGCTCCTCGTTTTGTTTGTATCCATCTTCCTTTTCGTCATTACATTCGGCTCGATAATGTTCTATCTAGAACATGACGTACCAGAGGATCAGATGCCACCAGAAGGGTCCCGTCCCAACACCCCTTCTCTTCCATCTTGATGTCGTGTTGGTGGGTCCTGGTCTCCGTGACGACGGTTGGGTTCGGTGATATGTATCCGGTGACAACTGCCGGTAAGTTCGCCGGTTCTGTGGTTCTTTGTCTGGGAATTATCTGTCTGGCCCTACCCATGACGATCATTGTGACCAAGTTCAGTATTGAGTTTGACCGAGAGAAGTCTTGAAGAGACTATATGCTATTTGAGCTAGGGTGGTAAACCAAAGTCAAGGCTGTGGAGAAAAGAGTGCGACCTAGGAACGTCTCAATAAGTCCGGAAACCAGCAGGTATTGAAGTTCAAATGATTGAAATGCAATTTTTGAGACATCAAACTAACGAATAACAATGACAAAAATAGAAATAATATACAAAACAACTTTATCATATAATAAAAATTCAGCATATCTTCTTAAGTTTAATCTTGTTTTTACTTTAATCTCGATTTAGAATATCTGTAAAGATCTAGGGAAATCTTTAATAAAAAATCTGTATTTTCACCCTCGGTATGTATTGTAGTAAATATACGCCTTTGTAGTCTGTTCAAAGAACTCTCCACATTTTTTCTTGTTCTGTCACGGCTTTTGTAGTCACAGTTATTTGCGGGGAATATTCCTGCAGAAAAACAGCGTTAACAACTGGACACATTCCGACGTCAATCTAATTGGTTGTCCGGAATTCCTTGACGAAATCAGAATTAAACAATACAGATGCATAATTCCACCATTTGTTAGAACGAATTGGGCGTGTTTAAAAGACAAACACATACTCAACCTTCCCTGTCTGGAAACTACCTGTAAAGCAGTCATGGATAGAGGTTGCCACGAGTGCGAACTTCTGGAAACGTCTCTGGAGGACTTAGCCAGGGGCTCCACGTGGATCTTCTGATACGCTGCCGTGCTGGACTCACTTGGTGTCCGCCTACTATTTTCATCTCCATCTTCCGCCTGGTGTAGACTATAGTTATAAAGAAATCAAGCCTAAGATAAACCAGACACATTCTTTTAAGGGCTGATTTGATTTAACGTACGTGGGAATATTTTTAAAGTACTCATTTGTTCATAGTTAGAAACAGTCAGACAATGAGTTGTGTCCTATTGTGAGATTTGTGAGAATCATCTCAGTCATCAGTAACTTTGAATAACCGGAAATGATAAACAAATCAGAATACACAATGATCTTTTGAAAATCTCCGACTTCACAGACAACTGTCTCAATAGGTTCAATAGGTAGGTAGGAACTTCGAAACACGCACCAGTGGCGGACAGTGAACAATGAAAAAAAATTTTAGGTGTAACAGATGCCAGTCTGACTAAAGTTTGGTAGAGTTAAATGCTGCACTTGTGACTTGCAATTGCATAGTGCATACCAAACTGCAAGCACATGGCTAATCGAAATCCATATTTGGCGCGTCATCGCCTGTTGCCATAGATACAATGTGGTATTGCGCCATGATACGACAAAATATGCAACGCGCGTTACGTAAACTAACTTCTATATTATTATATCTGCGACAGACAAGGTGCCCAGGCGTGAAAATAAAATAAAAACAAAACAAGGACTCATCAATGTTTGACGAAAATAAATTAAATTTTCTATGAAGACCCCAACCCACCTCCAGCAGCGGTCAAAAATAAAGATGAAATTTTAGATTTATCCACGGTCCTTTGACAATATTATAATATAGGATTGCAAACCTCGTAATCAGTGATGACTGTATCGCTGCTATGATCATTAAATGCACTATTCAGCATCCCTGGATAATAGTTCAAGTTTTCTTTTCTCCCTTTCCCAACCAGCATCTGACCTGCTTTTGTTTTGTTTTTCTGAGCTGCTCTGTACATCAATAAAACTTGATCCCGGCTGCTTGTAGATATGAAGTTGCTGTCTCTCTGAAATTGACATTTTTTACGACAGGAAACTTTCATATCATTTTATTTCCTAAATTGTTTTTAAGATATATTATCTTCCATATTTAAGATTTGGTTGGGGAGGCGGATTATCGTTGTGAAGTACTGTACTACTCACGAAGTACTGTACACGATGTTTTCAACCCACGAGTCAGAGAGCAAGCTCAATCTTCCATAGTCATTTGATTACAAATCTAGCTGTAGTTGTGATTTGCACTCTACCTTTTACTTATAAATGTGCATGTGGGTAATTCCTTAAGTTCTTTATTTTGCTAAGAAGAAGAGATAGTATAATAAATGATTTTAACAGTAGTGAAAAGGTTGGATAGGCTAAAGGCGGAAGTAAACTTTTATTAGCAATCGCGCCGGAAGATGAGAGGTAAAATTTTCTCTCTAACCGGACTTTATAGGTATAGAAAAAGTTGTAGATGACTCAATGTACTAGGTTAATTAAACACAGGGATAGGAAGAATTGATTTTAATGGTTTTAAAAATAGCGACGATGTTTAAAATAATATTATACATTTATTACTTTTGCTTAAACGAGCTTACCCAATTATCCTGAAATTCCAATGTACTGAAAAACGAAAAAAAGATCTGATGCTCACCAGAGCACAGATATTGAGGGCCAGTAAAAACATGGGCAGTTTATGTGCAATAAGATAATAAAACATCTCCGTTAATTCTAAAATTATCGAGTGTCTACTCAGTTAACTAATTTGGTAATTATTAGATCCGAGAAAGTTCTACATTTTACTCCCTGACAAAATGAAAATTCTATAAAAAATATCCTAAAACTAAAGCCATAACAGGTGCTAGAAAACTGTAGTTCTCAGGAAATCCAAAATACCATTCGCATACCAAAACTAAGAAACACAGGCAGAGGGACACTGTATTTGCCTCGATAAGAAACTTGCGGAGACCTTCATCTCGACACCCTCTGATTGATTTTATCCCATTTATACCTTGGATGAGACAAGCAAGTGAAAACGACATGTCCCCATCCATCCACTGAAAGGGAAATGTCCATCTAAGGATAACTGCTAACACACGAGGTAATATATTCACGGCGACGAGAAAATGTGCTGTGGACATGATATTTGAGTGAGTTTTACTGTCTTTACAACGAGCAGCTGATAATCCGTGCCCTATAAAAACCGGCACAATAATAGCGATATCAAGGTTTGAAACTGAATGTAAGATAACGTGAAGTGTCCGAAAAAAGCCAAGGTGTTCCATTACTGATGTCTGAAAGTTCTGAATAACCAAATAGACTGCAGTACCAGATACAACGATCATTGACAGCAATGCTGTATACCCGATTACACGATGGTAACGGTGGAACCCCATTATAGTTAGGTTTCCAGAGGCAACTGTCCAAGCCAGAGTAGCAGAAATATGGATTATCAGTTGAATTTCGAGTGATGAAAATGATTCGCCGGTTGAAAATTTTGCCAAACGGTCTTGAGACAGAAAAATCCAGATAAAAATAAGCAGAAACGTAGTTTTGAGATAGGTGACCATCTTGCTTCGATCGACGTTTCTCCTTGAGTGAGGTCTTGTGGTTGATGGTTTGAAGACGAAACAGAGTTCACGGTTTTTGTATGCTGGGAAAAGTGATTGATGTTCATAGAACAACTCTTCTAGGGCGTCAAAGTAACCAGCGACAAATTCATCCAAATTTGAGTAATTTTTTGGGTGCAAGGGATTTTTCCTCACTACCAAACATGTTCCTTCCCCTAATATAGTATCCCACGTGGGTAACCACAACGGAATATTCAAACCAGTTGCCTCGTACACTGCCCTATCTATTCCTGAAAATGGAGTCCAATAGCTGTCGTACATACCAAACACAAATGCTGGAACTACACCGGAACAACACGAACCCTCCCCTGGCCCTTGTTTGTAATCTTCCAGACAACCCTCAAGAAGCCGGTATGAGGAACGAGGGAAATAACCGCCTCCCGAGGATTACAAACAGTCATTTCTCGAGCTCCTCCGGGTATTATACCAACGTGTTTACCCTCCTTCAACGACTTGGTGATCTCTTTTGATGTAGCGTCGATAACTCTGCCAGCAAGCATGGTCGTATAACCCACAGTTGGGACATACTTCCCGAAAGAACTCTGAGCCATCACGAAGTTGTCCTCTCCGAAAACGTGGGGATGTGCCTGAAATGTTGGAAATAAGGACATGGGGTAGCGGCCGTGGGGGTGAATAGCAAGGATGCAGGGTGACTCCGGCAGAGAGGTATTCCTGAAAACTTGAAACTTCTTACGTTGAGATATCCTTCGCAGGAGGTTAATAAACCACGTTGATCTATGAGGTCCGAGTATAGCGGGAGTTAGCCAGAAAATTAATGGAATGAACCGGTAGTAAGGTGGAACAACAAGGAGGAGACAAAGGAGAGCCCATGTCAGAATGGGAACTCCAATATCCCACCAAGCGACGAAATTACCCATTAGGGCTTAATCTCAAAATCAAACAGTTTCTTAAGCTTTTCGATCTGAGAGTTTAGGGACTCTTTCGTTCTCGTCAGGGAAAGTCAATCCACACTGAAGACTCGGTATTTCACAGCAGCTAGGGGTTATTATTTTAAGTCGGTGCTAAACAAGTATTTGATAAGTCTAAGCATACGTACTAATAATACTGTTCTTGATCAACACACCAGTATTCACTAGTAACTTTTGATAGCGCGATTAATTTCACGAAAAAGTCATCATTTACAAAATAAAATCGTTAATCGACAAAGCATCAACAAAAGTTAGACTCTAGATATTATCTAGATCATAACAATTTGTACGAGATCATTATCTCATTATGATATCAACTAAGTAATGAGTCAGCTAACGAAGCACGCACTATAGATATCTGTCAACTGAATAGTGAATACCACGTATGTGTTAGCTTATCATCGTGCCTACCTAGTAGTAGTACCTATTGATTATTATATTATGTAGCATTTTTGAAATTTTTGCAGTATAACTTCCCCACTCTTTTACCGTACAAGGATCCAGCACAGTGACGAAGAACATGAAACCCATCAACTATCAAGTACCTAAAAGCTCTGTAACATGTAAAAACAAAGAACTATTAAAAAGTTAAAGCAAAGAAAACCTGACATCGATAGTCGATATTTACGAGGGACTGTAACTATGTAATGTAAGGATATTAAATAGAACGTACCGAATTAAAGTTCTCGTTTTGTGCCGCCTTCTTTAGAGCCCTCTGAACATAATGTTCGTGGTGCGGCTTGTTCTGAGCAAGTAGTAGTACAGTACCACTAATAGTGGTTAAGCAAGTTAAAAACAAACCACTTTTACAATAAATCGTAGAGTTAATCGAAACGTTTTGTTCTTGAATTAAACGTTTCAGAAAATTAATTGCAGTTTTTCTGTCTTTAAATGCGAAACGTTAAAATTGATGATATGCTGGTTTCTAAGTAACAAATGTCATACTTTGGACGAAGTTTCCATCTTGTTGCCACTTTGATCTCTTAAGTGCTGCCACACCATATGCGCCCCTGAATCTGAAACAGATAAAATAATGTGAGCTCCTGGAATTATAGATGAAACAGATAAAATCATGTGAGCTGAGCATGTTAAAAATACAGCACACTCCCTATCAACAATCAAATATCCTTCACAATTGTTCTCCAAATTAAATTAGGAACGCTGCTTCTCAAACGGACAATATTAAAAAGACAGACAAAGCACCGAAGGATATAAGCGAACTAATTTAACAACAACCACAACCACACAGAAGAACAAGTACAAGTAAAAGTACTACACAGAAGAACAAGTACTTTTGTGTAAGTTCACAATCTTCTGGAGCTCTAAAAACTTGCAGCGGGGAGGCGATACAAACTTAGTGTGGCGTTCCAGTTCCATTACCCCGTACTCAACAAAGTAAGTCAACAGCAAAGAAAGTGGAGATACCGTAGTGCAAGTAGTGACATTCATAAAATTCTTACATGCTAAGTGCGAGCTGGGGACCGATTTTAACTACTTTTGTCAGATTGGAGAACTCACGAAATGTTTATAAAGGCCACTGATGGCTATGATATCACAATTCACAAATTGCAGCATTCGAAAAGTTCGATAAGTGCATGATTATTTTATAGTTTAGAGTTAAATCTCGTGATTTAACTTATCACTGCAATTCGTCGACGAAGTAGAAGAGGTTGGAATATTAGGTTTCATTAACCACGAGTAACAGTGTGCTTCTCAGAGTTGACAGCATGCATATTAAAACTTATGTTTTAACTTTGTAAGGTCAGGCAACAATTGACGATGGTTTTATTCAAAAACAGTGGGAGAACGAATGAAGGAAGAGCATGCATATATAATGATATATATTATATATTATATCAAAATGCATATAATATATTAAAACGTATACTGCTTTATTAAGGTCGTTTATCGCTGACAATGGTTTTATTCAAAACCACCAGCTAAAAAGAAGCATTTTAAAACCACATAATTTTATAAAACTCACTCTGATTATCATGGTAAATATTCTTGAGATCGTTCATCTTGGCGTTTTTAATTTTTGCCTCCGCAATAGCCTCCAGCCAACTGAGGCCCCCGCCCTTTTTATCTTGCCCATCGGCTTTGCTGCCAAACCCCTTCCGCCCAAATAATCCCATTCAGTAGTTCGTCAGTCTACATTGTGGAATTAGTTACTGTACACTGTCATCACTAAATTTCTACATGCTACAAATAATTTAGCAAATCAGGACAAAACAACGAGAAATACGAAATATACTGTTCAAAGAATACATAGAGATCACGTCTCTGTTACATTACTATCAATATGTTACCATGGCAACTAATACTGTATCACAGTAAATTTCATTATCAGGTTACCAAAATTACCCACCCTTACAAAAAGTAAAAAGCCGATAATTTGCTCGGCTCAAATAACACAAATACAGATGTCAGAGCGGAGCTAAAGAGCACACAAAGAAGAGAACTACTACAACACTGCAGAGACCAAGCTAAGAGCGAGAGCTACCTTCAACTAGCGGACTAATAATAAACATCATGTGTACACAAGACACAAGACACATAACTTGATTGCGTTGTACAAAGAGGTAATGTGGGAGTTACTGCTCTCTCTCCGTGTGCTTGACTGGCGTTGTGGGGCACATGTTTGTGACTTATACGCGTTGTTTTTACAAATCAGTAAAACTACTTCAAGCATGCAGGCGAGCATGGTATTGATGATCATGTCTGCTGTAAAACAGTGATCGTTCCGTTATATTTACGTTGCTGAGCATGCAGAATCACGACGGCAATCTTTCAAAGGGCACACAAATAATAAGCATGAGGAGCCCAATTAAATGATTAGAACAGTCGGAGATGATTCATCATGATCAGATGATTTCTCGATTGATTCTGGAAACGTGATGTTTACATATCACTGCCGGCAAAGAAGTCTGAATCAAGGATCAATGATCATCTTAGTTGACCGCGAAATAATAGTTACAGAAACTTTATAACTCATACTTTTATGATTGCTCTTGAATGCCTAGTCTGATAATTGACAGATTAAAAGTTTAGTCAACTAAAACGATAAGTTACTTAAAAAACTATATCGATATGATTGATTGAGAATCTGACTTTGTACTTCAAATTCAAATTTCATACTTTTGAATAACAGTTAAATACCATCTATTAAAATTCACACCAAATTAAATATTTTAAAACAATTTACGTGAAAAAGTTGAAAAATGTGGAAAAGTCGCACGACTCAACTTTGTGGTTTGTCATGGTGAGTAATTACAAAATGTTTATAAAATTCATTTCTGCTGTGAAGACGAAGCATTCACAGTTCATAACCGCAGATGATTAACAGATGTAAGAGAGAGAGTTAAAACCAATCCAGTTTTGAAATTTTTAATCGATCAGGTGTTGTCTACCTATTAACACGTTATATACCAAGGCTCCTGTTTTAGATTTGGATATATCTATAGAAGAGGGGCACTTTATAGTTAGAGTTTATGATTAAACGGGACGATTTTCCGTTCAAAATCGTTCAGTATTCTCCTTATTGTAGTAACATGTACTCATTGGAGTATTTGGTTCTCAACTCGTTAGATTTTTTAGGATTTGCAATAATTTTAATGGTTTTAAAAGATTGGTTGAGATAATGCTTAACTCTTTCGTTAATTTAGGATTTAAAAAGAAATTATTAAGTAGTAGATACCGACATATGTCGCAGAAGCATGGCTTTAAAGATAAATTTACTATGATTGATACACTGGACTACTTGCTTGACGATTAGATTACTGCTGGTACCTTCGTTTTGGCAAGTCCGGTGTAACGTTACACTGTAACGTGGTATTACATCATGCTAGATGCTGGGGTGAAGAGCTTTATTGTTATTCTTATTTGGCCCGTTTCACTCTGTTATGTTTATGCCCTACATTTTGTACCTTGTATTAGTAGTGGGCATTGGTTTGGTTTTACACTATTTCAGTTGTTTTAGTTTCTATAAAGTTATAGCTAATGTCTCATATTTTTACTTTTTACTTAACTTTAAATTATTTTTATTAGGAAAAAGCTTGAGGGAAGATGACAGTTGCATGCATAAAACTAGTTTAAGTCACCAATGCAGAATCTGAAGTTTGTGAACCTCAACTAAGCCTTTCACTTGTTATAACCGTGTTATTCTCACTTGCTCAGCTGAACATGATAAAATATAACTCAAGTAATATTGAAAATTGTCATTAAAGATGGTTATAATTAGTATACTCGTGTCCTAAGACTAGATGTTAGTCAGTTTTAGTAATCTGACTCTTACTCATCTACCCATTAATTACTCCTTGACAACAGGAATAATCAACAAATAATATGCAAATAAACTTCAGGAAAATTAAATATCATTCAACATAAAATACTGAAATATAACATTAACCATAGCGAGATGCCACCCTGCACTTGTATAGATACATTAGATTAAGAAATATGGTAATATCCGTGTTTACTTTGAATCTATGGTATTTAATTAATTTCGACCTTTGATTTGTAGATCGTTGATTAATAAGGGAGGGAATTACGTATACCACTTGTAAAAACTATATAACTTGTAAAAACTATACCCAGACTGGCTTTCATATTAACTAAGGAAATACTTATTTAATAGCTAATATATTGCATTTTTTTAATATGAACTTCCGTTTTACTTTCGGCCGAGCAAGTATGTACTTAGAAAATATAATGTGCGAAAATTAAAATCCAGGCAAGCTGATCCCGGATATTTTCAGATCAAATCAGTTCAGGAATTTTGTCTTATCAGATTACAGACAGCAGCGTTGACAATATAATGTGGAATTTAGGACTGAGCGAACCAACTTTCGTCTTTCGGAATGTTTTAAATGTATTCGAACTAAAAGGAGTCCGAAGATCAAAGTCTCACTTTAATGTTTAATCTTATTTCTACTACTTCGACAAAAACAGCAACTAGACAATATTATACTACTAAACTGTATCAATCTTACATTGGTTTGCTTGCTGCTTTTGTTGCGGAGCTCTCTCTCTCTCTCTCTCTCTCTCTCTCTTCGGTTACCACTATACGCATGCAAGCAAGCAAACTCATTACAGTTCCAGTATAGGATCGCCATTAAGTCGCTATAAACTTATAAAGCAAATAACAGTACAAAGTTATCTAGAAGATAATATCTTTATAACTATATTTAGGTAGATAATATCTGTATAGTTATCAAGTACAACACACAAAAATTATCTAGCGGATGTGATGATATTTAGTTGACATGAAATTTGTGGATATCATCACGTGACCTCATCACAACACCACGTGACCTCATCACAACACCGCGTGACGTCATCACAACACCACGTGACCTCATCACAACACCGCGTGACGTCATCACAACACCAGGTGACGTCATCACAACACCACGTGAATTCATCACAACACCACGTGACTTCATCACAACACCACGTGACGTCATCACAACACCACGTGACGTCATCACAACACCACGTGACGTCATCACAACACCACGTGACGTCATCACAACGCCACGTGACGTCATCACAACACCACGTGACGTCATCACAACACCACGTGACTTCATCACAACACCACGTGACGTCATCACAACACCACGTGACGTCATCACAACACCACGTGACGTCATCACAACACCACGTGACGTCATCACAACACCACGTGAAGACTGCTCCAGGTTTCTCTGTCTTTTTTACTTCTCTGATTGTAAGTATGGAAGTTATACATTAATATGCACTGCACTAGAGGGTGAAGTTTTAGTAGTGGAACTATAATATAAATAATATTGTAGTCCTTAATAAAGTTGGTGCTATATCGCTCTGGGATAATTATAAGGATGAAGTTGATTGAAACGTCAAACTTCAAACCAGTTCCACAAAAAAGGTAGTCGAGTTTTTATTTTATAATAGATTATGGTGCAGATCAGAAGGTTTACAATATATTATTACAGTAAATTGTAAAAAAACAATTTATCGGTCAAAGCTATTGTTTTGTAATGAATGACATGTCAGATTTCTGTCTTTCTGGCGACCAAATTATATTATGTAAACAGCAGAAAAACTCTTGTTCGGAGAGGTTCAACAAGGAATATTACCTAGACCCGTTAACTTATATAATCATAATTAAACTGGCTAGTGACTCAATAGTATTCAGATCGTGACAATGCCCATAATAGTGAGGAGGTGAACCATAGCTTGTTGACACGGTTTGAACTGTTTCATGCTGGAAGCTGATTGGTTAATCGTTGTCACGTGCTTTGCCTCGTCCTCAGTAAACAGATCTCTATTGTTCAATAACGGCTATTTAGTTAGCCTTATTAACTGGGAGCAATTTAAAAACTTTCACCTTTTACAGTGCCACGTATATTATACAGTTCTCTGAAATGAAGACAGTCTCGTGTCTCCTTGTGTTGTTCGTGTTATCACATTCCGTAGAGGGGAAATGGAATGCTCAAGCTGTCGTAGCGAACGAGAAATACTCGTACGAAAAGCAGGAGATGTTTCCCTTGCGTTTCAAAACAGTCACCGCATCACCAAGTCAAATGTGGGTTACATTTTACTACAGCAGCGGATCATGGGGTCAGTTGAGATGGTCTGAGAGCACGTGGGGGGTTGAGCTGTACGCGTGTACTGATGACAAGTTGTATACAACCGGGGCTGGAGATAAGTTCACTGATGTTCCTGAGGGTCCGGACAGGATATGGGAGGTTAGCTGGGGTGACAAGGAATTTTCCGTGAGCTGCAATGGGAATAATGTGTGGAATTTCAAGTACGAAAACAGGCTGAGCAAGTTTAGTGAGAATTGTTGTGACCGAAAATACTCTGAGCAACGAGGTTCTTTGAGAACTTTCAAATTTAACAAAACTGGGGCCTCGGGTGAGATTTTGAATTTTCCGACAGAGTATTACACAAACGATGGCAAAGAAGACAAGAAAGATAAGAAGGACAAAAAGGACAAAAAGGATAAGAAGAAGAAGGACAAAAAGGATAAGAAGAAGAAGGACAAAAAAGACAAAAAGAAAGACAAGAAGAAGAACAATGCTGTCCAAATCTAACGCATTTTCTCCATACTTTATTATCGTTTTAAATCCTTGGAAATCTTATTTAATCGGGACTGACGACTTCTAGAAATTAATTGTGACACATTTTATTTTAAATTGTCAATTAGTTTACAGTGAAATCTTCAATCATGTGCATTAAATGTTGTCAAAGATTTGTCAACTTTTAGTTTCCCTAAAATTCAAGGGGTGTTTCCTTTTGTTCAACTTCAGAGTTCACTTTTTAATTAAAAATTGTAGTGATTTACCATCATAGATCACAGTTCTAGACGTACAGGATTCCAGATCAGAATTATGAATCTACAAAGGACACACACATCCAATAGTTACACTGATTCTGACTACAAGTGGTACAAACTAAAATAAAAAGTGGTCCGTGATGACAATACCAATTACACGATTTAAAAAATAAAAACATCGAATTTGAAAAGTTAAAAAATTTCATGAACATTTTCTGGAAATCGACTTTTTAGTTGTTTTTAGACTTAAAGTAGAGGAGTTATCAGCTGCTTTTAGTTTTCATCGACAATATTGTTCGTAACCACAGTTATTGACATAATGGTCAAAGGTTAACTTATGAAATATGAATAACTGTATTTCGTGAGTGATTTTCAATCACACATACTAGAGAGTGGAGATAGAGTCTAAAAATCTATCTTCTCCAACAGTTTTCGAGCCCTGAAACCTTCATGATATGTTCTAGGGATCATTTAGAAGAGATTGCTCAACCAGAATTTTGAGATAGGCCTTTAAACATTTTTTATTCGATTTTGAAATGTACAGCAGATGTGCAGATTTGCTGCTTGGAGGGCATGTCTATGAAGCTGATACTGAGTCTGGAACTAAGTCAGAAACTGGTCGGTACGCTAACTGCTAACAACTAATTACAACACTACAAATCTATTACATTTATTGAGAATTATGTAATGTAACGTGATGGGAATATTGTAAACGGGTCATATCCAGTCCAAACCCAGGATGCATAACATGAAGAATTCGTTGTAACTTTGCATGAAAAGCATTAATATACTCATTGTGTGGTGGTTAACCCACACCTTGCTTTCATTCTGATTTTATTTGGTACTCGGTATCCAAGTCCTCTACGTGTTCTTTGTTACAAGTATTAGTACAAGTAAGTGACTGTGTGAGAGTAATCTCTAGATCTCCAATATTAAAGCAACAAGAATAAAGTTAAAATATGATTTACAAGGTAGTTTATACACCCCTCCCCCCAGGATAATCTTCCTGGCGAGGGTGCCCTCTGTTCATGGCACAGTGCACGGTCAATGTTAACCGTCCTGAAACAATAGCTAAGGATGTCGAGGCGCCGGGGAATGGGCCCTGGGGACTTGGGAGCGATTATCTGATTATCTCCGCAGCTTCTAAACTCTACAATCTTTACTGCACAACAATTCATATTATTGTAAGTAAGATTTAAAGAGGGTTTTAAACCAGGCAGCCGGGCAGGTCTCTTTATTTGAAGAGTTAGTCCCTTTTGTAAAGATCAGCTTAGGGAGGCACATTAACTGGACTAAACATGAATTAATGAATGAGTACTTACTTTGGTTACTTTGGTTACTTTGGTTGTGTTTATCCTCGTAGCAGGAAGGGTCATCAGATTTCTGACCACCTCGATGGCGAGTAGTCTACCAGGGAATTAGACCAGCTGCAGCTATAACCGGAAGTCGGAGGGTTGTCCGGTATCAAAGCAATAAACTTGGACAAACTAACTTTAAACGACTCAAACGTAGCTTCAGCTTTAATATTATCAGGCACTTTGTTCCACAGTTTTGGTCCTCTTACAGCAAATGAGCTGTCATAGAGTGTCTGGTTGCTCGAGGAACTTAACCTAGACAGGGAAGGGATGATTGCTCGGGTACCATGTCTGGATGTTTTTGTGAACCTTATATTGCTGCAATTGGGGACAACATTGTGAAGGATCTTCCACATCATCAGAATAGTGTACCGTTCCCTTCTGCGCTGCAGTGACATTAGCTTTAGATGTGAAAGCCTCTCCCAGTAGTTCATATTTTCCAGACCGCATATACGATCGGTGAATGTTCGCTGGACCCCCTCCAAAAGCTGGATCTCAGTCACCTTAACAGGGTCCCACAGCGGACAACAGTACTCTAGTAGGCTTCTGACCAAAGACTTATATAGGGTAGTCATTACGGTCCTATCACGAGTTTTGAAGACACTAAACACCCATGACAGTGTGCTTCTAGCTTTCTTGACCATATTACCGATCTGTTTGGACCAGTTCAGATCGCTTGATACCATAACTCCGAGGTCTCTAACGTTCTCAACGTTAGAGCCGATTTTGTGAATTTTCCTTTAACAGTGGAATATCTGTCCTAATTTGCCACTGGACTAAACATGAATAAATTAATGAGGAGAGCCGATTTTGTGAATTTCCCTTTAACAGTAGAATATCTGTCCTGATTTGCCACTGCACTGGACTAAACATGAATAAATGAATGAGGAGAGCCGATTTTGTGAATTTCCTTTTAACAGTAGAATATCTGCCATGATTTGCCACTTATTGCCTTACTTAACGACAAGGAAATTTCCCTCCGAAATTGTAGTTATCCTGTACTTTAAAATCTCATTTTTCAAAAGATCAATTTAGTTCACTGTTCTTTGCCGAGTTTTAATTATTGTTCCAAGATATAGTAATGAAAAAGACACTCCTGTTCTTGATGCAGCTCGCCCATGTGGCAGGATTTGATTTTGGAAATTCAAGTGTTGAAGACGTGTCTGACAGTAAGTCAATAAATAAGGTCCCGCAAAAACATTGTTTTTAAAGAGTTTTCAAAGGGAAATTAATCGTATGATTGGTTGTTCACGTGATTGATCACAATTTTAAATAAAGAAATGAGTTATAAGCGATCAATTTCACGGCACACATTAATATTAAATCGCGAAGTTTGGTGTCCTGAAATAATTGCGAAAATAAATTCATCACATTAAACTGAATAGTTTTACAGTATTGTTTTTACAGCGCCCTGCTCGGCTGGAAGCTTCATGACGGAAAGTGAATGTCAGCAATGTGGAGAGAACACTTTCAGTGCTGCTGGAGCTTCTTCTTGTACGAGTTGTCCTGAGGACATGATCTCAGCTGCCGGTTCTACATCAGAGGAGGATTGTGGTAAGAATGTGGCAAGATTTTTAGCAGGTTAAAGCAGTGATGGACCATTACCAAAGCTATTTTTAGCAGCTTTGTGCAGCATGGTCAATAATGATTTTATCATATTTATCAGTCAAATTATTGCAAAATACAGGATATGCCCTTATTTCAATAACTTATGATTTACTGTCAATAAAAAAACGCTTACCTTGATGACGTCATCATCACCACAAATCATTTTTTCATATTATTTAAACTACAATCTGAACGATTATCTTCAAGACCTGTTGCCTACAACCTGACTATAATCGACTGGCAAAGCGTCTATCTCTGAATATATTTGTACATATATCACGACAATCTGATGTAAAACAGGGGTTCCAAAAAACCCATTTCCCAGTACAACCGAAACTTGAAATTTAGTTGCTATATATTATCTAGCACTCTAACAGTCTCTATTACAGAGTCTAGACAAAGACTACCAGGTGAGATAGTGCCGGTTGGGGCTGAACAATCTGAGGCAGCGTTCAGTGCTTCGAAGACAATTGATCTCGATTTCAAAACAAGAGCAACAATACATCGTTCTGACGGTCAATTATGGTTGAAGATTTCCCTAGGAAAGGTACACTGCGTAGAAAAGGTTGTGTTGTACCCCCAGGATATGACTACCCACACATGGACCTGCTCAAGAACTGGCTGTGTAGATTGCGACGGTGACCAATGTTGGATACTTTCCGTGGAAGTCAGTTCTCAGGAAACAACTCTAAACCTGCCCCCTTTCCCTGACTGCATGTATGGAGACAGCGTCCAACTACGAGAAAATTACCCTTTTTTTAATGAATTTATGGTGAAGGAAATTGCTATAATCGAGAAACATGGTGAGATATTTTGTATATAATACCGACACACGGAAAATTACAATTTAACATGTTTTCCACGATCATTTTAAACATTATTATTAAAGTGGTATATACTCTGAATGAATCAAATATTTTATTCAATCATTATAGACTTCCACGCTGATCCGTTAATTTTAATAATTCAGATCTATGTCCTGCCTCCCATCCCTATGCATACACAGACGGAAAGTACTGTTGTCAGTCGGGAAAGGAGAAGGTAGACCGGGAAGGCTTGCCGGAAGAATGTGACGGCAGTGCGCTTCGAAGGCAGAGCCGTTGCTGTGAAAAAGATAGATACACAAGGTGCCCCACTCTCACTGGGTATTGTGATTCTTTGCCAGGTTAGCTCTCTCTAATTGCTTTAATTTTTGATAATCTTCCCACTAAGATACGCAACTCAACCCTTAAAACCATTTATATGAATGGGGTATAGGTTAAAATATGGTAGTTGGAACCGTAAATATTTCCAAAGTTTTTCAAATAATTTATAACATTTTCACAGATTGGAGAGGAGATGGGAAGTGTGGACCTGCTGCCTTGCTGGCGAATGGGGCTCCAAGCGAGTGTAATCCAGATGATCCAGATGGTAAAGTGTGCTGCTCACGCGACGGACTGTGTGGAAGCAGTCATGACCACTGTGCTTGCGAGGGATGTGTTGACTACTCAAGTGAGTTAGGTTTATTGTGGAGGATTATTAAACTGGGTGCAACCATCAGGGGGGGGGGGGGCGTTTGTGTCACTGTAACACTGGTTAATTAAGTGGCCTGAGTGCAAAAGTTAGATATCATTGGAATTGAATCTGTTCATAATTTAAGAATTTACGCTATGTAAGACGTTTATTTAATACATTTTAATGTACTTTTATATTACAGGGTGTATGCATGATGATATGGATCCAACAACCTACAGAGGAAAGGTAGCTCAACTGAATACAGGAGAAGTCTGCCAAAGATGGGACTCTGCGGAGCTTAAGATGTAAGAAAAGGCTTAGCTTTCAAAACATTTGGTGATCACATTTCGATTACTGACTAATTGCACTTAATATAATTAAAAACTTTCAAATGTTGGCTAACCATTAATCATCGATAATTTTAAATGTAAAATGAAGTGATTTATTGTCAATGGTTATTTCAGCGAAATGAGCTCTGAATTAGAAGAAAACTACTGTCGGGATCCAAACAAGTATGTGATATGTATACATTTAGTCCATATAAACATGTTTCAGAAAAATAAAAACCGGAAAACGGAGAGAATTTTTGTGCATTAAATGTTTTATAACCTAATATAACCGTATTATAATTGTTATGCAGAGGCACATATTAGGTGCGGTAAAAAAATCGAAATTATGCGGTACCGCACCCGACTATAAAGGTAAAATGTGCGGTGATTTTTTCGTAATTTGTGCGGGAATTGTGCGGTTTTCTTTTGCATTTTCTCAAGGACTTTGGAAATTCTAAACGTATAACCGCCGCTCTTATCAAAAATAGGTCTGTTTATGTGTTACTGAGGGTGTAGTTCTTTACTAAGACCATGATTGAACCTTTATTGAGATTCAGTTATCTGAGAACAGTGACTTGATCTGGTAGAGATCAGGAGACAGTTATTTGAAGACGCCTCTTGATAGAGTCGATCAGATCCCATGCGTGATCGCAAATATGTGACACGCTTGTTGGCATTGATCGTCAGTACTTGTGAACCATTTGATCCAAGATCCATTAAGCCCACTATAAAGCCAACGCTACCTACTCTATTATCACCAGAGGCAGAAGTTACGAATGATAACTGATACACTATAATCGAAGTACGGTAACGACGAGGGTTCCATAACGGCCTGGGTCACGGTCCCGAAAGGGCCTGGGTCACGGTCCCGAAAGGGCCTGGGTAACGGTCCCGAAAGGGCCTGGGTCACGGTCCCGAAAGGGCCTCGGTCACGTGGCCTAAGCATGAGTTCCAAAAGGGCCTGGGTCATGGTCCCGAAAAGGCCTGGGTCAGGGTCCCGAAAGGGCCTGGGTAACGGTACCGAAAGGGCCTGGGTCACGGTCCCGAAAGGGCCTCGGTCACGTGGCCTAAGCATGAGTTCCAAAAGGGCCTGGGTCATGGTCCCGAAAGGGCCTGGGTCAGGGTCCCGAAAGGGCCTGAGTCAGGGTCCCGAAAGGGCCTCGGTCAGGGTCCCGAAAGGGCCTGAGTCACGTGGTAACTGGGTCACGTGGCCTAGGTATGAGTTCCAAAACGGCCTGGGTCACGGTCCCGAAAGGGCCTGGGTCAGGGTCCCGAAAGGGCCTGGGTCAGGGTCCCGAAAGGGCCTGAGTCACGGTCCTATAAAAGGGCCCGACATTTAACATATTTTGGTTTTTACACTCGAAAATCTTAACGCAAAAATTTCAAAATTATGCGAAATTACGCGGAAAATGCTAGATTATGCGGAAATATGCAGATGATTACAAAATGTGCGAAAATGTGCGGAAAACAATAAATTATGCGGAAGTGTGCGGGAAACGTTAAATTGTGCGATCCCGCACCCATCGCACCTAATATGTGCCCATGTTGTTATGATACGAAATTAATTAATGGTACTAAGATACTTAATTGGCATACTAATTGAGTGGTGTGTCTCATCTAGCAAAAATATTTTATCTTCAGTCAAAAAGGCCGGCCTGGGTGCTACAATAGTGAGAAAATATGGGACTTTTGCGATATTCCGATCTGTACAAGATGTAAGTACAATAAAAAAGGAAGAGAAATCCTCACCATATTATTAAAGTCACAATGTCAAATATATTTTGTGCTGTTAACAGACTGTTTGTCACGCTATTAAAATACGACAGCAAATATTGAGAAAATTTCATGCAATCGGACATAAGACTGTATTTAAACGAAGATGAAACTGAAGAGAATGCGACGTTACCTCAATAAATTTTTGTTTTAAAATATCTTGCAACACTATAAATAAATGACCATGATTTCAGGGTGCATTGCTTTTCCTGCAAAGTTGGACTTGAATCGAGTCACCCCCGTTAACGACCTTGATCCGGAAAAGGATCCTATGATAACTGGACAGATTGTTCAATTTAAATGTACCAGGCAGTGGAACATGATGATCGGAGATAAGGAACTGACGTGCAAACACCTCTCAATATTCCATCCTATTGATCCACCAAAATGTATATCAGGTAAAATTTGTAACTCTTTTAAAATTAACCGTTTTACTTTCCTCACTAAACCCTTACAAATATATTATACAAGTCCCACGTTAAAATTACAACATTGTCAATTTGAACCCAACACGGACCCTACCCAACTCCTCCCCCATTCCTGCCCTGCCCTCCTAGTCAGGATTTCCCAGCACTGCAGCAACACATTTTAACTTAGATATCAACAAGATTTTTTGAATTGCATAAATAAATGAAATGGAACTTTGTTGACATACTTTAAATTTTTTATTCAAGTTATGATGTTATTAGGATACAAGCAAATACGATCAAATAACATCTTTTCACGGACAACTTTATAAAACCAATGATATTTACAATTTTTATAGATTTATAAAGCTTTCCCCAGGCTTAATTTATTATTTCTGTAAATCATGAAAAAAGTATCATATCAACTATGAGGTACAAAATGTGATCAAACTATCAAAAACCGTGCATTCCACAAATTATAATGTACCATTATCCGCTGTCACCAACAGTCCCAACCTTTATTCAATGACAGGATCTAGGATAACAGTATTTATTATAAAAACCATTAAAGTGGTATTGTTTTTCTGTGATAATCAAACCCTGCATAAAATCCTGATAATTATGGTGTAGGTGGAACATACTGCTTGCCCACGAAGAAGTCAGAGCCTCGCCGACACGTGGTAACAATCCATTTGTGTTCATCCACATCTGCGTTTCTTATGAATTTTTTTTCTGAGTAGCTGTACACTATCCGTTTGTCAGGGTTATACACACCATCGCCACAATCGTACCAACTGACAATAAATAATTGTGTAGATACTGATTAAAAATAACCATGGGGACCTTACTAGATCAGGGTTAATACCGAAAAGGAAGTAGATTAAAACATAACAATCCACTCTGTTTTAAATTTAATATGAATAAATAATATCAATCTATGGCTAATCCGGATTCAATATTCAACGGCAAACGTTCACAACCATAACCATAATATAAAAGGCCAGAGGGGGGAAGGGAGGGGGTTATAGGTACTGTGGATTGGGATAATGTGAACCTTTTTATACCATATTTTTTTCTGCGATTTTGTTACTGCAACCGGCAGGATATTTTCCTACTTGTTTGTCTACAGCAGCACTGTCACAAATTTGAAAATCTAAAAATGTATGATACCCCAGCCCCTCTGGCCTTATTGCTGTGAATAATATAGTAAAATTACCCTTTTGGAATTGGTGGAGCTGGCTCTATGTCGACCTTTTGAGAACGTCCAGCAGGTTTAAGTCCTTTTAGAGTCTCTCTGTAAAATCTTCTGTCATAACCGTCACAATAGTTCCAATCAGCCTCACTAAACTCCAGACCATCTAAAAATAGGTTATAAATTATGTCACATCACATGATAACAGTCTCTCCTTTGCACATTGCAAAAGCTAGTAAAAGTCAATAGTTGCAGCAGACATTAAATTTCATACATTTTTCTTACATTATCTCTCTTTAATAAGTTACAACGTAACATGCTGCCTCTTAAAATAACCTTTGAATTTGTATTTTCCTCCAGATTCGGTGTCTTCCTGCGGAATCCCATTTTTCCAAACAGCAGAGAACGTAGAACCTGTATTTAATTGTGTTAGTTGAAAACAAAATATCAGTGTTCAAATAATCACACTTAATCTGCTCTGAAAAATGTTAGCTGCTTCATAACTCATAAGTTGTTACCATTTTTGAAATGAAGGGTTCCTTTTCCCTCAAATGTTCCATCTTTGAAGGACCCTATGTACTTTGTACCAGAGGGGAAAGCATATTCTCCTTCTCCTTCCATTTTGTCATTTTTCATATCCCCTTTATAGGAGGACCCCGTATAATCCATCCTGCATAAATATTGGATAGTTATATCTCAAACTAACACTGTATACATATAGAAAAAGAGTATTAAGGAACATAATGTGCTGTGTACCTCATATTCATTAATGTGAACTTCACGTTCATGAACGTGTTTTATCAATTACAAGTGTCTTCAATTATTCGATTTTGTTAGTTTGGAGGAGCATCACGTCTCTCGACAGTCAAAGTACAAATACGAAATGAAACTATCACATTTGCCTAGTTTCATTTCATATTTGTACTTTGACTGTCGAGAGCCGTGATGCTCGGACTCCAAACTAACAAAATCGGGCACTATCCGTCGCGGAGTCGAGTCCGCGGCGGAGCCGCCGGACTTCGAGCGGACTCCGAGCGGACTCCGGCGGAGCCGCCGGACTCCGAGCGGACTCCGGCGGTGCTCCGCCAAAATGTATTTACAGTGGACTCGAGTACATTTTGGCGGACTCCGAGCGGAGCCGAGCAGACTCCGAGCGGACTTTAAAGTCCGCCGCGGACTCCGAGCGGCTCCGCGGCGGCTCGGCGGAGTGTCCGCCGCGGACTAAGCCACTAGGCGGACTCCGGTCCGCCGCGGACTCCGGCGGAGTGCTTGGCGGACTCCGCCGGACCTCTCCGCCAGACTTGAATCCGGCGGAGTCCGGCGGAGCTTGGCGGAGTCCGCCAGCTCGGCGGACTCCGCTCGGAGTCCGCCGGACTCCAACAGAGTCCACTGACTTCCGACCTCCGTCTTCCGACCCTCGGCTAAATTTGTCACGTGACATACAACATAGCATTTTGCAATATTGTGGTCAGATGAAAAGGTCGCTAGTGATAAACCTTAACCATTACCCTCACAATGTCAATAGTGTACAACTCTAGTCCTAACTTTGACCCTATAATGTATAAACGTTGACCCTAACCCTCCACCAAACCGTCCGCAGCGAAATATCAATGTCATTGACTGGTCACGTGACCAAAACAATTTTTGTCATATTATCTCATATGGGGAAGCGTTTTTAGCAAGCAAAAATACGTCGACCATCACAGGACGACGCCAGCCAGCACTCTCTACGCTCTTCGAGCTCCGATCGTCCTGTGACGAAGTAAGGACGAAGCCTGAGTTCCTCAGGTAACATCGACCACCGATTGAAAATTCAAAGATTTTTTGACATAAAGGTCAAATGTAAAACTAAAATCTTGATGCTGATTGATTGACGACGTCAATTTTTGAGCACAGCGCGAGCGCATGCGGAAAAGGACCGCGTAGCTAGTCAAGATGTTGATAAATAGTTGGCTTGTGGCGCGATGTGTTGCTCTAACTATAGCCCTCTCGCTTGCAGTAGCGCGCGACCGCCGGAAATGACTTGTGGAACAAGCGTGCCCGCAGCGGCGCGAAAGCACCTGGTTAGCTAAATGAACGCGATGTGCCTTGCATTGTAGGATGAAATCCTACTAGCTGACGCCACTCGCAGCTGTGATGTTCGCTATACGTCAGCGATCGAAATTTATACGCGTATCACCCGTTAAGATGTGCCACCCGACGCGCCACGCAATTTTTCTCGTTGCTCGTCGCACGTCGACGCCCTCATTAAATTTTTGGAGAAAATCGCTCGCCAAAATTTGTTGGACCAGGACGATGTCCTAGCCTGGCAGCTCATTGCGCGGTGCGTCGCAACGAGCTTCGTTGACGTGCGACGAGCAACGAAAAAAATTGTGTGGCGCGTCGAGTGGCACATCTTAACGGGGGATACGCGTACAAATTTCGATCGCTGACGTACAGCGAGCAGCACAGCTGCGAATGGCGTCAGCTAGTATGATTTCATCCTACAAGGCACATCGCGTTTACCTAGCTAACCAGGTCATTTCCGCCTCCGGCGGTCGCGCGCTACTGCAAGCGAGAGGGCTATAGTTAGAGCAACACATCGCGCCACAAGCCAAATATTTATCAACATCTTGACTAGCTACGCGGTCCTTTTCTGCAATATGCGCTCGCGCTGTGCTCAAAAATTGACGTCGTCAATCAATCAACATCAAGATTTTAGTTTTACATTTGACCTTTATGTCAAAAAATCTTTGAATTTTCAATCGGTGGTCGATGTTACCTGAGGAACTCAGGCTTCGTCCTTACTTCGTCACAGGACGATCGGAGCTCGAAGAGCGTAGAGAGTGCTGGCTGGCGTCGTCCTGTGATGGTCGACGTATTTTTGCTTGCTAAAAACGCTTCCCCATATGAGATAATATGACAAAAATTGTTTTGGTCACGTGACCAGTCAATGACATTGATATTTCGCTGCGGACGGTTTGGTGGAGGGTTAGGGTCAACGTTTATACATTATAGGGTCAAAGTTAGGACTAGAGTTGTACACTATTGACATTGTGAGGGTAATGGTTAAGGTTTATCACTAGCGACCTTTTCATCTGACCACAATATTGCAAAATGCTATGTTGTATGTCACGTGACAAATTTAGCCGAGGGTTGGAAGACGGAGGTCGGAAGTCAGTGGACTCTGTTGGAGTCCGGCGGACTCCGAGCGGAGTCCGCCGAGCTGGCGGACTCCGCCAAGCTCCGCCGGACTCCGCCGGATTCAAGTCTGGCGGAGAGGTCCGGCGGAGTCCGCCGAGCACTCCGCCGGAGTCCGCGGCGGACCGGAGTCCGCCTAGTGGCTTAGTCCGCGGCGGACACTCCGCCGAGCCGCCGCGGAGCCGCTCGGAGTCCGCGGCGGACTTTAAAGTCCGCTCGGAGTCCGCTCGGCTCCGCTCGGAGTCCGCCAAAATGTACTCGAGTCCACTGTAAATACATTTTGGCGGAGCACCGCCGGAGTCCGCTCGGAGTCCGGCGGCTCCGCCGGAGTCCGCTCGGAGTCCGCCCGGAGTCCGGCGGCTCTGCCGCGGACTCGACTCCGCGACGGATAGTGCCCAAAATCGTTTCTAACTCACGCTCGGCCTTATGCAAGATCTGTTCAATTATTCTACCAGAAAATTATTCCTTGTGCAGTTGGCTTAAAACATTATCAGGAGTCCATCTGCATCACAATCAAAGTTATGCAATTTTACCAGTGTCCAAACAAGTTTCTGTGACCTTCATTACTTGTTGTTGTGATTGTAAGTAACATTGAAGGTCAAGTGTACACTTTGACTTTCGATTGTCATAGCGGCATGGTAATAACTAGCAAGAACCCGTGTAACCCTAAAATGGTGTCAAGAATCAAGAGACTAAAATAATTATTACCTATTTTATTCGTGTTTTTGACACCACTTGGAGTACCAAATTTTGGGCTCTAAAACTCCTATTTCTTGGCCAATTTTTTATTTTTTCATGCTGATTTGGAGGCATTAGAGCATTTGTCCCAGTCAAAAAAGTTAAAATTGATGCCGTGGTTTCAGTAAAATGGCACGAATAAATATATATCGTCTTGCTTTGTATATAGTAAGATGGTCTGATGAGCCATGGTTTGGTGACACAGGGGACCTAAAGTGCAAAGAAACTGCTGCTAACTGCTGCTAACTGCTCCTAACTGCTGCTAACTGCTGCTAACTGCTGCTGTCACGCGCGCCGTGACAGCAGCAGTTCTGTGATGAGCGAAGGCTTCCCTTTAGTTTTTACATCTTGTTCAAACTAGGATTTAAACTCGCTATCTCAAATTTGGGCTAGTAGACAGGAAAAAGTATATAAGAAAATGAATTAATCAAGTTAGTCACTAAAATTAAATAAGTCGACCAATGAACAAAGTAAAATTTTTATTAGTATGCTGTATTATATCTACAAATTACTTAGTCTAGTAGTTGACATACGTTGCATGCCACTTTTCGCGCGCGAAGCGGATACGTAACATGTATCAATTTAGTATAGTAGTACACTTACGTACGCTGTGTCTAAGTTTATACGATACACAATATGCATGAATAATGGGGTGCGCGATAAAAATAAACTTGCTCGGATTTGATCAAAATTTGTATAATATTGTTTTTTAGAGACTATAAGAATTGTCACAGTACCAAATTTGTTATACCTTTTTGGAATGATCAGTGAGTTTCGCCTAGGTGCCATATTTGATGGTGCGCGGCTTTTGGAGCAAAAGTAAGTGTTAAAGTTGCGTAATTTGACGAAATTCGTTGATTTTTGTCGTATTGTATATTATTTTGTCATATCTTCGGTTCCTGAACATATAATAACATGCAGAATCATGCTGAAAATTTGTCAGAACCTTCCAATCATACTTAACTACCGAACCTAAATTAGTTGGGAGAGATTGGCCTTGATTAAGAGGTCTAAAAATGACAAAATAGGTATAAATTTGTTAATAAATTTTTGATTGTTTCCGAAATAATGTGCTGGCCGAAATGCAAGCTAAAAACCATTCAATGGTCAGCGCGCGCGTCTTACACAGGAGGACTATACTGCTGCTATGGGCGCGCGCGCGACAGTGCAGTGCATCAGCAGTGAGCAGCAGATTGCTTGTAGTGCGATGCGTTACTGTGCCGCGCCGCGCACTTAATGAGGCTTTTCACAGCTTCTCGGCGAGATGCGCTACTGTGCCGCGCCGAGCTGAGATGAATTGACATCGTCAATTAAAAACTTACATGGCTCGCCAATCACTGTGCGCGGCGCTCTTTTCAAGCTTCCTGCATGAGCTGAACTGGAGCAAGCATGCATGGGCATGAATAAAGTAGTAAGCTACTAGGTTAATTGACGATGTCAATTCATTGCAGCTCGGCGAGGCCCAGTAGCGGATCTCGCCGTTGCGAGAAGCATAATTGAGTGCGCGGCACAGTAACGCATTGCGCTACAACAAGCTATATCAGGTAACAATAAATTTGCAACTTAACCATATATTATATTAGCGTGCGCCCGCACCATTTTTAAAAACAACAAACAAGTGTGAAGTGCATTCAGCATTGCAATTGAGCATTATGTAATGATCATGAGACATGATTATACGTAAACATAATGTCATGGGTAGGTAAACAAAAACACAATGCACTACCGTCTTATTTCTCCGCATGGAAATAAAATTAGCGTGATCAGTATTATAAATAGTTTTTGTCGATGTGTCTAAAAAGTAATTTTTAACGATTCGCAGCGTTGACGGATGTTACTCGTCTAAATTTCTTCGAAGTAGCGCGCGCCGCTTTCTTGTCGAAAGGCAAGTGCTACGAAGTAGCGCGCGCCGGGCCAGACCATTAACAATGGTCAATTCGCAGCGATGTTTAATTTTGGTTAACGGATGATACGGCAGATAAACAATTGAGCTATTCATGATTACAAACGTTATACACGCAGCACGACCGATCAAGGTCCACATCTAATCGCGTCTATATTAAGTTCAAAACACACGCACACGTACAATTATCAGCGCTCAGTGAGAAGGTTATAACATATAACAACTTTATTGCTAAACATAATTTCATGAGGGAAATGTGCCACATTTCTCATTTTCTTATTTCTTGTTATATCATTCCTACCTAGCTTTGTCCTTGTTAATTATCATTACAGTCTTGTTCTATACCGTGCCTCTTTATTATAATGGATACGTTGATATACTAATATTAATACTATTACTGGGCTTCTTCTTTTTCCCTAAATTGTTGATTAATAATTGGAACTCTCTTCCCCTGATGTTGAGATGTATCACTGATACCAACTCACAACTGTTTCAAGCGAATGTTAAAGAATCATTTATATAATCAGTTCTGATGTTTTTCTTTCCATTGTCTTCACTTTGCAAGACACATTGGCTTTTATTTTTTACCGCACTCCATTTTATGCCTTGATCTCTTACTTACTTGGATTTGATTCTTTCTTGATTGATTATGTCACTGTACTAACCTTTATTATACCTACATGTACTGTATGGTTTCTGCTTCTATTTAGTTTAGTGTCGTTTACAATAAAAGATGTTTTAATTTTGTCTTTGCCTTATGCTGAGTTATACTTTAGTTCACTTTTTACACTTTTGCTCACATCACTCACAGTCAGCCGCTCTGACATGGTTAACCACCTTCCTTGTGTTGTTGGTTAATCATATGAGCGGGATATAAATACCTCATTTCATTTCATTTCATTTCAATTAGTGTTTTTATATTTCGCGAAAGTATTGCAATGATATGGAATTTTTCAGTGCAGTACTTACATCGTATTTGGTGGTGAATGCATGTGATGTGAGTACATATCCATATGCAATGTCGAGCTGTATTCCGTCGCTATATATATTATATAATGAAACAATATTATGCATATATAGTGCATATTATACAGGGTGAGTTGAAAATAATGTTTGGATTTTAAATAAATGTGATAAATATTTTTATGGAGGAGCAAATTTTGAAAAATGAGTTGCTATCAATTCATTGCTACACGTTGTATACCTCTCGTGCGCGATCAAAAGGGGTTGCAGCGTGTGTCAATCAATTCATAACGTGATGTATTATGTATATTTTGAAAACAAAATTTCCAATAAAGAAATTCCTAAACGTTTTGAATTTCATTCTGAATTCTCATTTGATCCTAACTCATAATTTTGTTGATCTATATGGCAACATTCCAAAAAGTTTGAAAATCTTCGACCTGATTTTTTGACGAATTTTAGAAGGCTGTAAATTTTAAAATCGAACTAAAACATACATTTTTAACGTTAAAAGGCCGGCCTATAGCAACATTTTGTTCCGGCGATCCCTTTTAAATGATCACTAGAATATTATTCTTAGAATAATAATATATCCTAAAAGTTCCAGGGTGATTGCTCAAAAACTGTAGGAGAAGATCTAGATAAATTTTGAAGTTCAATTTTCAGGGCTCGTAATTGAAAATCGCTCACACAATATAATTACTCATCAGCGCTGACCTTTGACCGGCGATACCTTCGGCTAGGAACATTATTCTTCCAAGGGATTGAAAGCAACTAATAGATATCACTTCCTTTTATCAGATACAACTAAAAAGTCGATTTCGAGAAAATTTCAATGAAGATCCCAAATCCCGATGAAGACCTCCAATTACCGGATAAGGTGCTTTCTAATAAGAGACGCTGGATTGAATAAATTATTATTAAGTATTTTTACTGTATTATTCTAATTTTCGTATATTTTATGACCTAAATATGCAAAAATGGAGTGATTTTTTATTTTATCTCAGAAATTAGAGCCATTTAAAATCCAAACATTATTTTCAACTCATCCTGTATTATATTACACACGGTCCCGGATATATGGGACATATTACTGACACTACGAGACGCTTAATATGACAGGTTATTCGAGAAGCTTCAGTTATTATTACTAGGAATAAGTTTACCAGGTTTTTTTCGATACCCAATACCCAATACCGTGCAGCCCGGTATCAGGTACATAATAAAGAGGTTAGACTGTATTACATTGCTTTCAAAACTACAGTATTGATTAGTTTAGTCTCAAATTTGAATGTCGTATAAGTTGTATGAATAGTTTTTGAAATTGTTTTTAGCGTCAGTTTGTTATTCGTGATTATTAAAGTTAGTTGTTACTTGAGAAACTTTAGTACACATTTGGATTCATTTCAACTTCCAGATTATTCACTGTAATAATATTATAGTATTAGTAACAGTTGGGCTGATTCCCTTGTTCAACTGGTTTATTTAATAAACTAAGATGAATCAATTAGTTTATTTAATAAACTAAGATAAACAAGTATGTTTATCATGTGTTACAATTAAATCCGATTAATGGACTGCTAAATATTCGTCACTAATGTTTGCTTAAACAAATGTGTTCCAGAATAGGAAAGGTCGACATCGGAGTCATTTATTTAATTCATGTTAGTTTTTCACCTCTATTCTGGAAATTTAAACTTAAGAACTTTTCATAAATTAAAGATTGTTCCATGTAAGGAACAAAGAAACCGCGAGTGCCGAGTACATGCGATTAGTCAGGTGAATTATTGATTTAAAATGCGGCATTTATTTCAATCATATTGTGCTCCCTTACTCTTAGTCAGAACAGAGTAAATTTATTGATATATCAACTCGTCTATTTTGAAATATGTTTAATTGTGGTAAAACATTTTTACAGAGTCAGTGACAATTCCAAGAAATTTGGATTATATTGAACTTCTTACGACTTTTAATATAAAGGGAAACGGATCATTCCTCGAAATTTCTCATATTTGTCCAGTTAATTGAATAAGCCTTTGTTTTGATAGTTCAGCTGCTAATACGTGGCTCGGTGTAACTGTGTTGTAGAATGTAGAACTATTTGTCGGGCTCATCACTTCTTAAGTCGTGGTTACTGTTTGCTGGTTTGCATCATTCAATAGGCTTTAGAGATAAAATGGTCTACCTCGTACAGTTGCTTTTGGTACGTTTTGTATCCAAAAAAATTATATACACATTGCATGAACACATTTTACTAAATATTTGGAAATTATCAACAGTGTCACGAATATTGTAACGAAATATACGTATCTTGATTCTTGATGGATTGTGAATAACCGAAACTGTTTGCAGGTCAAAATGGAAAGTTACGAAGTGGCCATCATTGGAGGAGGAATATCAGGACTATACTGTGCAAAGAAGTTGAAAGATAACGGAATTGAAGGCATCGTAATAATTGAGAAGTTAGACAGATGGGGAGGTAGATTGAACACGGACATGATCGAGATAGACGGAAGAATGATTAAAGATGAAAAAGGTGCAATGCGCTTCACATACAAGGATCCTGACGGCGAACAGACGTCCAACATGCCCCTTCTATCAAGACTCATCAAAGATATGGAGATGGAATCTGAAATGGAACCGTTTTATATGGAACCACAACCCGCTGAAGATAGCTTAATGACAGAGGTGTTGAATTACAATTCGAATTATTTCGGGAGTCGACACTTTACAAGTCGGTATGCAGAGAAAAACCCTAAGATATGGAAAGAATTGTACAATTTGGAGGACGACGAGATCAAATCTCCTGATCAAGTTATCGTTGACGTTTATCAAAAACTACTGGATCATAACGCAGACAAAGTGAAAAGATACTTTGATTCTCTAGGACAAGGAGATAAAGCACAGATTATACTGAAGCAAGAAGATGTCCAGCTTCTTCAACAGTATCAAGAAGCCAATTATTGGGCTTTCTTCCGGAACGAATTCGAATGGCCAAAGGGGGTGCAAAAAAACAAGCTACGAGACTTCAATCTATTTAGTCTCCTTAAGGCCATGGAATATTCTAAAGATTGTTGCCAGATGATGGAAAAGACTCTCTTTGACGGTAAAGACTCTGTTTCGCAAGGGAATGCAGCTGTTTTGCTGCAGTTTTACATCGCTTCGGATTTGCTTCACGATAATTTGTATCATTTCAGAAATGGTTGGTCCTCTCTTGTGAAAACGATCAAAAGTTACCTGGATGAAGGAACTGGAAATATCGAACTTCTGAAGAACTGCGAAGTTGGTGGAATTCAAGATGTGGAATACGGTTTCACTCTTGAATTATTTTCCGGCGAAAGGAAAATAAAAGCAAAGCATGTCGTCATGGCCATCCCTCCTGACGCAGTTAAAGCCTTGATGACACGCTATAAAAGCGATACAAGTCTTCTCGAAACATACAATTCAGTGATAAGTCTTTGTAACTCCGTTGTTGGTGTTGACAGTGTGAAGGTCATCCTTTATTTCGAGTGCGACTGGTGGAACACATATGAGGACATAGTCTTGTTTGGAGCCAGTTCCACTGATCTTCCCTGTGGCTGCGTTTACCCATATTACGGACGATGTCGCAATAATTGCCAAAGTTGCGACAACTGCAAAGATGGACTCGGTAAATCAGCCCTTACTATATACTGCGGCTCAAACAGAGCAGATTTTTGGACGAGTTGTCAACGGCTGGGTCAGAGCTTTGAGTCTCCTCTTCAGAAAGAGAATGCTAGCCTGATACCCTCTTCCGAACACTTAGTTGGGGAAGCTATGAAGCAATTGAAAAACATATTCAACGTCAAAGAGATTCCTTATCCGATCCTAACCAGTTACAGAAGTTGGAACAGCGAAGATAATCTTGGGTACGCTTACCACTATTGGCGCGTGGGGGTTGATGACCAAAACTTAAAATCCACTCAACCGGTTAAAGGTAAAAATCTATATTTATGTACAGAGGCATGGAGTGGCTACCAGGGATATGTTGAAGGATCTCTGATGTCTACTGAGAAAGTAGTCAACAGGATTATAAGTAACAAAAACAGTTCAAAATAAACATGAACAGTGTTTGTCTCAGACTTGTGGTTCGTATGAGCGTAAATAACATTTGGGACTATGTATGGTGAGACCTCATATTTTTATTTACTACTATCTTACTATGGGAACATGGGAAGTCTCACAAAACTGCATGGTTTTCGAAATTTTCCTTGACAATTTTGTCTTATAAAGATATAACTCTTTCCGATCCAGTTAACATCAACTAAAAACTACTCGCTTATTATTGCTTAACGTCTGGCCAGTGGGATCATGTAATCGCATTTATCCTACTACAGCCCTAAAATAATAAAAAAGTCTTGATCTTGATACTTTGATAAGCTATCGCTATTCGCTAAAGCGTGACACGTCATACTGTCATAGCTCTCGCAAAAAACGTACGAACCAATCTCGTACATGCCACGTGGTAGATGGAATGCGTATAAAAGAGGAAAATCAAACACCTTATTGCACATTTGCAGTTGAGTTTTCAATTAGTGGACGACCTGAAAGAAGAAGAGAATGAATCTTTCCGCAAAGTAAGTTTCATTATTATTACTATTAGGGTCAGGGCGACCATTTTATGAATCGTTGAATTAATTAAATCGTTAAATGCTTTCATTACAGGTAGAATTTTCATTTAACAATGATTTACTGCAATTTTAGACCATTTTTAAGCATTGGACTAAAACAAATGTTTGAGGTTGCTCATGGCTCATGGCTGACAGTAGTACAATACGCTTGCCTGAATGAACACGTTGGGGCCCACGTAGGTATGAACTATGATAAAATATAAACCTTTAATATAAAAGAAATATCAGTATATTCTTATATTAGCACTAATAAATTAAACAATATCCTGGACTCTGGAGCCCTCACCCCTCATACTCACTTGAAAACAAAAACAAATATTTCCCGATAGATGACATCCTGCTACGCAAAGCCGTGCAACCCAAAGCCGTGCAACCCAAAGCTATGCAACCCAAAGCTATGCAACCCAAAGCTGTGCCACCCAAAGCAGAAAGCTGTATAGTCCAAAGCTGTGCAACCCAAAGCTGTGCAGTACAAAGCTCCGAAGAAAGCTTTGTTTGAACCCTTCAAATCTGGAGAGGCAAGATTTTAGGAAGCCTTTAAATAAACATTTTTGAAGCAGAATATAAGAAAATAAGAAGTTCATAATCATTTAATAAGGACGGAACAGTTTTAGGAGCTGGTTTTATAGCTTGTTTTCTGGATACTTTTAAATACGATGAATTTATTGTCAGACGTTTCCCGATCCATCATCTCATCGATAATTTTAAGATACAATTAAATGTTTTTACTTGATTATGATTGATCAAAATAGTATGCAATTTATTGAACAAAATTATTTTTGCAGACCGTTGCTCTCTTAAAAATGATTATACACCATAATGTTTGATAACAGCGAGAACGATTCATTTAATTTTAATCACTTGCAAGCATTTTCACAAGCAGAATCCCGAAAAAACTGTGCCAGCAACTTGACAAAATTCCAAAATGTCCACAAATTTAATTTATTTCTCTTTAAGTAGATACTGAACATTAAAATAAATTATTAAATGTACCATCAAAATCATCCTCAGACCTCCAGAAATCAACCTTCATATCAAATTTAGAAATCAAGAAACTAGATTCACACTGTTCTCTACCGTCTTAATTCCCGGTATTGATCTCCTACGTTGTGATAAAAACCCGTAAGCTACACCACTATACTCGGGGTACATTCCTTCAAAGTTCTCGTGACAGCCATCATCAATCGTAGTGTATCTGCCAACTTTTGGCCTTCTTATTTTCATGAATCGATTAAAGTTGGTAATAATGATAGGAAAAGGCAGGGAAATAACAAGAATACCAGTCAAAGCACAGAGTGACCCCACCAGTTTCCCAAGTGGAGTTTTAGGAACATAATCCCCGTAACCCACAGTAGACATGGTGACAATACTCCACCAGAATCCCGCCACAACACTGTCAAACTTGTTGGGAGTGTCATTAGTGCACTGGTCACCACACCCGTGTTCGTCGCATACATCCGCACACCCCTCTGTGAAGAACATCAAGCTGCTGTAAAGTGCTACAAATGTTATCAGAGTCATGGTGAGGATGAGGAGCTCCCCCGCGCTTTGTTTAAGAGCGTATCCCAACGCAAACAGTCCTTGGAAGTAACGGGATATTTTGAAGATACGGACAATTCTGAGAGCTCTGAAGAGACGAAGAACCATGATGAAGGGCGGGTTGAGATGGTGAGCCATGAGTTCTAAGTAGAAAGGTATCACTGCCAGAAGGTCGAACCAGTTGAGGATGGACTTTACGAACAGAGATTTGTCAGGACAGGTTAGGATTCTCATAACAAAGTCCAGTGTGAACCAAACTATACTCACCCGCTCCACGGATAATATCACTATTTTAGCCACTGACACACTGCGGAAATGCCATTATTGTAATTCTTTAGTTTAATGACTATGAGTCATTATTTATTATTATATGGTTTCTCCTCGATTTGTCGAAATATTAAAAACTTAGGGAGTTGATTTTGAAAGAGTCTGAGAAGGTTGATACTTGATTTTAGAGCCAATATCAACAAACAAAACTACAAACTTACGTTAATGCGCCCCACAGTGGGTCATCAGGCGACTTGGCTTGTCTGATAGCGGGGAGAGACTCCAAGCACTGACAAATAACAGCCATGAAGATAACCACCTGGTCAAAGTAGCCCAGAGTGCGTGCAACAGGACCAGACTGAGGCTCGTCAAACAGCTGGAGGGAGATGGAAAGAATGTTAGGGTTAGATACGGGGAATGGGAGGTGGTGGAGAATGTGGATACTTGGTATGTGTAAGTTTTAAGTTTGTTGATATCAAACTCTGAATTTGTAAGGATCTGCTGAATAAAATAATCGTTTATCAGCCCATAAATACAGTTGATATTGCAAACCTGCCACAATTTCCTCTGAAGCGGATGCTTAAAATAATCTAAGTCTTCAGACGAAGGTTCGTCCTCGTTATGACCCACTAGCCTCTTTATCACATCAGCGTCTATCTTAAAGAACCTCAGTTCCTCAACAAACACATCCGGGTTAACTGTAGCGGGGAGGCAGATCAACCCCTCAGATTGGTAATAGTAGAGTATGGGTTCAAATGCTGATCTGTTTCTGTCGAAGAAGTATTCTTTTGTCTCCGGCATATAGAATTCTTCGATCTCTTCTGATCCTGGGAATTATAAGACATACGGGTAAAATCCGATCATTAGATCCAATGATATTGGATTGCACTGTTCTATCGGCGCCAATAGGTATGATGCCAAGGACTGCAGGTGATATCGGATTCACAGTATGGTGTCAATGGCGATAAATTATAGTTATCACTGGACTATTTAAAACCTACAATGCACCATGCAGATTACATTTATAATCATACCACGATTAATGGTTGAACTCACTTAAGCGTTAATAAATGTTTTCTTAACACAAAAAAGCTGAAAAGTACAAGTAAAAACCAAAAAAAAAGAAGTACAAGTAAAAACCAAAAAGACTGTAAAACAAATACCTAACAAAGTCTCCGGATATCTCTGTAGAGTGGACCTCTTTGTCTGAAATATCTGCCCACCCACATTAATCACAACAATGTCATGAACATTAGTTTTGGAACACTTGCAAACGTGTTCTTCAAAGCAGTTGTTCCTCCCGTTGAAACAGCCAGCACGATCCGAGGAGTTCATGTGCTCAGAAAGTTTTGGAACTAATGTCACTATCATCCGTCCATCTTCGTTTAACAAGGGTGAGCCATGTAGGTTACTAGCTATACCAGGTTCTAGCAAGTCATTGTCTACTGTGAAGGTATCTTTGTTAGAATGGTATTGAGCTTCTTACATGTCAGTAAAGGCCGGTATGAGCTAGACGATAAGAGCAGGGATTAAGGAACTGTATAATCATTATCATAATGCACACTCGTCTCGTTTTCACAATGGCAGAGATCACACATCGGAGATTCAATACAGGGAACACTCTGATTGCATGTAATGGCTCTGCTGCAGTTGTTACTGTCGACAAAGGGAGCACGGGAAATTGTTGCACCTGTTCACTATACATCCTTTCATCGATAAACTACATTGCACGTGCAGGCCATTACACTGATTTTAATTCTGTGAACTAATACTATAATTTACAGAAATAAAAATATAGCAGACACGTACTATACAAAAAGATTAAAAGCATAGAAGAAGGTGTTACATCATGGAACGACTAACGAGGTATTAAATTCAGGGCTATTTAACTTTACAACTTAATTAATTTAAAAGCAGGAAGATGACAGGAAATTGAGCTTACGATGGATTATAAATTTAGCTTAGAAACCACAACAAATACACCCATTTTGGTTTAATGAAGTCGGATTAATTTTGATCAATCGATTTAAACAGGATGATCACACGATGACAATTATTTCGGCAAATTTCGACGAGTATTCAAGGAAACAAGGTGCTAATTTTTAAATGATCGAATCAATTAAATTCCTTGATGGATACGTAGATATGCTTGGTGGAATAGTAAATAGACAATCACGCTTGTAAAGTTTGGAATAGGCTTATGACTATGCTTGAAGTTGTATGGGTAAAGGAGAGAGTTTAATCAAGCCCATACCTCCCAGGTATAGATGATCTTCTTCAGAGAAGAATATAAATTCCGTAAATATAAGATAGCAAAGATAAATATTAAATAATGTATTCACTATTCCTCGGTAAGAGATAAATAATTTATTCATCAAAAAATATCAAATAATCTATTCATCGATAAATGTTAAATAATATATTCGTCAAAAACAATCAAATAATGATAACGATAAATGATACCGATAAATGTTAAATAATGTATTCATTAAAAACAGCAGAGGATCGATTAAGTCAGCACGAACAAACACCTGTGACTATTAATGAAATATTAAACTAATACCCAATCAATCACTGCTTTCTAACAAGAATCAAACTGTTCGCTTATATATAGTGTATATTGTACACGAGATTATAACTGGAATCTAATTATCTAGTTAATAGGAATAGCGATTAGCAATTGTGTAACTAAATTAGATTCGATCTCTGGACATAAATATTTTGTATGAATTTGATAGCATAAGTTAAATATGATGCACCAGATTAATAAATAATTGAATTAATATATAATTCTACAATTGTAAGCTTGGGAAGACTTGATAGTCATGTGACGAGAATAGTACAATGATTAAAACTAATTCGCAATAAGTGGACTCTAGAGTTCCGGGAACTAGTTTCTGTTGCTGAGTAAAAGAACCTTTACCGTCCACAAAACCTTCTATATATAGACTAACAATATTATACTAACAATATTATATATAAACTAACAATATTATATAACTTGCATATTAATTGAGGCGTCGTCTGCTTACAGTGCTCAATCAGTAACCCGAGAGCGACATACAAATTGAAACGACGGGTTAGGTCAAACCCGTCGTTTTCGTGTAACTTGTATATTATACATTTTCAATAAAAGTCAAATGAAAAGCTGCACATACATGATTTCACTTTAATTTCCTACATAAAATAATCCGTCAACATATAGTTGAAAATAAACCGTTCTGGTGCATATTGCTGTAAAGCTGGTCCATGAAGAGTATTGATTAATTTCAAGTACAAATTAATGCAGCAAGCTAGTCTTATGGAAAACTAGAGGTTGCGAAGGTACAATATGATAAATCGTTAATCGTTATCAGCATCTAAGGAAGGAGATAAAGCTTGTAAAGCCAACTATGGTATCACGCATCATAACAGAGCAAGGTACCAAGCAAAATGAGGTCGATCGAGATAAAGGTCAACACAAAAGAATTTTATGAGAATATAGCTTTTTATCTTTACGATTCGGTAAAATAAATGCTATAAAAAACCAAAGCAATTGTAAAGAAAAGTAAATTCAATATTCGTATTATCCTACAAAATCAAGAAGTTTGATTTTTGATCGTACAATCATATCATTGTGTAACTTGTATATGTAACTTGTATATTATACATTTTCAATAAAAGTCAAATGAAAAGCTGCACATACATGATTTCACTTTAATTTCCTACATAAAATAATCCGTCAACATATAGTTGAAAATAAACCGTTCTGGTGCATATTGCTGTAAAGCTGGTCCATGAAGAGTATTGATTAATTTCAAGTACAAATTAATGCAGCAAGTTAGTCTTATGGAAAACTAGAGGTTGCGAAGGTACAATATGATAAATCGTTAATCGTTATCAGCATCAAAGGAAGGAGATAAAGCTTGTAAAGCCAACTATGGTATCACGCATCATAACAGAGCAAGGTACCAAGCAAAATGAGGTCGATCGAGATAAAGGTCAACACAAAAGAATTTTATGAGAATATAGCTTTTTATCTTTACGATTCGGTAAAATAAATGCTATAAAAAACCAAAGCAATTGTAAAGAAAAGTAAATTCAATATTCGTATTATCCTACAAAATCAAGAAGTTTGATTTTTGATCGTACAATCATATCACATTCACTGCAATTTTCGCACGGAAATGCATGAGGTTACTATCAGTGCATGGTAGATAGTTTCTCCTTAATTTCTACGGCCTCAATTACGTACTAACTTCATCAGTAGTTAAATCAAAGGTTTAAGCTTTATACTTTGCTTTAATATTATTTGCATTTGATTTTACTTGGAGAAAAGCCAGGTTCAACTTGGTTATAACTATAATAGATTCCTAGAAGCATCAAAGTTTGGTAACAGTAGTATTCTTATTGGCAACTTGAACTAAATAAACGGGACTTATAAATGCAAATCAAACAATTTACAAGCATGATTATGACCATTTTGTTATTATGAACAGTCAGGTAGTCTTGAGGTACAGTCTCATTGTAGCAATTTTTGAAAGCATATTCCCATGATCTTCGAGCACAGAAAGGTTCAACTAGAGACAAATTATAAGGTATTTCGTCTCATGTGTATAGAAATTTTGCTTAGACAAGCATATAACCGAGATTGGACATCGACGATTTTAAGATTGGACAAATTTACACAAATCGGAAACTGTATTACCAACTATATTACGAATTACCAACTATATTAGACTGACGACAGTAAAGATTTAGATAGCACACTGTGGAGATCGCTGTGCTGTTGAGATAGCGAAAAAACGCATGTTGTTTTTGTTTGAATATTTGAAGAATATTGACTCAATTTCGGTTTAATGTTGGTCACATCTAGAACCGACATAACAGTACTCTTAGTTGCAACGCGGTTTGATACTTGAGAAAGAGAAATTTAAACAGAAAGTTGAAACCGTCTTTTAAACTTTTAAAGCGGTGCACCTATTCACTGAATGTTTGACAGAGGGCATACATACTGATTTCTAAACCTTTCTACGGTCGAATAAAATTAGCTCGATGCCCTCTCAAATGTGTTTTATAAAGGGATTCTGTTTGATAAACTGATAAAAGAGTATCTGTTACAAACGGACCAGTTCTCTGAGATCAAAGCTTTGAGCCTTGGTCAACTCATCAAATAAGTCAGAAAATTATACATATTGCATATTGATCTTTGAATATTCTTTTGACTGCTCGAATACTTCTTACTGCTTGAAATCATCTCAAATATATTTTAGATATTCGAAATGAGCACAATCGTTAAAATGTGGTCCAATTTTCCTCGTGTTTTATATGCAAATTCTTTACAATAACTTAAACATGAGTAAGGGAATCAGGAGGCTCAAAAATGGCTTGATAGGGGGGTCTAACTCCAAGAGAGCTCCTGTATTATAATTGTACGGTCCACTGGTTGAGTTAGGCTATGTGCCAATACTCCAATATAACAAAGAGGCTAGTATATAACAAACGGTTTAGCCTCTTTACATTGAGAAGCTAGTCGACAAAATACTAATGCAATGAAAAGCTTACATTGATTCCAACGTCCATGAATCTGCAAAATGGATCAGAATGTAGAGAAAGCGGGCCAAACAAGCAATTTAGGAGATGATGTCCTTAGCTTTGAAGCAAAAACTTAGGAGTTAGGACAAAGAGTGACGACAATGATTACGTCACCGATATCGCAAGGTGTCTGTACTGGCCAGCTAACGGCGGCTGTTCCAGTTCAGGCTATATCTGTATAATTATATCTAGCTATATCTCGTTTAATGATTATAATGCCATCATTTTAATTATTTTTTCTAGTTCAAGCTGAATCCAACGGATGTTCAAGAAAGTTAAACTTTAAGGATTCATTACCCGAACAGACAATTCAAGCGTACTCAAAACAGATAGTTTGAGATAGTTTGAAGATAATCTTAACGATTAAATGATGTAATACCATTTTTTGCCGTCTGGAGGTGTGTTTGGTGTTTAGATGTTCAATGCTCTATAACTATAGAAAACGGGACTTTCTATTTTCCAGTTTCCAATAATAAACACCTTTTAAACCAAAAAGGCCAACCTTTTCTTCATTGAAAGTGATATTTTATGAGATCAAAATTCAAAACACAAGATACTATTTTCGTCAAAGTTTCCCTTGTTAGTATGCATTCAATTAATTATATGTGTGTATTAAAGTCGACAAAGATCAGATTTATGACAGCAGTGAGACCATGACAAATACAAAAGTGGTCACTGATCATAGTACCTGAAACAAAACAAAGCCTGAATCGAAAATTAAAATTTAGTATACAACTGAATAAAAAACGTAAAACATCAGCCCAATCTCATATAAACAATATTGACATAAATGATTGTTACTGGATCAAACATACAGTAATAACATATTCTCTCAGAGCCGCGATGATGAATAACACATTCTTTGGA